CACAAACCACAACCACCTGATCAAGATGGAGTTGGCCTGGCTTCTCCTCCCTAAAGCAACCGGCTTCTGTTTGTAAGGAGTATAGAGTTTGTTGTCAGAATAGTGAAAATGGACTGGAACGAAATAATGGTAACAGCTTCACAACACTGTGACTGTTCAAAAGTCACCAATTCCAGGTGTGGTGGTGCTGTGATACCAGAACTTGGGAGGCTGAGACAGAAGGATCCAAAGTTCAAGGCCAGTCCGGGTTACATAAGTTCAAGGCTGGTTTGGAACACAATAAGACCTTGTTTCAGAAACAAACAAATACTACTAATTTGTATGTTTTAAAATACTTAATGTGATAAGTTTTAGGTGCATTTTACCATAATAAAAATTATAAAAAGGGAAAGGGGGGGGGCTCTGAAGCCAGACTTCTGGGTCCAGATCCGAACCTCTGCTTGTTATCTCTGTGATGGCCTTGGGCCCTGGTGTGCTGACTTCTGAATCTGGGTTAACTGTGGTTACCGTGTGGGGAGTGGCTGGTGTGGGGAGCAGCTGAGCTAGAGCTCAGTCACACATGTGGGGCTAGAGTAAGGCCAGTGTCGAGGACACAGAGCAGCTGAGATGAGCCACAGGAGAGGGGTGGCATCTGTTAGCAACCTCTTGCTGATTGTATACATAAAAGCACTGCAGGTGTTGGGCGGGTCCTTTTCTCCCATCAGAAAGGGGGCTGCACCTGACCTCAGCTTTCTGTGTCATGGTTCTTGTCTTCATTTCTTTATCCTCCACTGCCCTCACCCTGGGAAATTCGAGAGCTGTGCTGAACACAGCAGGCTGGGATTACAGGCATGCACCTCTGGACCCTGCTTTATTTCTTTGTTTCTCCAGAGCTGTGTGTCTGGGACCCTGGAATGGCCACCAGGACATGGATGTCCCAGGGCCAGGTGAATCTGGGTCTCTCCTTCCGTAGGGTGGCTCTGTGTACCCTACTCTCCATCTCTGCCCCTTCTGGTTCTGGGGGGCTGTAGGGCTGAGAGGGGTGGAGCCAAATGATCTGAGCTGGAACCTCATGATACTAACATCAGTCATGCCCAACGTACTTCCGGTGACCAGCGGAAGTCGTCAATGGATGGTTTTGCTTCATCCCCGAGGTTATTGCTGGAGTCAGCAATGGGCGTCAAGACTAAGGAAAGGGCCTGAGATAGCGTGAGGCTCAGAAATATCTCCTGCGTGCCTTGACAGACTTTGAAAACTGTGTTTCATAGAGTTGTCGTGTACCGGTATGCAGATCACCTACTACACAAGGCGACGCATCTTAAGGGCAGGATTTGCATCTTACTTCTCATACATTGATACGCTGTCTTTATGTCGCAATGCTCGGATGGCAGCAGTGTTACATACCAAAAATAATCGGTACAGTACAACGGTTTTCCAACAGATGGCGCTAAAGAGCCACGCAAAAAAGTTTTCCTTGTGTCTGCCTGGGTGCCACCCGGATGTCCGCAGTCAGAGCGCCCCGGCTTGGCAGTCACTTTCCTGTTCAGGGTGAGGGTTTCCTCTCTCCTCGCCAGCTCCTCCTGGCACCCCAGCAGCCCGGAGGTCCCAGGCCTCAGCTGGCCTGGAAAGTACAGGTCCCCAGAACTTCAGCCTGTGTCCGGCCCTCTTCACGGGTTCCTGTTCGCATCCTGCAGCCTTCCTGTCCAGGCTCTCCACTTCTGGGGGACCCTCGGACATCCGTCCCTCCAGCCCGTCCCACGCTGCGCTGCCTGTGCGACCTCTCCTCCCAGCCCTGGAGCACTCTTTTCATGTGCGGCCGAGTTGTGATTTTATCCATGGCCCCAAAGCAGCTCCCGAGCTGGCTTGGTCCCCCATCCAGCTCCTCCTCCCATTCCATGTTCCCCAAGGCCTCTGCCAGACCCCACGACACCCTCTCTTCCTACCCGGTGCCTGTAGGCTCTCAGGTGCCTCTGTCTCAGAACATTGTGTGCCAGATGACTTTAATATTATTATTGGTGGTGGTGGTGGTACTGGGAATTGAACTTGTCCTGTGCTCTGAGATACATACCCAGCATTTAAAATTTTTTTTTTTTATTTTGAGACAGTCTTGCTAGGTTGCCCAGGCTGAGCTAGAATTTGGGATCCTCCTGCCTCAGCCTCCCGGAGTGCTGGGAATACAGGCCTCTGCCACCATGCTTGGCTCCCACAGAGAATTTCCCAAAGCACTGGCAATGACCTAGTCACATCTCCCCAGGCCCCACCTCTTGGGGGTCCCATCACCTCCTAACATCACTAGCCTGGGGGCCAGGATCCCAGCCCAGGGGTACACTCACCATATGCAAACCATAGCACTAATGTAAGTGACGCTAGGCCAGAGTCACCCATAGAAATAGGACATGAAAGCTGGGCATGGTGGTGCATGCCTGTAATCCCAGAATTCAGGAGGCTGAGGCAGGAGGATTGCAGTGTGTCTGAGGCTAGCCCGGGCTATACAGTGAGTTCAAAGCCAGGCTGAACTACATGGTAAGACCCTAACTCAAAAAATAAATCTTAAATATTCTGGTGGGCACTTTAAAAAACTAAGTAAATTTTAGTAACGTATTCTCTTTATGTGAAGCCATCTGAAACACTGTCCTCAGAACAACTCAAAACCCTGATCAGTATGTGTGCACTGACAGGTTCTCCATGTTTTTCCATTGTAGGCTCTGAAAGCTACATGCTTGGCACTTAGAAAACTGCTGTCTGCGGTGGGAGAGCAGACTCAGGACCCGCGTCTCTGCAGAGCGTGAGCTCTCTGAAGGCCCGGTAGTCCAGATGTGCACCTGGGCTGCCTCGCCTGGCAACTCCTGGATGCAGCACCCTCCCAGGGGTTCTGGCACTCATGGCTACTCTCCCAGTTTCCTCAGGGATGGAGCTGCTTGGCACCAAGCCTGGATGTCTGGAGCGAGGAGAGGAGCCAGGGATGGAGGACAGAGAAGCCCGAGTTGACTTGTGCTTGCCAGGCAGGCACTTATGCTGCTGAGCTATATCCCCGAAAAGACTGTATTTTTTTTTTTTAATCGGTACCAGGGATCGGACTCACGACCACGCACTTGCAAGGCAGGTGCTTATGCCACTGAGCTAAATCCCCAGCCCCAAAGATCATATTTTTATGACCTCTTATTTCTGTTTATATTTCTAGGATACTATAGTCTTTCTTTATAAGACTATTATTCCATTGAGCATCATGCTCTTAAGCACTGTTTATTTATGCCCAAAGTGAGATTTTTATCCTATTTTTATATCATTGCATTTTATGTACATTTTTATCATATGAGCAATTTTTGGTAAAATCATAAAGAATTTTGATTAAATCAGCAGAGAAGACTGAAAAAATACCAATGTCTTATATCTTCACAGCTCAAAGAGACTTAGTAATCTTTTGGTTTTTTTTTTTCTTTCTGGTTATTTTTAGTCTAGTTCTCATAAGTTTTGAATGCTAAATGTAAAATCCATAAAAGACCTCAAATGTTTTGTCAAATTGCTTTCCAAAGGATCATAACCACCTCCATCTGTCACAGGCTGCAAGTGACGGCCACCAATGAATTGCATTTTTCTAGCCACCAATATCAGTCATTTAGGTTATTAGTGAATAGTCAATAAACTGATTTTTTCAGTTTCATGTAGTTAGTATTTTTCAACCAACATCATAATAAGCCCCTTTTGGAACAGTTTAACTGTTTTTCTTTTTTTTTTTTTTTTTTTTTTTTTTTTACTGAGGCCAGGGCTATATTTCAGCCTCCTTTGCTTTGTGATTTTGTTTTGGGGACAAGGATGGCCTTGAACTTGCAATTCTGCCTCAGCCTCCTGAGTGCTGGGATGACAGATATGTGCTGGGATATAGAGATCTGCTATCAGTCAAAGACATAATGCTTGTTTATGGAAGTAAGGAAGTTTATTGGTTCCTCTCCACCAGAGCAGCAGATGGAGCCATGTGCTTAACCACCTGTCAGCAGGGTCCTCCTTCTCCTAGCTCTGCCTATTTCTCATTGTTCGGTTTTGTGGCAGGTTTTCTCCTCATGGTGGCAAGGTGTCCACCAGCCCACCAGCGGGTTACTGGTTTATTTCCCATCAATTTGGCCACCCAAACAGAAAGAACATCTCATCCTCTCCTACCACCACCACACATTCCCTCACACACTGACCACTCTTCACCCTACGATCCGCCCACCACCACCACCACCCGTTCTGTCTCTACCCACTTCAGTCCTCTCAACCCACCAGGAGTCATCACTTCTGCCCAAAGCTCTCCAGCAGCACCCCACATTCCTCTAGGAAATGCTAAAACCCTTCAGATGCTGTGTGGGGCCTGCAAGGCCTCAAACCCCCATACTGTTCATTCAAACTTAGCCCACTTGGGGCTCCCTGCTTCTCCTCAAGTGCCCCAGGCCCTCATGCCCTTCCCTGGGCTGCCCACATCTCTGCAGCCATCCCCAGAGCTTCATCACTCCTGGATCTCTGCTGCAAGTGACTTTCTCAGACTTGAACACTCATTTCACATCGTCACCTCATGGCTGGCTGCAGTTTGAGCGCATTTGCCCCAAATATATTTGAAACTTAATTCCTGGTGACTGGTTATGAGGCCTTCGGGGCGGAGAATCCTCATGAATGGAATTAGTGCACCAATTAGAGAACTCAGCGAGCTCCCTGGGCCAACTACCCTAGGAGGACACAGCAGGAAGGTGCAAGCTATGAACCTGGAAAGGCCCTTGCTAGACACTGAATTGGACAGGAACTGGATCCTGGCCTTCTGCTGTCAGAGCTGTAAAACTCTCCTGTGGTTTATGAGCTGCCAAGTCCAGCCCCTCCTCACAGGGGCCTACGCAGGCTGTCTCTGCACTTTATAGCTTCCCTCTTCTCCTGACTTGCAGCTGGGGTACTGTAAGCTTCACTTCCCAGCCTGTCCTCCCCACTGGCAGCCAGGGGCTATGCGTGCCCTGCTGCTGGCCAGATGTGTGGCACTAGGAGAGAAGCAACCAACATTCTTTAAAGATTCAAAACTTTAATCAGAGAACCAGCTGACATATACACATGGCAGACATGTCTACACTGGCCACCTGCAAAACAGGTAATGAAACCAAGGACTCCCCACAAAGGCCGCCAACTTCTTCAGGAAGTCTGCTGTCTATCACTGGTGTCAAAACTCTGTTGGATACACTTTCCATCAACTGTGTCTGTCCTGCAGACACCCTTCCTGTGTCAGCATTTGAAAACCAGAAGGCTCAGCCCTGTGGCACGGCCCATGGAGCACACTGCACATTCTCAACTATAAGCAGTAGAACTCAAAGCAACCAGAGGATCAGAGTCCAAAAATTAAAGTACCTCAAATACAGAACACAGTAAAGTGTCCAGATCCAGCGTTTTCGTAAGATTGTTGCTTCAGTGAATGTGACTGTGCCACGAAAGCCCAGAGAAGTTTGAGGCTGGTCATGTGGCTCGACATGGTGTCAGCTGATGAAATAGGTCTGAGCAAGGTGAACCCAGGGCTCTGATGGGAAAGATTCTCTCCTTGTGGGGCTCGCCAGCGATTCTTGGTGGTTCCAGATCTTTCTGGAGAGGGAAATGTGGCATTTGAAAGATGCTAATTGGCAACTGACAGTGATCCTCTATGAAAACCAGTCACTTCCCTTCCTGTTGCCAGAAGTTTCAGCGACATTAGTCATTAGTATTCCTTCTCCTGGAGCCCACCAAATTGTTTACACTGGATAAATTGTGAACAATTCTACAATCACTCCCATGCACCAATCTTCACCAAGTAGGTCTTTAGCATACTTTGTGTTTCACGTGGCACCATCCAATATTACTTTCTTAACTGCCTCCAAGTTAGCAGAATCCACGCATCAATATCGCCATTTGCATTACTGTTAACTTCCCTGGACAGACTTGGTTTAACCAATGGCTGTGGCAGAGTGGTATGCAATGTGGCACATGAACAAGGAAGGGGAATCTTCTGTGAGAGGGATCTGTGAAGTCAACAAAAAGCTTTAGCCTTTTGAGATGAGACCTTTCCATTTTCTTCGTGGCTTTACATGGAACTGTCAAGAATAGAGCAGAGATAAAAGGAAAAAACCAAACATGATAAGAGCAAGTTGGCACAGGCCCATAATCCCAGCACCCTAGAAGGCTAAGGCATGAGAGTGTGAGTTCAAGCCCAACCTGGGTAAATTAGAAGTTTACCAATACTCTGTCTAAAACCAAATAAATAAATAAATAAATATAAAAAAGGGCTGGGGAGATCCTCAGGTTCATAAGCGTGATGATCGGGTGTTCATGCTCCATGTATGACATGTGCCTCCTTTGAACCTTGTTATGACATCGGCACATTACCCATCTGACGTGGAAAAAAAGGAAGGGCTGGGGTACAAAGTGCTTAACGAAAACTTAAAAAAACTTAAAAGCTATGCACAGAGAACATCAAATGTAGCTAACACGTTATTAGTTCTTTTAATATAAAAGAATATAACCCACATGTATACATAGCTGACAGTAGGTGAGTGCTTATTATGTGCTAGGCATTAGCTCTAACACTTACTTATTCAACTTTTACAATAGCACTGAGGTAGGCAACTATGACACTCATTTTACAGTTTTTTTTTTTTTTTTTGGTCTTATTTGAGGCAAGGTTTCACAACGTGTTTCAGGCTGGCCTCAAACTTGAGGTGATCCTCCTGCCTCAGCCTTTTTTTTTTTTGGTATCAGCAGTTGAACTCAAGACCTTAGACTTGCCAGGCAGGCACTTGTGCTGTTGAGCTATATCCCTGGCCCCTCATTTTTACAGATTTTAAGACACCGAGGCTCTGAGACATTTAGGACTTTCCCAATGTAACTTAGGGCAGAGGATGACAGGTGGCATATACCTCAAAAAGGCTGGCTCCAGAGTCTATTTCTGAATCCCAATGTAACACTGCTTCTCAATTTTTGTGTTTTAATAAAACTCTTGTGTGTAAGCTTTCTAATCTATCTTTATTAATAAAGAGACTTACTAATCTGGAGGAGAGGAAGCTTGCAATGTGCTGTTGGCTTCAAACCTGAGCTTAGAAGAATGTCTGGATGTCTGTTAACTGTTATGCCCCTATTGGCTATGAACAGTATTGCTACCCATTATTTTTGAGTGTGAAGTCGTTGGTGTCTGATGAGGGCAGAAAAGGACTTAAAAGCTTTCTGACAATGTTGACACTGGTACGGTTTCTCCTGGGTGTGACTTCTCTGGTGTTGATTGAGATGGGCCCTTAGGCCAAAGGCCTTGCCACACACATCACAGGCATAAGGCTTCTCCCCAGTGTGAATTCTCTCATGCTGAGTTAGATTAGCTCGCTGGCTGAAGGCTTTCCCACATTTGTTACACATGTAGGGCTTCTCCCCAGTGTGAACCCTCTGGTGAACAGAAAGGCATGAGCTCTGGCTGAAGGCTTTCCCGCACTCCTGACAAAGATAAGGCTTCTCCCCTGTGTGAACTCTCTGGTGTCGGATGAGTTCAGCATTCAGACCAAAGGCTTTCCCACAGTCACTACATTCAAAGGGCTTCTCTCCTGTGTGAGTTCTCTGGTGCTTAGAAAGGCATGAACTCTGATGGAACATTTTCCCACACTCGCTACACAAAAACTGCTTCTTTGTGGCATGTACTCTCTGGTGCTGAACAAGGTGGTTACTCTGTGTGAAGGCTTGGTCACACTCATCACACTTAAAGGGCTTCTCTCTAGTGTGAATTAACTGATGTTCTGAGAGGTGAGTGCTTTGGCAGAAGATCTCGCCACATTCATTACATTTAAAGGGGTGGTTGTCTTGAGGAGGCTGATGTCCGGTGAAGGAGGTTCTGGGGACAACTTTCCCATCCTCAGCACGTTCTTGGGGCCTCACCGCAGAGCGCACTCTCTGTTGGCAGAGCAGCTGCACGCTCTGGCCAAAAGCTTTTCCATACTGGTTGTACTCAAAAAGCTTCACCCTGCTGTGAGTCTTCTTATGCTGAGTGAGGTACCTGTTACGATTAAATGCTTTTCCACATTTGTCGCACTTAAAGGATTTCTCATCAGGCCTTGGATGTTTTCTCTGTCCTGTGTTCTGGTCCAAAACTTTCTTGCTTGCATCGAATCTTTGCTTTTCTTTGGCATGGACACTCAAGTGGCAATTCAGGGTTGAGCTGCAAACAAAGTGTTCTTCACACTCTGGACACTTATAGGGAGCTTCAATGGCGTGGGTTTTCTGGTGCTGCACCAGGTATTCTTTATTACTGAAGGTCTGCTTGCATGTGCTACAGGCAAAGAGCCTGTTGGTGGCATGAGAGGCCTGGTGTCTAACCAGGTGTGAGGGTCGGCTGAAACTCCGGACACATGCCTGACACTTGTGGGGTCTGCTGCCTGTGTGAACCTGCTGGTGTTCATGAAGGTGACTTTTCCGGGAGAAGGCTTTCGCACACTCACTGCATTTGTAAGGTCTCTCTCTGCTGTGAACTCTCTGGTGGATCTTCAGGGTGGAGGTGTGGCTGAAGACTTTCCCACATTCATCACACTTGAAAGGCTTCTCCCCGGTGTGACCAGCCTGGTGTTTGACGAATGACAATCTCTGCCTGAAGGTCTTCCCACACTCCTCACACTCAAAGGCAGTTTTTGCAGTATGAGTTTTCCAATGTTGGCTGAAATGCTTCCTCAAGGTGAAAACTGCCTGGCAAATGGCACATTCGTAGCATGTTTGAGTGTGGGTTTTCTGGTGCCTAATAAGATGAAGGGCCTGGGTGAAAGTCAGGTCACACTTGCTACATTTGTAAGACTTAGGAATTCTAGGAGCTTTCTGACACTTAACAGGCTGTCCACGATGACTCTTAGACTGTTTTTCTCTACTGTGACTTTTTTGATGCTGCTGGAGGTACGTATTTTGACTAAAAGTCTTCCCACATTCCTTACACACGTAGGATCGGTAGCCTCTGGGAGTCCCAGGACACACAGTCAAGTAAGAAGTCAGGCTTAAACCGCTCCGGTCCTCATGCTGTGCAGATGGCTCTTCGCTCATGTGGGTAATCCAGTGCTGAATAAGGTGGTAACCCTGGCTGAAGCTCTCCTTACACTCACTGCATTTATACAGCTGCCTGTGCTCTGGGCTGCAGGCAAAGTCACTCCCATATTCCCCTGCCTTAGCTGGAGTGAGACTCTCTTCAGTAATATGCATCACAGACTCTTCTCCTGAGGAAAGGAGGCAAGGATTCAGGTGGCTTTTCAATTCGTGACCCATGCATTCTATGGTACTGTCCTTACTGGTGACATCAGATTTCAGAACACTTTCTGGACCTCCCAGCAGACTGTCCAACCAGCTCTCATCTAGACAGACTTCAAAGCTGGAGTTCCCAGGGTCATCCTTGCAGAAGACCTCCATAATTCCTTGGGAGAGTCCTTTTTCCAAGACATTCCACTTCAGAGGTGGGTTCCTGGTCTCTGGCATGCCTGAAAGAGAAAAGTACAAATGTCTCTTTTCTCCAGAGAGAAAGATCAGAGCTGTGGGCCGAGAACACAGACAAGAGAGAGATGGGAGATACTAAGGGGACGAAGACAAAGAAGTCACAAGTGGTGTCTCATCTGGAACTGACATCACAGCAAAGAGAGCTCGTTGTAAGAAGTGTTAAGAGGGGAGAAGGGAAACTGAAAAGACTCAGTGAGGAGGGGGAACCTCAGCCACACCCCACACTCACTTACTGCTAGTGAGGTAGATCAGGATGTGGCAAACCAGCTGTGTGGATTGTGTTTTACTGAGTACTCTCTGAAATACAGCTGAGCATCAAGCAGCCCGACCAGCTGGTGAGCTCCCATTCCACAGCTGAAAAGTCAGCAGGGCAAGACCTGCTCTGAGCCGACCCACCCTCCCATCTGCAGGTCACATGCTCTCCGGACTCCTTCACTGAGCGGGAGTTGCACCCACTCCTCTCCATACCTCGTCTCCTCCTCTCCTCTTTTCCACCTTAGACCAGCATCACCTGCTTCCAAGTTTCTTCCTTCTTCTTCCCCTTCCCTCTCTCTGTACTGGGGAATTCAATGCAGAACTGACAACAAGATACAACCCCAGCCCTTCTGGCTTTTACTTTGAGATAGGGTCTCACTTCTTTGTGCAGGCTGGGCTTGAACTTGTGATCTTCCTGCCTCACCCTCCCAAGAGTGCTGGGTGTGTGCCACCATGCCCAGGTTCTTCTGCAGTTCCAGGGTTCCTTACCCACCAGGAGAACGCTTAGCACCCTAGCCTGGAAACCAAAGCCTTCCAAACCACCCTTCTTGTCTTGCACTGTCACACCTGCTGCTGCTTTTGTTTCCTGGGCATCTGGGTCTTCTCTGCCCTACACTTTTGGTCACAATGTTCCCTGTACATGGAGTGCATCAGCAGTCCCCTCTCATAAGCTTGCATGGTATGGACACAAGGATGCATCGTCTGGGTCTACTCCTGGACAAAGCATGCTGCTGTAGGAAATGATGGTAATCCAGCATGCTGGCCACTGTTAGAGGCGGATTATATGAATATACTATTGAGGAACGCTTTGTGTGTGTGTGTGTATATATATGGTTGCTGGTAAAAGGACGGCTGCCTGTGCTCAGAAACAGTCTATAGACTGATATGGCAGAAACAGAAATCAGGATCAGAGGTTAGGGAGCATGCGTTTGCATGTGGGTCTGTGCCCCTCACGAAATGCTGGTGCCGAACATGAGGCTGTAGAGGGCTCTTAGTCCTGTGATCAGGTGGTGAGCAAGAGCAGGGCTAGAGGCTGGCCGGGTGAGCGTCACCCTCCTTCTCGGGGTGCTGAACCAGTGGAGACAGAGAAGCCTCCCACACCCAGGCAAGGCAGCTGCCTCTGCTTTCTTCACCAGGGATGCTGCCACCAGGGTAACACTGCAGGGATGGTTCTGGCCTAGCTGACGACCCACAAGAACTCTGGCCTGAGAGACAGCAGAGCAGACACTGCTGACAGCATTCAGGCTGCCTACAGTCCTAACACAGCTGCCCATCTGCTGCGTCGGGCACAGGAAGCAAGGATGGACTATGCAAAAGGCACACGGCAGGAGCTGGACAGTATGGAAGGTCTTCCCTTGGTAAGTTGTTGGGCGCAGGTGCTCAACATACTATACCCCGCCCGGGACTAAGAACCACGTCAGCTTCCGCAATGCGCTATGTCCCTCTCCTAACTAGCCTCCCCGTGCACACTCCGTGCTCGCCCCGTGCTGACTCCGTGGCGATATGTGATTGGTCACGGCCGAATATATAAGCCAGAGCGTGCGGCAATAAAGCGGCAGTTCCTGTTACCAACAAGAACATCCTCTGTCTCATTGGGGAGCTGCGCTGGTCAACTGGTGGCCCGTACGGGGAACCCCTCTCTCTCCGATGGAACAGAGACGTTAACAGGTAAAACTGCCAAAACGCTGGTAGCGGGGGCTACACAGCGGGTAGGGGGGCTACAGCGCCAGATAGCGGGGCTATCGGGCAACCTTGGGCGGACGTGTCGCAAGGGATTGAGGAACTCGTAAAGAGAGTTCCAGGAGCCGTAAAAAGGCAGGCTATGAGGAATTGAGGAACTCGTAAAGAGAGTTTCGGGAGCTGTAAAAAAGCAGGCTACGGGGGCGCTGTGAAGGGGTGCGGGGATTAAGCTGTCCCCTAAAGAGAAATTTATCTTAAGATGGGTAACACTGCCAGTCAGCCGCTGTTAATTGCTTTGAGAGACTTACTGAGAGAAAAGGGGCTGGGGATTTAGCTCAGCAGCATAAGTACCTGCCTTGCAAGCAGGTGTTGTGAGTTCGGTCCCCGGTACCGAAAAAAAAAAAAAATAAAAATAAAAATAAAAATAAAACCCCAACTGACAGAGTTAGACCTCTTTGGGCGATAGTGAGGAGTTGCCTCACAGATGCTACATGTCGTGACCATATAAGGACAGGCGCCATGGCACTCAGCCACCATCAGACAGAATCTTCCCGCGAGCAATCTCGTGAGCCCAGTGTCGCAGGTGAGGCGGCTGTCCCTGACTCAGAGAGTGAGGACTCGTCATATAGTGAAGAGGAGGAAGAGGCACACAAAATGGCGGATGCAGCGGCCGCCGGAAAGGAGGAAGTTAGACACCCAAAGTCAGGTGAACTCAATTAACAGAATTGATAACTGTTTGTACCTGATCAACCTCAATTAACAGAATTGGTAACTATTTGTACCTGATCAACCTCAATTAACAGAATTGGTAACTATTTACACCTGATCAACCTCAATTAACAGAATTGAAGATCATTATAGAGGTCTTTAAGCAATACCCACAACCCTTTAACCTACTCTCAGACTCACATTATGTCGTCAATGCCCTGCAAGTGTTAGAGATCTCGGGCCCTATCAGGGAATCCTTTTTCTGTTGTTTGAAGCCACCACAAATATGATTTTTCTAAATTGCTCCACTGCAACCTGTGATGTGTCACAATGTTGGGATAACAGTACACTTTCAGCTGTTGTTATGCAGGTACCCCAGTTCGTACCGATTCCAGTTATGGCAGACCCAGACGAGTTTCCTGTGATCCAGCTCATGTGCAATAAAAGAGATTTGGGCAGGAATAGGGGCTCTGGCTACCATGGCTACACTTGCCACATTCAGCAGTCTACTTCTGCTCTGTCGGATTCGCAGACAAAGAAATAGGGACAAAGTAATTATCAAACAAGCATTGCTGGCCGTGGAATCCGGTCAAAGCCCGGCAGCATGGCTCGCCATGCTGTGACGCAGGTGTGGAGCAAAGCATCGCAGGGGGTGTCGTCCTTGGCCAGGAGACACCCCGGTCTCCATGAGCATGCAGGTTGGGCTCATAAAACAATATTCCTGCCCCCTCCAAAAGAGCACCAACGAGTAGTGAGGCACTGTCATGACTGCAGCGTGACACCTCACGAGGGGCACCGACCCCTGGAGACCCTGTGTCAGTTATAAAGAAAGGGGGAGATGTTGGGCGCAGGTGCTCAACATACTATACCCCGCCCGGGACTAAGAACCACGTCAGCTTCCGCAATGCGCTATGTCCCTCTCCTAACTAGCCTCCCCGTGCACACTCCGTGCTCACCCCGTGCTGACTCCGTGGCGATATGTGATTGGTCACGGCCGAATATATAAGCCAGAGCGCGCGGCAATAAAGCGGCAGTTCCTGTTACCAACAAGAACGTCCTCTGTCTCATTGGGGGGCTGTGCCGGTCAGTAAGTCTGGAGGGCAAGAATGCAGGTGGAAGCGGCAGTGGGAGGAGTGGACCTGGCAGAGTCCCTACTCCCAGGATGAAGGGTAGAAGGCAATGGGTGGCAGAATGAAGCAGACACTGGGACCTGGCCGTGACCAAGGGCTTCTTCCTTCTGCTCACCATGGTCTGCAGCTTCTGGGCTTCCTCCCACCAGGGCCTCTGCCTCTTCTTCACCATTGGGATGGGAGGTTGGGCTGGGCCTTGGGGGGTCTGCAGAGAGAGTGGCATTGTCATTAGCCATAATGAGAAAGGTCACCTAGATGCTTCACACTATGCACAGCTCCTGGGGGTCAGATGCTGCACCAGAAGACTCCACGGTCACCTGCCAGGACACCTCTGAGACTTAGGGGGCCCGGTGCAGTGGAGAAGAGGCACCTAGTCAGTCCCCATCCAGGTGATGAGAGCTGTGATAGCTGGGGCTGAACATGTGGCAGCTCTCGAGGCTGGGCAGCTTGCCCAGTGGAGAGGCATGCACTCAGCCACTTATGTGCAATGCCTTTACCCAGGACCACACAGCCAAGGCCTATGCAGGACCCAGAGCCTGAGAGGACCTGAGCACTGCTCTTCAAATACCTCCTGAGGAAGGGAGCGGAGAGCCATAATCTCCACACAGCACATGCAGAAAAGGCCATTGGTGGCTCTGAAGATGAAGAGGATGTATCTTGAACACAGGTAGCCCATAGGTACTGGGACAGCACAGGGTGAGCGCCTCCCCTAGAGCCCTAGGAGGAGCACAGCTTGGCTGCTGGGGCCTCGGTTCCTGCCCAGTTAGACCCACGTCAAACTTCTGCAGAGCTGCAACATGGTGAGCAGCGCTGTTGAAGCCACTGTGTCTGCAGGATTTGTAACAGCAGCAACAGGAGACTAACACTGCTTAGTAAATGAATTTTTTTTACTTTTTTTTTTTTAGGCTAGTCAAGTGAAGCAGTGGGAGTGGAGAAGGAACAAAGAAATCTGCAACTGGTTGTGATCAATTAGTAGTAAATACCACTGCACTCGAACCAGCCGAGGTAAATGAATTTATTATTATTATTATTATTTTTTGATTGGTACTGGGGATCGAACTCACGACTGCCTGCTCACAAGGCTTATGCTGCTGAGCTAAATCCCCAACCCAATGAATTTATTACTGAAAACCCTGCTGCCCTCCTCCCCCAGCTCCTTCCACCTGGAGGCACATCTGGCTATAGGCTGGAGAAAAACTGCTACAGTGTGACAAAAAAGCAGCAAATGAGAGACACCACAACAAGACATCTTCTATTTTTTCATCTTTGGAATACATTTCTCTTGTGTTTCTCTTCCCATGTGCAACTTGAGCAGGGGAGATGAGGAGATAAGGGAAGGAGATGGGAGCTGGAGGGCTGAGGTCGTGGCCCTACACTGATCCACACTCAGCCCAGGGCCGCTGCTTGCTTCATGAGGCTGCTGCACAAAATGGTGGATAAGGTAGGTCCGCCTACCCCGCCAGGGGTAACAGGGCCGGGGACTCTGATGCAGCTGGGAAGCTATTCCCTTCTCTGAGCCTCACTTCAGAATGATCCACAAAAGAGGCACAATCCAGGCTCCTCATGAAGTGACAAGACCTGGTTGATGACAAAGTAGTTTCTGCTACTCAACCATCTATTCCCTGAGAAACCATTTGCTGAGGGCCATAGAGAAGGCCCTGGAAAAAATCAGTGAACTAACCAGGTCACAGGACCCCACCCCAAGAAGCTGTCACTCCAGTGATGATGATAAATGGTTGTTACGGTTTGTGGCTAGGTGGCCGCCTCAAACTTCATGCAATCATGGACATGGCTGAACCTAGCGTTTGTGACTGGTTCATTGTCTAGCAGATTGGTGGTGTGTGCTGCACACAGTGTAAGGGCAGGAAGGTGATGTGCTTTGCCCTCTTTTGCTCTGTTTGGTCTTGCTGTTTGTGGTGGCCATGAACACCTACCCCGCCATGCTACCCTGCTGTCATGGTTTATGTTTGTGTTCCCCAGGCCTCATGAGTTTGCATTGTTCATATGTGATGGTTCATTGTATAGTGCTTGGATTGATGGTGTCAGTGCTCCACCCACATAGGAGTGGAGCCAGGATGTGATGTAATGGCAGGAAGAAGGTGTGTTTTTCTCTTTGCTGGTTCGAGTTTGCTGTTGGCGACCGCCATGAACTGTGGCCCAGCCATGCACGCCTGCCTGGGAGCTGACTGAGTGTGGACTGAAACCTCCAAAAACTGTAAGAAATAAACCTTTCCTTTCCCAACTTGGGCATCAGGTATTTTGTCTCAGCAACGAGCATAAAGTAACTAAGACACCTGCCTTGGAGCCAGATGAGTATGGACTGAAACCCCCAAAACTATAAGAAGTAAACTTTCCCTTGCTTTGCTTTGCGTGTCAGGTGTTGTGTCAGGTGTTTTGTCTTAATGAGAAAAAAGTAACTAAAACAGTGGTCCAAACATGATGGAGCTACAAAGGAGTTGGGGGGTGGAGAGGTGCTGTAATGGGTTGACAGTTCAGCCCACGTTTTCTTGGCCTTAGCACTGCTGGCAGTGGGATGGGTCATTCCACTGTGGGGTGCTGGCCCGTGCACTGTGCAAGGTGTGGCAGCCTTCTTGGCACTACCCATGAGATGCTAATAGCATCCCCACTGCCAGGACTACTATCTTAAAACATCTCCAGATGCTGCCAGTGTCTTCTTGGGGGAAGAGGCAGCCAATGAACAGCCCACCCAGGCCTGGGCAGTGATTTCACCTTGTGGGTGATGGAGTACAGGTGACCCCGAGTAAGATAGTGACTGGGACCCAGTTGGGTGACACTCACTCAGCAGGAAGAGGTCCTGGTAGTTGTCCAGTGCTGTGTCCCAGAAGAGGTCCCCCTGGTCCAGCTCCAGCTGCTCCCAGTCCTCTAAGGTGATGGCCACGTTGTGGGTCATGAATTCCTGAAAGAGTAACACACTGTAAGTCACAAAGGAGTGGTGCAGGAGGGAGCCCAAGAACCCAGTCGAAGAACCTAAGTCTCATTTTGCCAAGCCTTTGGCAAAAAGCATCCTGTTCTCAGGCTCACCAAAGCCCTGGTAAGTCAGAGCCAGGGAAGTCTTGTATTCTGTAGCAAGGAAACAAGAGTATTGGACAGGGTGTCATACAGGTAGGACTTAAACTCAGGTTTGTCTGGCCTTAAAATCCATCTATTTCTTGTCGTCTTGTAAGTGTTGGCTCAAAATTTTAATTTACATTATTATAGAAATTCTCAAACATACACACAAGGAGAGAGAAGCATGTAATTAATTGCTATGAACCCAGCACGCAGGAGACACCTAATTCTACTGCAAATTCTTCAGCATTCAACAGTAACTCCTTAACATCACTGAATACCTGACCATACTCCCAGTTTGCATACACATTTGTCTGACATCCTGGGGTTTTTAAAGCTAGCTTGTTAGGATTAGAATTCAAGGAGGCACATGCCAGTGAGTAGAAAGAAACCCCATTATCATTACTGCTTCTAGGTGGGCAAATTCCCAGCCCATGTTACCAGGTCCACTGCAGGCTGCATGGTCACCAAAGGTGTGTGTCTGCTGTCTAGCTTGTGGAGATGCTGACTTTCTTCATTTTGAAACGGTATGGTTGACAGGTATATGGTTTGTGTCTGGATATCCCCCCAAAGCCTCATGTGGTCATGGAAGCAGGCTTCTAGAATCTGTGATTGATTCATGGTCCAATGTTAGGATTATGGATGTGAGTGCTACAACCACCCTAGGATAGGTGAGGCCTACATACAGTATAAGGGACAGAAACAGTCTTCTTACTCTGCTCCTCCCTTTTTGCTCTTGTTGCCTTTGCTGTCTTCCACCACTGTAAACAGCTGTCCTTCAGCCTTGTCATCCTGCCTTGGAGCCAGCTGAGTATGACCTGAAACCTCCACAGACTGGGAGCTAAATAAACCTTTCCTTCCTTTATGCTGGGTATTGGGTATTTTGTCTCAGCAATGAGAGAGAAGTAAGCAAGACAATAGGTATTTAGAAAAGAAATTCAAGTATTTGAGAAGTACTGACCAAACAGGGAAGCTACCTCCACCACCCTGTGTCTAGGTGAAACATGAGCTGCTGGGCAGCTCCTTCCTGAACCCCACCCATGTGGATGCTGGAGCACACAACACCAAAAGGATGAAAAACACTTCTCTTTAGTCTGGGCTGAGGCTTAGCTCCACTACTTTGCCGATGGGTGGGCCCACCGCCAGTTCGTTGCTCACTGGTGAAATGTGACTGACGTATTCTGTTCTATCACAGCTACCATGGAGGTGACCAAGAGGCTGACAACTGGCCAGGTTTTCCATCAGTAAGCCATACATTTGATCTGTGTACACCTCTTCATCTGTGCTTTATCTTACAATAAAAAGTTCTGGATGTGTTTTGTTGTTTAAATAAATGTGCTAGAAAGGCTTCTTTTCTGGCTGCTGTGTGGAAAGACATAAGGTTTCGGAAGGGAGTAGTTGGGAGATGAGGAAAAAGCCCAATGCAATCATCTGGGTGAGAAGAGGTGGCAGGAGTTGGGGGGTGCTGACAAGTGATGAGATTCCAGACATACTAATGATGGTACCAACAGGATTTCCCGACACATAAAAGGTACAGTGCGAAGGACAGAGAGGAGTCCAGGAAGCCTCAAAGTTTTTAGTCTGAGCAACTGGAAGGGCAGAATTGCCACTTACTACAACATGGGAGAAGTAGGTTGACTTTGGTTTGGAACCAAGGAGCTTGAAACACTCTGTAACACAATGTTCCCATCCCCTAAGGACATTCATATTCTAATCTGGGAACCCAAGAGTGTTACTTCACATGACAAACAGTGACCTGGAACTTCGGGAAGTGATCCTGGATTACCTGAGGGGACCCTCATATAAGAGCGAAGGGATTACAGATGGGCAGTGATGAGATGACTGATGCTGCCAGGAGCCAAGGATGCAGTAGCTTCTGAAAGCTGAAGAGGCAAGGAACAGATTCATTCCTGAAGTCTCTAGAAGGAACGAGCCTGACCCATATCTTGGCTTTAATCCTAGTAGACTGAGGCTTTGGGCTTTGTTTTGTTTTTGAGACAAGATTATTATAGATAGACATTTAGAGATCTGTGTAGAAAGTTAAGACAGGGCTGACCCCTTGAAAGGCCAGTGCAGAAGACAACTGTGGCTTCAGGCTTGTAGAGAAATAGGAACTACTCACTCATCTACTTCGCCTTGGGATGAAGAGCAGCGATTGATACTCTAAATAGACATCAATCACTGAGGTGCAGGATCAAAGCTCCTATCCCCACCCTTCCAGGAAAGTCCTTGTCTGTCCCATGTACGCTCACTTTGTGACTTGCTTCCTGTTTCATTTCATTCCTGTTTAACCAATATTACCCCAGTAGACTGTACTTCTTGCAATCTTACTGGTTCACCACAGTTTTGTCCCACCTCACAGTCATCCCACTGGATCAGTATTACATAAGTGACTATTCTTGTGAGCTTATTAGTTGACTTTAATTCTGTGCCACCTTCAACCTGCCTCACCTTGTGGCTTTGCTCAGTAAAACACCTTTAAGAAGTGGGTTGGTAGGCAACCCCATCTGAGCCCCTTTCTGTTTCTCTTAGACAGAAACTTTCTTCCTTTCAACAAATCCTCTGCTCTTAACTTCTGTTATTCGTAGAATTCAGTCTTCAATTTTAGAGAACATGAGCTTGGTGTTTTGGACATATAGCAGGTTGAGAGTTTGCCCTAAATTAGGTTGTTCCTTTGTAGTTCAGGTCAGCCTTGAACTCATGGTGATCTTCCCGCCCCAGCCTCCTGCTGAGTGCTGGCACATAGTGTGTGCCACCATGTCTGACTGGGTTTTGACTCAAGAACTGTTAAGACAAAAAACGTGTATTGCTTCCCCCCTCCTTTTTTTTCTTTTTTAACATGCATTGTTTTTAAGCCACCAAGTTTATGGTGATTTGTTACAGCAGCAACGAGACACTAACACTGACATACAAAGGCTGATGCCAAGGGAGTAGATAGCCAACCCAGGAGGATCTAGTTTCTTGGGAGGCTGAAGCAAGAGAATCACTGTGAGTTTGAGGGTAACCTGGGCTACATAGTAAGTTCAAAGCCAGCCTACATAGTACTGAGACAGTCTCAAAAACAAACAACAACAAAAAGAAACAAAAAAAAAAGAGTAGAAAACAAAGTAAGGGGCTGGAGGTTTAGCTCAGTGGCATAAGCACCTGTCTTGGAAGCAGGCAGTCGTGAGTTCGATCCCCGGTACCGATAATAAGGAAAAAGACAAAAAAAGAAAACAAAGTAAATGTGGACTCAGAGATGGATTTACACAAAGAGAGCACTAAGCGAAGATATAGGGAAAAAGCTGTGTGACAGCTAAAGGCAGGGACTGGGTGATGCATCTACAATCTAAGGAATGCAAAGATGGCCAGCAAAACGACAGAAACCAGGAGACAGGGAGCAGATTCTCCCTTACAGCCCTCAGAAGACCAGCCCTGCCCACACCCTGATCTTGGGTTGTCAGCTTTAAGACTTGTGAGACAACAAATTTGTGTTATCAAGCCACCTCAGTGGTGGTCCTTTGTTACAGCAGCCCTAGAGAACTAAGTAATACACTGTCACCCTACACCACCAGTACTGTGACTATTATGAGGGCAGGGACCACGTGGGTTAGGAGTTCCACAATAGGTTCTACCACAAAGTCCACACAGTAGGCACACAATAAATACTTGCTAAATAAGGCAAGGAAGCACACAGTCTTAGAACCTGTTTGAGACCTTGAGCGGAGGAGCTCACTGAGGATGGAGCCAATTCTAAGTGGGCTGAAGAAACAGGGATGATGAACTGAGTCCTGGGCGTCCAGGCAGATGTAGCCAACACCATCTCACGACTCCTGACCATGGGATCCATACAGCTAGTTGACAGATGTTTTAGCCACATAAATCTGTCACATCCTTATGGCGTGGTCCAATAGGGCAAAGGAACCACAAAGAACACTATATCAGACTTTTTCCTGATCCAAGCCAGATACTGTCTCTCCTTCCCATGTGTGCCAAGGATTCCCCAGTCCCCAACATGAGCATACCAACATGTAGCAATAATCCATCACTGTCAACTAACCAGACCCCTCTCTAAAAAGGTAACCTTTATAAGCGACCCCCAATCCTTTGCCAGTGAGAGCTCCTGCATTCTCAGTGTGTGTACCTCTTGGTGCCTGCATTGAAGATCTTTCTTCTTTGTCTTTCTCATTATTTCTGTGCCTTTAGATTGACTCCCCAAAATACTAACTAGTTTCTGGCAGTTTAGGCTAGTTTGCATTAGAATTTCTTTTACCTGTAGCTGAAATTTCTGTTATCTATACCCTGTCCAGAGGGATGAGCAAAGATTTTTTTTCAGCAGGTGCCACATCACCAGGTTTCCCTTTGCTGTGACTATGCAACTGGGTTGGTCAGAGATCCTGGGAAATGTGTGGAGAGGTAGAAAGACAGGAGCAAAGACTAAGGGAGCCACAGAAGGGTTTTATACAAGGAAAGTGACAAACCAGGGCAAACATTTCTCCTATATGCCAAACCCTACTGTGGGTACTGGGAACATGTGTCAGAACTGGTCTCTGGCCTTGAGAAGATCACTGCCTGAGGGACATTAAGGATGAATAGTTAGAGCTGCAACAGAGAGGCACTGGGGCTGTGTGAGCCAGAGGAGGGAGGGAAGTTGCTATGGGACCAAGGGAGCTTCCTAGAAGGGAAGACATTTGAAATAGGTCACTAAGGAAGAGCACGCTAGAGAAAGGTTTTCATTCATTCATTCAACAAACACCTCATATAGTTTTGCTGTATTCTCAGGTTCTGCTGGGTCCTGGCAACCCAGAGATGAATCCAAATCATTTCCTGTCACAGAGGAGAATGTAGTCATGGCACTAATGATCTGGGCAGGGATAACCACAGCTAAGTGGAACTGTCTGAAGTGGAGGCAGTAGAGGCATGTAGGAAGGCACCAGCATGGGGGACGAGCTGACTGTGTCATAGGGAGGGGAGGAGATCAAGGTGGGTTTTGAGCACTACACAAGACATCACCTCAGAGATGAATGGTAGGACATTCTAGAAAGGGTATAGCCTAGGCCAAGACAGCAAGCCTGGAAAGTACAATGTACTATTTTCTACCAGGCCAATAAGACAGAACTGGTTAGCTGGAGAAATGGCATAAGACGCTGGAGGGGTGGGCAGAAGGCAGATTATGCACGAATGGACCAAAAAAATCTGTATATTACCCTGTAAGCAACAGGAGTTCCTGAAGGATACTAAGCAGGATAACAATAGTAATCAGAGTTTCACCTTTGAAAGACTGGTTGCATCCATCAGAGTTTAAATAGGAAGTATCTCCCAGGGGCTTACGCAGGGAGGCTTGATACCCAGGGCAGCAGTGTTCAGAGGTGAGGCCTGGCGAGGTAACCAGATCATCAGAGGGTTAATCCACTAATGAGTGCACAGCTGTGAGTCAGTAGGCGGTGGGGCCCAGCTGGAGAAGCAGGTCACTGGAGGTGTCTTTGGAGAGTACTGCTGGCGCCTGGCCCCTTCCACCCTGGCTCTTGCCCTTCTGCTCTGCTTCCAGGCTGCCACAGGTGAGCAGCTCTATTCTACCACACCCTCCCTACCATCATTTAAGCAAAGGAAACAAGCACCCACAGAGTAAAATCTCTAAAATTCAGCCAGAATAATCCTTTTTCTTTCAAATTGTTTTTCTCAGGATTTTGGTTACAGTCATGAAAAGCTGACGAACACAGGAGCTGCTATGGTATGGTGACTTAGGGCAAAGGAAGGCTGGTTTTCCTTTGGTGGTAGTTGATTAAGATCGAGGGACCCTCAACTCACCTCCACCATAGCTGCCTGGGCCCACTGGCTTCTTTCAAGCTCCTCCTTCTCTTCTATGTTCCTGGCTGGAAAAGCTGCAGGAAGGGAGCTGTGAGAACGTCTTTATTCCTCCTGTAGCTGACTCCCTATCCATGCTGGCTGAGGCTCCAAAACATCCAGAAGTAGGAAGACAAGTCCCAACGTTAGCCTCCCTGCAGAAACCACAATAACTGTATTTACTGAAACTACCATAGCCACACACTTCTGTTTTGCTTTAGAGCCTGCAAAGCAACTTTACAACTGCTCTTAGCACTCACTGAATACACATTTGGGAGATTCAGGAATGAAAGTCTGTTGCCTTGATGGGGCCTCTGCTTTTGCTCACTGCTGTATTTTAGCACCAGCACAGTACTTACAGTATGGTAGGTTCTTGTAAAGTATTTGTTCAAAAAATGAATGTGTCTCTGTCTGAACCAAGAGTCAGGTTTGGTTATCAAATTTAGAAAAAATGTATTTGATTCTCAGCATTCCCTAGATTTTTATTTATTGACATTTATAGGTAGTTGACCTGTAACAGATGCTAACATTTACTGAACCATTTGGTTCCTCATGTAATAGAGATAAAACCTCAACTGACAGGTATAAGGCAGTTGAGAGATGTTTAATTTGGTTCACATAACGTGGGGACACGTTATGGGTGATACATGTGTCAACCTGAAAAGTTCAGGGACTCAGCAGGGGATCAAGTCCTCACTCTGTAAAATCCTCATCCTGTGCTAGAGGAGGGCACCCAGATTGTGGGTGCTACACCCTCCTTGGGGGAAGTAGCCTGCTTACAATATAAGGGAGGAAAAGAGGCTTGCTAAACCTTTTTGCACTTGCTGCTTTTGCTGTCTTTTGCCATCTTAGAATGTTGCCTCTGTGCCATGCCACAGAGCCAGCTGATTATGGACTGAAACCTCCACAAATTGTGAACTAAATATTTCCTTCCTTAATTTTGGGTGTAGGGTATTTTATCCTGGCAATGAGAGAAACAAAATTTGTTACCAGGAATGGGATTATTGCTGTGACTGTACCCGACCATGTGGTTCAACAGCCTTTGGGAATGGCTTGTGGGAAGAGTTTGGAGATGTCACCTGAAAGAGCAGTACCAGGGCTGGGGATTTAGCTCAGTGGCATAAGCACTTCCTTGCAAGCAGGCAGTTGTGAGTTCAATCTCCAGTACCGATAAAAAAAAAAAAAAAAAAAAAAAAAAAAAAAAAAAAAGAGCAGTACCAGAAATGCCTTAGGTTGTTCTGTATGGAAGATTCTGCTCAGAGCTCAGAAGACCAGAAGGCTGATAGAAATTCTGTTAGTGAAGACCAGGTTTGACAGATTTCTATTGGGAAAGACTACACTACTGCTGGACTCAAGATGATGTTATGTTATGACTCGGCAAAAGTTTGTCTGTATTTTGCCTCAGGTAAAGGCCCACACTTTACCTGAGACTAAGATTAAGGGCAGTAGACTAATTCATATGGCAGAAGAAATTTGAAGGCAGTTGACTATTGAGGTTGTGGCACGGATACTCCTGGGGCCTTTCAGCCAGATTTATGTTGTGAATCAACAGCAAATAACCCAACAGAATGATTTAAAACATTGTGAGTTTGAGCTCCCCTCCGTGATAGGCGGCAGTGGTGTGGCCAGCTGTGGCCCTCCAAGGGGGAGAACCACCAGTGTCTCCTGAGATCCGTGCCATGTTGGAACTTAGGACCCTGAGAAACCAAGCAAGCAGCTCACCTCCCTGGTAAGTGGCTGCAGTGTAGCAGACTATGGCCCCTCCAGGGAGAGAACCACCAGTGTCTTCTGAGATCCACAACATGTTGGAACTTAGGTCGCTGGGAAACCAAGCAACCAGCCTGCCTCCCTGCTAAGCAATAGTGAACCTACTGGTCCCCGGCCTAGAGTCAAACATCCCACTTCTCCTATTTCCTTCCCCTGTCCCATTAGCAAATGGGAACCAGAAATTTGAACATCTCTTAGGAGGCTGACCATAGCAAATAAGGGGGATTTCCTTCTACCATCTCTTTGAAGGCAAATATTTTTATTACTGTTTTGCTTTATTCTGATTAATGGCATTGCTCTATTCAATATTCTGTTTTGATAAATTCTATAATGTTCTGTATTTCATTTTATTTTGATATATGTGATTGAAAGAACAACTATTGTAAAGATAACGAAATATACTGCGATACCTATTACTGTTATCCCAGTAACCTGCTGTGAAGTTCTATACCAATTTCACTACACGGTCTCAGTTGGCTTTATTCTGCCTTGTTCTGTTGTATTTTACTACTTTCAAAATAAAATTAAAAAAAAAAAAACATTGTGAGTTTGACCAGAAAGGAAACTAATAAATCTGTCGGCTACAAAGATAGAGCTGAGGAAATCTCAACTGCTGAGAAGGAACAGGAAAATAAAATAGATGGCCTGATGGCATCAAAAAAAGTAGCAAATCTCCACCCTTTGCAGCCTCAAAGCTGCAAAAGTCAAAGACTTTGCTTGAAGAAAAAGCTGCAAGGTACCATGTTCCAGAATGGCAGTAGTACAGAAAATCTGTTCCTCAGAATTGGATTCAGAATGCCCAGTGAACCAGGCATTTAATTCCTGCAGCCAAGAGAGAGGAAAGCTGAGTTACTGCTCTAGTTGGCAGCAGACCTTGGCATGATCCACATGGTGCTAGTTTTAGATGCAAGCAGAATGCAAGAGTTTCAGGCTTAAGAAGGCTTCCACCCTGATTTCAGAAGGCCTAGAAGGTAAAGTAGTGTGCCCCTGAGAAGGCAATGTGAGAAGCTGTGAGAGTGAAGCTAAAGATGCAGTGAAGACTCCAGAAGTCTGGAAAAGCAAAGAACATGGATCACCTAAGGGAACTGCAAAGAGGGAGCAAAGTAGGCCAGAGAGAAACTGTGGGAGCTACAACCACCAAATGTGCCATAGGGTGGAGTCACTCAAACCCTTTGGAGCTCACAATTTTCCACAGATTGCTTCAGATGCTGGACATGGAAATACAGAACTTAATGTGTGCCCTGCTGAATTTTGGACTTGCTTTGGTTCCAATCCTTTTTACCTCCATTGAAACTTTTGGAATAAAAATGTTTATCTTGCGCCTTTTTATGTTGGAAGTGTTTAACTTTATTTTCTTCTGTATAAGGGCTTACACCTAAAAGTTTGCCTTAAACCTCAGAGGAGACTTGAGTCTTGGACTTTCCAGCAATGCTAAAACTATTAGGACTTTGGCAACTCTTGCAGATGGACTAAATAGTTTTTGCATAAATGAATGTACATCAGCCTTTGGGGGACCAAGACAAAATGTTATGGTTCTAATGTAATATACTGTTGACAGACTTAATATTGGTTCTTAATATGGTTAAATCTCTAACATTTAAGCTGTAAAATGATAAGAATAAGTATATCTTTATATCTGGAGACTATCTAAAGATGTGTCTGGTTGCCAAGTTGACAAGTGGTAGACTGTAATGGTTGATATGTTGTGTCAACCTAAAAAGTTTAGAAATTTAACTAAGGGACTTAGGGGACCAGGATTCTCACTTTGTAAACATCCTTATCCTGTGCAAAAGGAGGGCACTGAAATTATGAGTGCTACAGTCGCCCTAGGAGGGGACAGTCTATTTATAAGGGAAGAAAAAAAGGCTTGCTTCCTCCTCCCCACCCCCACTTTGCTCTTGCTGTGTTCTGTCCCTCTGAAGTGTTAACCCTATGCCATGCCACTCTGCTTTGGAGCCAGCTGATTATGGACTGAAATCTCTGCAAACTAAATAAACTAAATAAACCTTCTGTTCCTTAATTTTGGATGAGCTAAATAAACCTACTGTTCCTTAATTTTGGATGTTGGGTATTTTGTCCTTGCAATGAAAGTAACCGAGACAGCATATAGAATTTTATAAAAGAAAATTCTTTAAGGAGTTCCACACTTTAAAATTGGGAAATCTCACCTAACCTGGCTTCTCAAGCATGCAGGACAATGGTGGCAAACCTATGACATGCATGCAGAAGCCAGGTGTTTGTTATCATTGAAAGCTCTAAAAGATTTATCATCACTGTCCTAGAATTTAGCAACACTGGGTCTGCATTCCTAAAAACTTTGAGTTCACTGGAGTTTGATGTGGGCCTCCTAGATGAGCCAAGTGCTCCTCAGCCCTTACTCAGGCAGGTTCTCTACCTTAAACACTTGACCCCATAGACATCCAACTTTTGGATATGCCACATTTGGTCTCCATTTCATCCTCAGGTGAGGCCACCATCACCAAGTCTGTCAAAGTGACTTAAGTTGAGTAACTAGGGAGCTCAAAAACCTGAGGTTTTAGGGTCTAGGAGTCTTATCACTTTTCATTGCAGGACTATGGTCTGGTAATTTATCTTCTTGGAATGTCAGTTTCCACATGTGCAAACTGCGTTACCCATACAACAGAACAGATTCACAGTCCCTTGGCTACAATTTCAAAAACCAAAGGATCTGGAAATCAGAACTCTACAGGCTACTGCGTGCAATCTTTAGTCCTGGCCATGTGAACACTGTATTCACAACTTTTCCACAGAAATATTTGACGACTAAAAATAACTCTAGATTCTTGTGGGGGGAGGATGCCTTAATTCTGAAATATGCACTGAGTTCTTTTTAAAATCTGAAAAGTTCTAATTCCTAGGATGACCCTGATGCCGAGGGCAAAGTATATGACCCAAGACTCTCAGTGCTGGTGTGAAGTGAAGGAAAAAGATGCGAAAAGGGCACAGCGCCTGGTGGACAGAAAGCGCTCAAATAAATGTATTTAAATACTTTGATGTCGAGAACTCTTAATTCTTACCCAGGCATGGTAGTGCACACCTGTAAAGCCAGTACCAGGGACTGAGGCTGAGGCTGGAGGATCGCAGCGAGTTGGCTTAATAGTGAGTTCAAGATTATCAGTTGGGCATGGTGGTGCACTCCTGTAATCCCAGCACTTGGGAGGCTGAAGCAGAAGTATTTTAAGTTTGAGACCAGCTTGGGCTACAAAGTGAGTCCAAGGTCAGCCTGAACTACAAATCAAGACTCTATCTCAAAAAGACCAAAAAAAAAAAAAAAAAAAAAAAAAAAAAAAGACTACTGGGGATTTACAAAGTGAGCTTCTCCCTCTAAAAGGGAGTGGGGGTGGGAAGCGGTAAGAAAACATCTTTTTTCCTCAGGATCCTGCCCAAATCTGCACACTTCAGTAACTCATTCTACCTCCTCAACTAAAAACAGAATCACTCCTCTCAGGGATGCCCGTAAGGACTGGAAACCGCATTAATAAGATCCAGTCTCTGGGCAAGAATCCAAGCTTCCACCAAGACATCCACCGGCAAAGGTGATACGCCAATTAGCCCAACTTGCGTCATTAGACTTTGTTACCTCTCGCTAAGTACCAAGCCGGTAAGCCCGCAAGCCTTTCAGCGACCCGAGCTACCGCGCCGCCGTAACTCGAGATTGCTGTCCTCGAGCTTAACACGCGTTTTCCGGGCTGCGAAAGAACAGGACACCCAATCCTCGCACCAGCCTCCTCACAGCAATTTCCGGGTCCCAGCGAAGCTTCCAGGAGTTTCTGCACCTATGTTCCGCCACGCCGAGCGGGCGGGACTGTGTTTTCCAGAGGGCTGTGCGGGCGTCTCTATTTATATTCCCGGCTCCGCCCGCTTCTACATCCCCAAGAGGTCCCGCTGAGTACTCTGGGAAATAGGGTACAGAAAGAGGACTAGGTGGCGTCAGAATTTTATAGTCCAGTTTTTACCCCTGATAAAGTACCCTCACCCTCACCCTTACCCTGCCTTTCCAAAACTTTTCCATTTCAAAAGATATAACCAGAGGGTTTCCATGGAAATGGATTGAGTAAGCAGGGAATTCCTGAGAGGACGCGCAAAAATCAGGGGCCGGATTGAGGATGGATAATATAATCTAATTGGTAGAGAAGTGCCCTATAATTCATCTCGATTGGCTTCAAACTGGCACATGCGCAGTAGAAGGAGTAACAGAGTTCCAGAGAGGAATGACAAGGAAATACTCCCTCCCGGGGGCCGACTGAGGGAGACTGCGCCTGCCGCGAAGGCGTCTGGGAAATGCAGTTCCGGATGGGTACGGCCTGAGCGGTAGTTGGGAAGTCAGTGGCGCCTGCGCAGGCGTCTACTGATTGCAAGGGGAAGGATGCGCGCGCAGCGCCTCCAGCCCAAGCGGAAGTTTCTCCTGGACAACTAAGAAGGTGAGCCCTAGCTTTGAGGGAGATCGTAAGGTCCGGCCGCAGAAACTAAGGACCCTACCCCTACCCTTTTCAAGTACAGACGTGAGGAGAAGGTGAGGCGGAGCTATGGAAGCTTCCCGGCCGCTGGGCGCAGTTCGGTCGTGGTGCCTGTGACGTTACCTCTTTTTTTGGGAGGTGGGGCCCCGGCGGGTGGGGATCACGATGAGAGGGAGGCACCTGGTCCCAGAGACCCGGGCTACGGATCGCTGTAGAGTACCCCCAAGAAGATCCTGGCGGTGGGTGTGGCTAAATCGGCGATGGGCGGGGCTTCTGAGAATTCAACTGAAAGCCTGTCCTGGGAGTACATCACCCCTGCTTTTCTGCGAAAGGTGGGACTGATCCTGAGTCGCTGTCGCTGTCCCCTCCATGCTTAGGTAGAGCAGGCTTTTAGCCTTGCTTTTTTTCCATGCTGTGTGTTGCACACAGGAGGAACAGAGTAGTTGACATATAGCAAATGTTAATATATAATTGTTGAATAAGTAAACTAAGTGGATGAATGAATAATAAAGTCTGACCTTTGAATGGGAGCCTTGGGTTTAAGCCCTCAACTGGCCATATGATCGTGGCCATTGGGCTTAAGCACCCTGAGACTCCTGGCGTTCTTTCACCCATATTTATCGAGCTCTTACTGGAGATAAGGCTCTGCGCAGATACTTCTACTTACTCTACATGTAAAGCGCCTGCTCCCATAGCAACAGTTCTTTTTTTAAAAAATTATTTGTATTAGTATGTGTTTGCAGTACACAGTGATTGCACTCCTTATGGCGACATCCTGGGGACTTATCTGTGGGGACAGTTTCTGAGCTCGTTATATTGGTGTACAAAACAAAAATTTCTCCCAGGTAGTTTGTGTTCTAATGGTTACAGGTGCCAGAGCCAGAGTAAAAAGTAAGTTAGGGCCGTCGCTACAGCACAGCAGCGCAGCACCTGCCTGGCAAGCGCAAGATCCTGAGTTAGATTCCGGGTACCCCCTCCACCTCCGCCCAAGAAAAGGAAATTATATAGTAGTTACTGGTCCACAGTACCTTACTTACTTTTGTTTTTGTTGTTATCATATAGTTTATTTAATACAGTGTTTAATTATAAAAGTTAATATAGTTTTGAAGTTTAAATTTTGTAAAATACAGTTTGCAGAAAACAGTCCAACAGTTACTAGTAATAAGGGTAGCGGTGTTTTGAAGCTAATTTTACCTTTGAAACAATAGTTTTATTTCTAAATTTCACTTAAAAAAATAGCCATCACAGTTACTTCTGAGCTAGGAAAATAAGTGCAGTAACTTCCTTGTTTTTCCCCTTCCGCAAAAAGCAGCCACACAGAGAAATACTCCATTTATTTGTCAGTTTTTGAAAATACTATGAACAACACAAAAAAAAGCTGGGCATGATGGCTCACGCCTGTAATCCCAGCACTCAGGAGGCTGAGGTGGGAGGATCGTTGCAAATTCGAGACTAGCCTGAGCTACAAAGTGAGCTCAAGGCCAGCCTGAACTGTCTCAAAAAAGACAAAAAAAAAAGGGGCTGGGGATTTAGCTCAGCAGCGTAAGCGCCTGCCTTGCAAGCAGGCAGTCGTGAGTTCGATCTCTGGTACAGATAAAAACAAAAAAGACAAAAAAAAAAAAAAAAAGACAAAAAAAAGAAAATGCTATGAACACACAAAGAAGGAAGCATGGGCTTTGCTTTAAGAGGGGATTTGTTTTAAAGTAATTTGTATTTTGTTTTAAATTGATTAAATGTAATTTGCTTTGAAAGGGAAAGGCAGAAACATGAATCAATCCCACCATACCCTTCCACACATAAAATCAAAAAACCTTTACCCACTCCCTTCTCCAGCCTTGCTGATGGAATTTTTTTCATGTTATAATAGTAATACTGCCTTCTTTTCCTTCAGTATTTCTTCTTTGTCACACAAGTCAGAGAATTGCCTCTGCCTGACTCCCTTAAAGGCAGCTGGGAAGCCCGAAGGTTTGTCATCCAACCCTATGCTTCCTGGAGCATTTTTTTTCCCCAAACGAGTATTCATAATGAAACACAAATTGTCACAATAAAACAGTTTATCAGCCTGCAGTCTTTGAGGAATTTATTCAACTGTAAATGTGTGAATCCTAAGAGAATAATTATAGTAAACATAAGCAAAACAAGAGAAAAATATCCATTTTGTCATCAAAGCAATTGGCTATATGATACGTATTTAAATTACCTTCTAGTAAAAGCAAGCCCAAACAGTTTCTAAGAAATTTATAGGGGCTGGGGATTTAGCTCAGTGGCATAAGCACCTTCTTGGCAAGCATGAGGTCATGAGTTTGATCCCAGGTACCAAAACAAAAACAAATCAAAAAAGCTCAGCCTGAAAAATTAACACCTAGAGCAAAGTACAAAAAGCTAAAAAAACACACTAATTTGCTCCAAAAACCAAGTAGAAAACAGATCAGAATTGCCAGTTATTACTGTTACCCAAAATACTAGAAACCTAGTTGGTGCGTGTCCATAACCTAATGAAATTTTGTTTTAGTTTCTCACCTTCCCCTGAGCACAAGAATTCAAGACCATTCAGAAAACCCAACATGCAGCAGTGCAAAGAGGTTCATCAGATAAATTCTTTGCAATTTCTGAAGGCTTCACTTAGTTAACTTTAAAAGGTACCACACAGTCTGTGAACTTGCCAACTGCAGGGTCATTAAAGCCTCTTTTAAAAAACTCAGTGCCTTAAGCACCTGCCTTGCAAGCAGGCAGTCGTGAGTTGGATCCCCGGTACCGATAAAAAAGAAAAAGACAAAAAAACACAAAACAAACAAAAAAAAAAAACTCAGTGCCTTCTCAGCTGTTCATTAATCGCTCTCTAGTGCCAATTTCTGGGGCAGATAGCTTACACAGAAAAAATTTGACACTGTAATCATAAAGAGTCTATGTACTGAATTTTTTGCAGCTATCACCAATCAAGCAATAAAAAATGAAAATACTTGTTAAAGAATATTAAGTCAAAGACATGTGTGAACTCTATAGTCAGATGTAACTATAAAATCAATATGGTGGGAAAAATAAATAGCTAATTTCTGGGCAAAGAGACAATGTCCAAAGCAAAAACTAAAGATGGCACAGCTATGAAAAATGTAGTAAAACGTTAGGGCCCTTGAGCCTTGCTATTCAGATGCAAGTATAGATCTTGGGGTACAGTTAATTTTGCTTAATCAGGAGGAATTTTGAACCTAAAAATAAAATTTAGTTGATTGTCCTTTCTCATCTCAACTACTTAACATCTATTCTGTGAAAACAGCTAACAAAACTTAAAAGCTTGGGTCGGGTGTTTAGCTCAGTAGCACGTGCCTGGCACACGCAAGATTGTGAGTTCGATCTCCGGTACAAAAACAAAACGAAACAAAAAAAAAAAAAAAACCAAAAATTTTTAAAAACAGAAGTTCTTATATCTAATCTTAGAATGGAGTTGTTCTGATAATTCACAGGACAGCTATACTTCCTCCCCACAGCTACTTTTTTGAATCTCAAGATCTGGAAACTACTTGTCAAAGTTCTTAATAGGTAAAGCTCTGGATCTTAGCATGGGTTTAAACGCACACACACACACACACACACACATATATATATATATATATATATATATATATCTGTGTGTATGTGTCAGAAATTTTTCAGTAGTACCTTCTTGAAGCTCAAATAATCTGACAGATTTTTTTTTTTTTTTTGGTCTTTTTCCTTTTTATCAGTACCGGGGATCGAACTCACAACCGCCTGCTTGCACGGCAGGCACTTATGCCACTAAGCTAAATCCCCAGCCCCGATCTGACAGATTTTAAAGCACAACTTCATGAATTTTTAAAACAAAGAATTTAAAATAGATAACAGATCATAGAGTATGGGTACTTAGACTCAGTACTTCTTAATGTGGGTCTATGGTCAGTTTCTAAGGAATCACCCTGAATTATAATAAACATCCACTACTTTTAGCGCTCAGAAATAAAATTTGGAAAAAATCCACTCTGGGTATTTGTTTCAAGGTGTTTCAGACAAACCTACAATCATGACACTATTCTACAATAGCTACAGTGCCAGGTGATTATTATTAAATTAATCAATAATGGGAACTATTATGCTAAGCATCACTTTATTCTGTACAAATAGCACTGGGTAGTTAATGGGGTTATCAAGAGTTTACCTTGGTAATAAAGTTAACACTAAACTAACAGATACTAAAGACAAACCTAGAGTCCACTATTGATCGGGATTTGAAGTTTTCTTTTAAAATGGAGCAAGTTTTGTGTTTGCTGGATGTTGTGTGTTTTATTCAGAAGTGATGTTACAGCATAAAAGGCCACATATCACACAAGTGGCAAAATGTAACACACAAAATTCTGAATGGACTTTGCACATGCTCAGTATTTAACTCTGTAAACTCCCAAATTTTACAACTTCCTGTTTTACTCTACATGGCAGTGTTACACATGCCAAATTAAATCAGTGCTAACAGTAACAGTAGAAAGCCATAAATCCACCTAAATAGAAAAGCTAGAGTCATAAAATCCTGTAGTCTGTCATCATAGTTACAGAGTATATGTGTTTGTCTTGGTTTTGGGTTTGGGTTTTTTTTTTTTGCCATTTGAAACTCATGCTATGAGAGACAAGATACTTCAGATTTAAAAAAACAAAAACCATGCAGAGTTAACATTCAATGCTATATTACTTTACTAACTTTAAAACCCCAAAAGTGGTCAAAACAAAAAGTCATCAGGGATCGAACTCATGACTTTGTGCTTGCCAGGCAGGCACCTATGCTGCTGAGTCAAATCCCCAGCCCCAGAAAATTTTTTTTCTGCCTCGAGACTCTCTTGATGTCTCCACTGGGCCTAGCTGTGAATGCCTTTGCTGGTAACGTGTGATCTGAGTTGGCATGAATATGTTTATCATCTTCAAAGATTCTGCAGCACAAATCATACTCCCATGTCCTATCAGTGGTTAATATATAGTGTGCTATAAATTCTAAAACATCATGCACATACTCAAAATTCTGAATGTCAATAGATGAGTAAAATAAGGAATTTTGAACTTATGTTAGATGGCCACTAAAGTGCTAAAGAGAAAAGGGAGAAATAAAAGAAAAAGAGGATTGGGGACAGGAGTTGCAGTTTATACAAGGTGGTTAGGAAAGGAAGAACTCTTGAGCTGAGGCCTGGAGAATGCAAGGGTGGGAAGAGCATTTCTGGTAGTGGGAAATGCAGGTACAAATGTCCTGGGATTGGAATCACCTGGCCAGGGCCACTTAGCTAGCAATGAATGGATAGAATCAATAGAATAGCTAATGCCTTTCTAGTGCCACAATGGGTTGGCACGGTAAACTTCAGAATCCAAAAGTAAATGCCTGGTTCTCAGTTTACAAATGGAAAAACAGGCACAGAGGCGCTAAATTTCTTCCACGGGGTGTTATAAGACAGCTTGGTGGTAGAGCAATGGCCGAGCATGCCTGAGGCCCTGCATTTAATCCCCAGCATCTCGACAATGACAAAAAAATTGTCTTCCCCAGTAAGTGGCAGAAGCAGGATTCAAATCCCGCCAAGTTCACATTCTTAACCACTACATCATTCTCTTTTGAAGCAAAGAGACCTTTGGAGGTGATGCAGCCAGCTAGGTAATTTTGCCTCTGGGCTTTTGGACTCTGGCTTGCTGACTAGACTTGCCTGTGGGGTGAAAATGTGCTGACCTGCTGGGGGGCTCTCCGGCTTCAGGACAGATTTCTTTCTGTGGGGTGGATAATCTGTCTAGTCTCTCACCAGACATGGATGAGTATTTGCTCTGTGCTAGGCTTGATTGAAGCTCTGGGCACACTGTGTTGAACAAGGCAGACTAAAGTCCTGCCATCTGGAAGCTTCCTTTTTTTTTTTTGAGACAGGGTCTCTCTATGCAATTCAGGTTGGCCTTGACCTCATTTTGTAGCCCAGGCTGGTTTTAAATTTGCAGTGATCTTCCAGCCTCAGCCTCCTGAGTGCTGGGATTACAGGCACGTTCCACCATGCCCAGCTGGCAGTTTCCATTCTAGCGAGAGGAGTCAGCAGTAAGGTCATCTGGTGGTGAGAGGTGCACTGAAGAAAGACAAAATGGGCTAAGGAGGAGAATGTGGAACCAATGGATCATGTCAGAGAACTGCTCACTGGGGGGGGGAGGGGGGGCCGAACAGAGATGTAGATAAAGTGAGCCAGTGGGGGAAGAACATTCTGGGCAGATGTGAGGGTAAATGTGAAGGTCCTGTGGGCAGAAATGTGATTGTTGTGTTTGGGGAAAGGCCAGGATGCCAGTGTGAGCGAGGGGAGGTGGCCAAGAGGGAACGAGGAGATAGCAAAGCGCTGGGGTTCACAGGCCTTGGAAAACATTTTGGCTTTTACTCCGGAATGGAAGCCGGAAGCCGTCCGAGGTTTTAAAGAGGAGATCCAGGGGCCAGTTTCGATTTTCAGTGAGCCGTCTCACTGCTGTTTTGAAAACAGACTGCAGCAGGGAGGAGAGAAGCAGGAATTCTAGTTAGGAGGACCTGGGAGCTCAAAGAAGCAATGAAAGCCTAGACTGGGCTGATGGCTGGCTGTTGGAGCTGAGGGCTGCAAAGTTTAAAATCCAGTATCTCTCCTGGCCTGGTTCCACCCTCAGCATCAGCCTCTAGCTGGAAATCTTTGAGGATGTTCTGACCTGCAGCACTGAGAAGCAAGTCGGTAGCAGGTTAAGAACAGGAACTTGCTGGGGAATGAGTTCCATCCCTGGTACCAAAACAGACCAAAAAAATGAGCTTTGGAGCTCTAGACTTGAGTTCTCTTCCCACCACTTTCTAGATGAATGGCTCACATCAGTTTGTGGACCTGAAAGATGGCATGATTTTTTTTTCTTTTTTGTGGTACCGGGGATCGAACTCACAACCTCACACTTTGCCAGGCAGGCGCTTATGCCGCTGAGCTAAATCCCCAGTCCTGGCATGATTTTTTTTCCTCTGGTTCTGCCACTGCAGTGCTCTGAGGCCTTGGGCCAGTCTCTGTCCCTCTCTGAGCCTCAGCTGCCACAACTCCTTGAAGGGAAGGGCACTCTTGGAAGGCGGTCACAGGGGTTGCAGTCTGCACATATGGAAATCACTCGATGGGAGCTGTCATTACTGAAGCAATATAACTTCTCTATGCTTTAGGTTACTTCCTGTTCCAGTGGGGCGTAGAGTATCCCGAAATGCACCTGTGTTAAAGGGCCTTTTGTTGTATCCTTTTGTGACCCAGCCTGGAAGTCCTGAGGCATCCCTGCTGCCCATCCTTATTGGTGGGAGCTGTCACAAGCTCTGCCCAGACCCTAACCCTCTGGGAAAGGATTGCCAGGTTCTGAAGAGCACACAGGACTAGAAATACTTGGTGGCTGCTTACGTCTCTCTGAAAAACACAAGTGCTGCCCTTGTATGGAAGGGCTGGTTCTACTGCTCAGTTGTGCAATGTTTGCTGAGCTAGATGAGGCTCTAGTTCAGTGCCTGGTAGCAGGGAGGGTGGTTCTGGAACCTTCCTCATGGGCTGTGGTATGGAGTAAGTTGGTAACACACTGCCAATTCTTTCTGAAGGGCTCCACTCCAGGTGTCTGTGTCGCGCCACCTGCCTTCCCTCAGTGGTCCTGACTGCTTTGTGTTGATACTGACCTGCCAGCCTTCGTAGCATCCCTCTTCTCCTAGGGTGTTTCACTGTCCCTGTGGTGCTGTCTCTGCCTGACCTATTCTGCAGCCACTTGCTCCTTTGTTTATTAATGTCTTCCCTCACCCGAATGGGTTTTCTGTCTAGTGCCTGGTGGAAGCCAGGAGCTCAGGAAGTCATTGTTGAATGAATGGATGAATGGCCTTGGCACTTACAGCTACATGGCCAGTGTGCAACAAACATTAACTGTTACCTTTTACTTACTTGAGCCTGAGTCAGTCTCTCCACCCTTGTTCCCTTCCAGGCCACTGTGGAGATGGAGTTTCCAGCTCACTGAAACCAGGGACCGGACCGTAACCCCATAAGGTACCGTCCCCTCAAGCACATGTCCTGGAAGGCCAGTGTCCCCCCATAGCCCAGTCCTGCTGCCCCCTCTGTTGCTGCTGCTGGTCGATTTCCCTCCCAGCAAGAGCATTACCTAAACCAGGCCTAGCTCATCTGGTTTAGTGTTTGCTCCTTCCCAAAGGCCATCTTCATCCTGAGGTGGTTCATGAATGACAGTATAGGAATCCAAGCAGCCAAATTGATAAATTTGGAATTTAATTAACTGAGCTCAGGACTACTCATATACAGACCCCCACCCCACCCTGGTTCAGGGTCCAAACAAGTGGCACTGAACTAGAAAGTTACAGAGCTTTTAAAAGAATCACAAAAGACACCCTGCTGGAAAAGGTTTAGCTCGAATCTTACATTAATTTTCGGTTGACACCAGTATCCTGCTTCTTTTGTTAAGCAGGTTAATTTTTCTCCTCTAGCTCATTCTGCCTTTCTCATGGGAGTTATACCCTGAGGAATATTCCATTTTCCTGAGTCAAATACAGGGCACTACTAAGGCTCAAGATGGTGCCAGTTATGCAAGCTACAACATTCCTCACTGGTTTTAGTGCATGAATTAAGTCCTTTTTAAGAGTCGTCTTCTACATTTCACAGATCCTCGTATTGGGAACATATAACTATTAATTTAATAGATTGCACTCGGCTTTGGGTGTAACGCATGAAATAGTTTATCATGTAGGGGCCAATAGTAATGGCCAGAAGGAGTAAAATCGGGTGCTGCCAGAGCCGAGAGTAGGGTGGTCAGACGTGGGTGATGGAGAAGAAATTTTCATATGGACTCTGTTGATGATGCCTCTCATTTTTCCTATCAGCTGGGCAGGCACCTTCTGACGTGACTAAGACTGACCCTAATAACTCCTGAATGGTTGGTGTAAAAGCAACAAGATTTACCAAGGGCTAGGCATAGAGCTCCCTGTTTAAGGATAGGTCTAGACCTCACCAGTTCTGAAGGACAATCTCAGCCAGGGAGGTTAGAGACTCCTCCAAGGGATGAACATTACATTCAAGTGTGCTAGATCACAATCTGTTTTTTTCTTAATATTTGGTAATTTTGGCCTCCCATTATGAGGGCTTTGGTTCCTAGTGTTGTGGAATCAGCCACTTCTATCCCAAAAGGACAGGAAGTAGGACTGGGGCCCTCTTTTTCTTGTGAGGTTGGGTAACCCCATGTTTTCTCCCTCCTTTTTCAGAATATCAGTACACTTGGGGAAGAACATGAGTTAAGATGCAGAGTTCAGGCTTAGGTCCAGTGAAGACAGACAAGCACAAGGGTGAGGCCGTTTGTACAGGCAAACCGAGTTCCTGTGGGGAGACTAAAGTGGGTTGAGTGGGGAAGAGACATTTTGTACATACACAGTTGAATTGCAATTGATTGGAAATGGGGAGCACTTCAAGGGGAAGTTTACAGATTGAATACAAAGTCCAGAGCCCTGAATGTTTCCCAAAGTGAGGGACTTAGATCCCTGTCCCCACCACTGTAAAGAACCAGAATCAAGGTGTGAGGTGCTTACTATCTGGGTAAACAGATTTAGGGCTACATCTTTGGAGTTTTACTTTTAGTCCACTTAGCTGGAGTCTCTGGTCTTGTTGGCTTGAAGAGGGAGTGTTGAATCCAGTGGCTCTTTTCAGCAACCGTAAGGGCCATGGGAGAACTCAAGGTGACTGTACAGGGTCCTTCCCAGCGGGCACCTAGAGATGTGGGCTGGCTCCTTCTGATGTAAATTTAATCATCAGGTTAAGCCATCAGGGATCATCAGGTCTTTCAGGAACAGTCTGGTGGTCCCGGAACAAGCAATGGGTTGAGTGCAGGAAGGGCTGGAGAGCCTGTAAGGACCTAACAAGTTCCCCATTCATGACAGCAGCCGACTTATCATCTTGGACACAGGGAATCAAAGAGGGCAGTTGGCCATACATGACCTCAAAAGGAGTAATGTCCTGGAGGTAGGGGGCACATCATGCAGGCAGAAAGGCAAAAGGAAGGAGCCTCACCCACTTTTTACCAGTCTCAAGAGCCGGTTTAGAAATAGTTTCCTTTATAGTTTCCTATTTGTTCTGTCTACTTGGCCTGAACTTTGAAGCCAGCAGGCACAATGTAATTTCCAATTGATTTCTAAAGCTGCAGCTAAATTTTGAGTGATCTGAGCTATGAAAGCTGGACCATTGCTGGACCCCAGGGAGGTGGGCAAACCAAATCGAGGCACTGTTTCAGAGAGGAGTTTCTTAGCTACTAGGAGAGCTGATTCAGTCTGAGTGGTGAATTCTTCAGTCTATCCACTGAATGTATCTATGAGAACTAAGAGATACTAATGTTCTCCTCTTCCTGGGCCCATTTTGGCAAAGTCTGTCTCTCAGTGGTCTTCAGGGCTAAGTCTTCATTGTCTCTTTCAAACATCTGTGCTGGCCAGCTTAGGGTTCACTTAAAGACACTGTGGGCATTTTTGGCTCATCTCTTTAGTCAGGCAAGATAACTTGGCCAATTTGGTTCCCCCAAGTGAGTGGGTTTCCTGGATGAGATGGGGGTCCAATGATCTGTCAGCCTTCTGGAGGAAGTTGGGCTTCTCAGCTCTTGGCTGGTCTCAAGTCTGAATGTGAATTGGATGACTTGAGTAGCATGGGTGACGGGAGAACTGGGAGGAGTGTTATAGGCCCCACTGGTTTTAGTGCCACCTCTCTGGCTGTCTTTAACAGTGAGGGTATTTTCACAAGCTACTGGGGTGTCTTCTCATTGGTGCCCCAAACAATGTATCATGGAGACCTTTTGAAGCAACCAAATGGCAGCCAGGAGGTGTAAGATCTTGGGGGCATTCTTGATCTTTGTTCCTGATGAGGTTAATGTCCTCTTTCCTGAGAAATGGACCCATGAACGTGGACGGTAACAAAAGCGTACCAACTATTTGTCCACAGCTTAGGGCTTGAGTAAGTCAGTTTTGCCCACTGAGCTGAAGTTCCTGACCCTAAAGCTTGGGCCCATGTTACCTCAGTTTCAGTGGTCATCGTAGCTCCTGTCACTTGAGTACCTTGGAGGTAACTGCTGTTGTCTTGTGAAAAGAATGACTTCAGGCTGGGCAAGCGGGACATCGGTCATGTCAGCTCGCAGGCTTGAGACCGAGTCAATAATGTCCATACAACTATGTATTGGCATCGAGGGGTCATCATCAGGCAGGAGAGTTACTGGATTGAGGGCAGAACTAGACAGGAACTTGATGCGGTCAGTATCCAGTAAAAGGGCTTGCCACTGGACAATGCAAGCACTGGAAAGTCATCTTCAGGAGGCGACTGCAGCAGTGCCTCCGCAGCCTGTGGGGCCACGTCTGGAGGCTCTGGCCAAAAGTCAACTTAGTGGCTTCCCTGGTGAGTTTTGCAGTGGCTGCAATTGTCCATAGGCAGTTTGACCTCCCTGCAGCCATGGGGTCTAATCACCAGGAAAAATAGGCAACAGGCCTTTTCCAGGGTCCTAAGTACTGGGTTAAGACCCCTTTTGTTACCCCATGACTCTCAGCCACATGTGATTGGAAAGGTTTGGCTAAGCCAGGGAGAGCGAGGGCTGGGGCATTCACAAGAGCCTGTTTTAAATCAATGAAAGCTGTTCCTCTAACTCAGTCCAGGTTAGAGGTCCAGATGGATCCCCTCTAGTAGAGGTGTAGAGTGGCTGGGCTGTTTCAGCAGAACCCAGAATCCACAACTGGCAGCAGCCCAAAGCACCTAGAAATTTTGTAATCTGTCTTTGGGGAAGGGATTTTTAAGATAACCTCAATCCTTTTATCTGACAAAGTCCGATTTCCTGTTTAAATATATACCCCAGTAAGTGACTTTGGGCAGGCAGAGCTGTGCCTTTTTGGTGGAGACTCAATAGCCCAGTTTGTCTAAGTCTCTCAGTAGGTCCTCTTTGGCTTCCAGACCAGAGGACAAGTCTGCGGTGGCCATAGTAAATCATCTACATACTGAAGCACTGAGTCAGAGAGATGTTCTGCCCCAAAATCTTGCAGGTCCCTCCTCAGGGCCTCATCAAATAGAGTTGGTACATTTTTGAACCCCTGAGGTAAACGTGTCCAGGTCAATTGTCCTGATTCTACCGTCCTAGGATCTGTCCATTTAGAGGCATAGAAGGGTTGACCTACCAGAACCAGGAGTAGGGAGTAGGCATCCCTCAGGCATCCCTCCGGTCCAGTGTGGAGTAGCAGGTGTGCATAGGAGGCAGCAAACTGAGCAAAGTACATGGGTCAGGAACAGTGGGGTGCATAGTCATGACTCCTTTATTTACCTCTCGGAGGTCTTGGACCTGAAGTCCCAGGCTCCTGGACAGGTAGCAAAGGTGTGTTCCAGGCTGACTTACAAGCAAGCAGGATATTGGCCTCTTTTAGCCTTTGAATGTGCTTGGAAATTCCTTCCCTGGCTTGCAAGCTGAATGGATATTGGCGGACCGGATTGGGATGGCCCCAGGTAAGGGTGACTACAATTGGAGGCAGGTTGATTGCAAGTCCCTGTGGGTTGGCCTCCCAAAGGGACTTGGAACCTCTCTTTGTGTTAGGGTCTACCTCAACTCTGAAGAACAAAGCACTGCGCTGCTTCAGGCACCTCACCCAGCAGGGAGAGGGGATACACCCAGATCCCAAATCTCCTTTTGCCATTTTTGTAGCAACGAAATTGGAGGGGAGTCTGCCAGGGGTGAGTCTGCCAGAAACAAGTATCCTTCAGTCAGGAGGCAAGTAAGAATAGCAGAAGCAGGACTGGTAGTCACCTCTGATTTAGCTTTCTGAAGATGTCTAGTCTTTCTGTGAAACCTAAGAGTCATCGAGGGGTTTGTGTCCTCAAAAGAGATTTGAGCCTGTAACTTATGGAGCAAGTCTCGTCCGATCAGGGGGGTAAGAACATTTGGGCATGGCAAGGAAAAAGTGGATTAGGGACCCTCTGCTCAAATCCATAATACTGGCCTGAGTCCATGGGTAAGCCTTTATTTTTCCAGTTGTTCCTTGTCATGGTTTATGTCTGTGTCCCCCAGGCCTCATGAGTTTGCATTGTTTATTTGGATGGCTCATTGTATACTGCTTGGATTGATGGTGTCAGGGGTCCACCCACATAGAGGTGGAGCCAGGATGTGATGTAATGGCAGGAAGGTGTGTCTTGCTCTTTGCTGGTTCCGGCTTGCTGTTTGCAGCTGCCATGAACTGCGGCCCAGCCATGCCCACCTGTCTTGGAGCCAACTATGTGTGGACTGAAACCTCCAAAAACTGTAAGAAATAAACCTTTCCTTTCCCAACTTTGGGCTTCAGGTATTTTGTCTCAGCGACAAGCATAAAGTAACTAAGACATTCCTTGAATGCTTGTCTTGGTTTGAGTCAAGTGACCCACTGGCTGTGGTAGGACTGAATAACTCGTTCCTGTGTCTACCAAGAAGCTGACTTTTTGGGCTCTCTCTGTTAACTCCAAGAGTGCCTTACCTTTGAATCTTTCTAGCCTTTGAAGCATTTTTAAATATCTGGGGCCCACTGGGAGACAAATGCAATATTTAGGCCCGTCTGTTTCCAGGTGCCTGCAGATCAATAGGTGTATAGGAGGTGCTCCAAGAATGCAGATGGAGCCTTGTCAGGTCCCTAACTTACCTCTGTTTAGACAGATTAGTTGGCTTCCAAGTAGCTGTTTTTAAAAGCACCCAAACAAGCCTGGCAAAACCATAGGAGAAGCTCCTTACCTTGAATAGGGCGAGTGAGGGGCCTGGGGCAGAAGTCCAGAAAAGGGAGCTACAGCCCGCCGTGCTTGTGTCCATCAGGGAAGCTGCACTGCTGCCTGTGCTTTTGGCCTGGGAGAGCTGGAAGCCACCATTGTCCCCACCACATGGTGTGAGCTTTGGCTTTGGCTCTGGCTCCTCTCGGGTTGTGGCTGTCTGGTCACTTGTGTTTCTGCTGCTGCGCCCAGAGTCACTGGGCAGGAAACAGTTAAGGTGCTGTGCTCTGGGGAGAAGGAAGGGGGCCCCAGAGCTATTCTCTGCTGTAGGAGCCCAGAGAAGTCTGGGCCTCAGGTTTGGGGGGTTGAGGAGTAGGCACAAGTAGGTGTGGGGCCTGCAGGCAGGGGTGAATATCCCCTCTCCCTGCTGGGTGAGGTGCCCGAAGCAGAAGCAGCAGCAGCGGCAGCGCTTTGTTCTTCAGAGAGTTGAGGTAGACCCTAACACAAAGAGAGGTTCCAAGTCCCTTCGGGAGGCCTAGATACTCTGAAAGTGAGCCATTTAAAGTCACAAGAAAGTTTGGAGCCTACCTGGATAAAAAGGTTCACCATAGGAAGAGGCTCTTCAAGGAAATTCCTGAAAATGGTTAAGAACACATTACAAAGGCAACAAAAAGCAAAAGCAGACTGACACATTTACATGAATAATAGAGGAATAGCAAACATTAAACTGGTGACAAATAAGATTAACAAAACAAAGACAGAGACTGACACCTGGAGGACCAGTTTGACCTTATGGCCAACAAGTCTCAGCCAACATCTTGCTCTGAGAACGTGTGGTCTTAGAAACTAATGTTGCACCCAGAGTCTTCAAAGACCCCCAAGGGGCACCCACAACAAAAACTAGAACAGTCTTACTGGTTGGATCTGGACAGCTTGTTCTGTTGCCCACGACTACGTCTCATGTGAGTCTGTATTATGGGTCTGCACTGGAAAGGCCCAAAGGTCAGTGGTGGCAGGTAGAAGTCTGTGCCAGCGGGGTGAAGGATCTGTGCCAGCAGGCTGGGAAGTCTACACTTGAGCCAGGAAGCAGCACTCCAAGTAAGAACCAGGGCTCCCCCAAAGAGAACCACAGCCATCCTCGGAGACAGAGAGGACCCAAGCACCTCTGATGATAACAGCCAAGTTCATATCAGAAAATCCAGTGTGACAGGTCTCCAGGAGACTCAGTTGCACCATCTTCCCCTGCAGTTGTCTTTTTCTGCAGTTGGCAGTGATCCTCAGGTGGGTCCTCCATGCCCAGCAGCAGCTGACCATTAGTTAATTAGACCACAGGCGTCTAATGCCAGAGCTTGGATTTTGCCCTTCATGGCCTGATAGAAAGAGGAATTCTTTTCTCCTTCTCTAGCTGAGGCTCTTGTCATCAGCTGTTTGGGCAGCCTGTGGTTTTTAAGGACAAGCTCTGGAATTTTATCAGTGAGCACCAAGAGGAAACAGAGATTCCCTCCACCCCCCCAAAAAAACTCTGGAGTACAATATGGAAAGAATAAAGGGGATAATCAAACTGTTATCAAGTGGAACATGCTATGTGGGGCTGTGTGCATGATACAGTACTAGCGATCCCTCTATAAGACACTGCCTAGGGGCTGGGCTTAGTTCAGGGGCAGAGAACTTGCCTAGCAAGATGAGGCCGAGTTTATCTCCTGCACCACAAAACAAACAAACAAAAAAAGGGAACAAAAAGCTTGAGAAGCTAACAGTAAATAAAAACAAACAAAACAAACAAAAAACCCAACCACTAGAAAAGCTTTCTGTGGCCAAGTCCTGTCTTAGCTCTTGGAATAAACATGCTCCTCTCCCTGCATGGGGCACAGAGAGGTTAGATAATTTTCCCAGCACACAGCAGATTGGAAGTTCAAATCCAGTTAGCCTGGGACCAAAGCCTGTGAGTTCAGGGGTCCCACCTTCTGCACTTGCAATGGACACTGACCTCAACAGTGAATAAAAAGAGTTTAATTAGAACTTTTTCTTGCAAGTTGTATAAGTCAGCTTCAAATAAGGGTAACTTGCTTATTTTAAAAAGGTTTATTTAGCTTATGTGTCGGCAGTGGAGGGCCTTGTGGCTATGGGCTTCTGGGTGGGGTACCAGGTGGCAGTGGCAGGGTGTATGTGGCACAGCTAAGCTGTGGACGTCCCTGGGCAGGAAGCAGAGAGGAAAAGGAAGAGACCGGGGCCCTACAGTCCCTCACAGGCTGTGCCCCAATGACTAAGGGCTTTCTGCCAGGCTCCACCTCCTAAAGGTCCACCACGTTCCAGGAGCATCGACATGGAGTCCCAGCCCTGTGGGGAACACTTATCCCAGCCATAGCACAAGTAATGAAATCATTGCCGAGTTTATTCCCACTTATATATATATTTTTTGTCTTTTTCCTTTTTATCGGTACCTGGGATCAAACTCACGACTGCCTGCTTGCAAAGCAGGCGCTTATGCCGCTGAGCTAAATCCCCAGCCTCCTCCACTTCTATTTTAATATCCAAGTTTTAATCGGTACCATACACTGAGTCTCAATAGAACACTAAAGCCCCTCTCTTTTTCTTTCTCTCTCCACCCCACTTTCCTGGATGTTTGTAGACTTCACTGAAGTGTCCCCTGCACTTGTCAGTCCTATTAAATGTCTCTTCCTCACTACTAACTGGCACAGGCCTGCCACATCCCCATTTGTTGTGGGGCCTGAATGATCCTGTTTTTAATTTTCAAAAAGTGCCAGGAAATAATTCCGTGATGCACAAAGCATAGTGAATACTGTGACAACACCTCTCACCCCAGTTAGGACGGGATAAGCCGTGCTGGGATAACAAGTAAGCCCTAAAGTCTTGGTGGATCCTGGGGTCCTGGTGTGGACTGGGCAGCCCCTTCACTGTGTTGCCCGGTTACCTGGGGCCTGGTGCTGCCTCCACCATTTCTACAGGTGGAGGTAGATGGAGGAGATGTTCTAGCCAGGAAGTCACTTCCACTCACACCCACTGGCCAGAGCTAGTCATCTGGGCCCAGCCTGGCTCCAAGGAAGGCTGCAAAATATGGAGGACCATGCGGATGTTTGTAAAGCACCTACTGCCTCTCCAGGCCCCAGCATGTAGCCTAAGAAATGAGCGTCTCAGACACCATATTGGACACCCTGGCCATAACTCTCCTTGGCCTCCAGTAACCCTCAGCTTCTCAGAGTTCTGCTCCTTCATTTGGGATTTGTTCTGCTTTGTACTTGGCATTAGGGAGAGGCGGTTGGAGGCTCAGTGCAGTGGGTCAGGACTCATTTCAAGTGACCATCCTGGAGCTCAGATGCAGGTGGTGCTGACTTCTGTTCCTTTCTCAGCTTGGCTCCAGGGGAACTTGGAAGGCCACTTACCAGCTAGATTCAGTTTTTTCTTTCAGCTTCCGGTATCCCTTTTGTTTCCATTTTATAGCATGATCTCCTTCTGTCCAGAGTGTGGCAAAAATATCGAAGCAGCTTTCAAATTCTGCCCCTACTGTGGAAAACCTCTGCCTACAGACGAGCGTACACAGTCCCCAACCTGTGCCAGGCAACTCGTGTCATCCTTTCGAGGTAAGAACTGGCAGGACAGAGTAGCCTGGGGGGCAGGCAAAGCCTGGCTTCGGGGAGAGCTGTGGAACTTTCTGCCAGGTAGATGACACGATATGATTTGCATTTTCAGAGGCTTCCTGTGTGTGTGAAATGGCCTGGAGTTGGGAGGCTATCCCAGTTCTCCGGGGCCAGTCACGCTGGCACACTTAGTGACAACTGAGAGGATAAGATTGTGTCTTTGTGGGTTCAGAGATACCAGGAGACAAGTCAGCAGAAACAACAGACTACAGAATCACACTGCCAACGCCACAAACCTTAGAATTAACAGATGCAAATATTCACAAAACAGATTTAATATGTCTAAAGAAGTAACACTAAATTGGCAGTATAGTGAAGTAGGCTAGTATTAACCAGGCAGATTTAAAGAGGAAGCAAATGAAACTTCTTTAAATATATGTGTGTAGATAAATGACTGACTAGATAAAGCTTCAGGAAGAATTAGTGAACTGAATGATAGATTTGAAGAATTTAAACTTGGAAGAAAGCACAGAGGGACAAAATGATGGAGGATATGGAAGAAAGGCTAACATTCTGGGAGGCTGAGGTAGGGGGGTTGCAAGTTTGAACCCAGCCTAGGTGACTTAGCAACTAAGTGAGATCCTATCTGAAAATAAAAATTAAAAAAAAAGAGCTGGGGATGTAGCTCAGTGTGAAGGCCCTGGGCAATCTCTGGTATCATAAGTGGGGAGGTACATAAGGCCCATGGAGGAGAAAAGATCTAGAAGAAAGGAACCATTTGTGTAGCTAGTTAGAGGTAGAAGACTTGAGCCTTGCTGAGAAGGGCCTTGGACTCCCATCTGCCTTCTCTTTCCCTCAGGCTCAAAGAGAGAGCGAAACTCCAGCTTTGAAATCTCCCCCAAGAAAGTGAAATGGTCAAACATTGTCATCTCTTCCCAGTCGTCCCTCCTCTCCGATGGTCACAGTCCTGAGTCTGAAGGTGCTGGAAGCTCTTGTGAGAAACCCAAAGGTCAGAGTCAGGGTGGATCTGACCTGGATGGGCAAGGATGGGTTCTCTGACAATGATGGCAAAGCGGCCAGAGCCTCAGTTGGAACAGCAAGCACCCCTCATGTACCCCCAGCCTAGTCCCCCCGCTCAGGGCACCTCCACATGGTCCCCAGGGGCCCTGGCGCACACAGCACTGCCTGGCGCTCCCTCCACACAGCCCTGCGTTCCCATCTCCCACTGTCCTGCTGTTAGCTGGCACGTGGATGGCCAGTACCACCTTGTGCATGTGAGACTTACCTTGGGGATTTTCAGCCTCTGGACTTTCCTACGTCTGTTCCCTTGGCCCCATCGTCCCCTCCTATGCCTGGCCTGTCCACATCTCCAACACTAGGAGGTCCCCGTCCCTTGGAACCCACTCCTGAGCACCAGGGCGTCCTCGCCATCTCCAGTGCCTTTCCCCAGCCCCCTGGGCACCTGATCCTGCCCTCTCCTACCCTTGTGTCACTATGGGCTCTGAAGCTTTCTCGGTCTACACAGCCTTTGTGTCCAGGGACTCAGTGTAACTTGCCTGTCTTTACCTAGTCAGGATCAGGACACCAGGGGCTTGAGCATTTGCCTCTCTCCTGCCCACTGGGTCCTGGGTGCCTCGGTGCTCCTGGTCATCCCCAGGGCCCCAGAGGCCCTTCACCCTGTGTGCCCTGGGGGAGGGATGGTTGGGAGGGGTGAGGTGAGCACTGTTGCTATTTCCTGCCTCCCACTCCACCACCTCACTCTCGCACTGGTTCCTTTGATGACCCGGCCCGCGGGTCAATCCATGGGGTAACCACCTGGAGGAGGAACGGGGATTAACAAAGACAGGGCAAGAGACAAAGAGAGACGAGACAAGTTGAGGAATTCCAGTCAAGTCTCTTTACTGAGGAAGTGGTCGCAGCTTTTATAGGGCAAGGGCAGGGCGGTGGGACAGGAAGAGGCTACAGGGTGATCTCTGATGGGTCATCGTCACGTCTATGTATGTGATGTGAACAGGAGAGGATCATGGTTGATGTAGGCGCACTATATGCCCATATAAGGGAGAGGCGGAGAGACAGCAGCGGGGCAATCATGCGGCGCCCTACACTTTGAGGGCCCTATCTCCATCTGACACACTTCTGGGCCCTCTGTACTTGGTGCAGATGGATGTCTGGTGGCCTTTCCCCTTCATCTTCCTTTAGCAAACCTGCTCACCCAACAAGACTGGAACTCTAAAGTCCCCTCCTCTGGGAAGCCTCCAATAGTCACTTTCCTCTCTGGCCCTAATTTCACTCTGTGCAGGCTGTGTGCAGGTCAGATTCCCCAGCCATGCTGGCAGCTCCCAGGGGAAGTGACCAGGATCATCACACAAAGGACCTGGCCCAAGGAAGTCCAGAAAGTGTTTGCTGTCTGCAAGAACAAGTCAGCAAGCAGTATCATGAGTCTCCTTTCACTCCCCACCCACCTTTTCTGTCCTGGGTGCTGCCTCTCCTTGACTGTGACCTTTCTCCTGCAGGGTCCAGGAGTGGACCCCCAACCCCTAAAAGCAGCCCACAGTCCATCAGGCGAAGCCCTCAGACGCTGAAGCGGAGCCGTGTGACCACTTGCCTCGAGGCTTTGCCCTCGGGGACAGAGCTGACAGACAAGAACAGGCAACGCTGGAGGCTGGGAGCCCTGCAGTCCCGAGATGACCAAGGCATTCTCTACGAAGGTGCTGTGCCCAGCAGCCAGGGCGGCCCAGCACAGGGACCCTTCCCCGATGGAAATGCAGACCTGCTTCTGGCAGCTGTCTCTCAGGCCCACACTGCAAACTGACCTACCTGGGAGCTCATGGGCTGGAAGAAGGGTGGCGGGAGGGTCATGCACCTGGCCCATTGGTAATCACTTGCTCCATCCACCCTAGCTGATAGGAGTGCAGGCCAAGAGGCCACAAGAGAAAGACCATGCTGGCTGGCCCACAGGAACAGCTCGAACCCTCACCCAAAATTGGGTCAGATGCTGTGTTAGTTACTTCACTCATGTTGCTGAGACAAAACATTAGACACCCCAAGTTAAAGCAGGAAAGATTTATTTAGCTCACAGTTTGTAGAGGTTTCAGTCCATAATCAGCTGGCTCCAAGGCAGGGTGGCAGGGCACAGGAGCCGCTGTTCATTGGAGCAAAAGAGAGCAAAACAGCAAGAGCAAAAACGTGGAGAGCAAGCCTCTTTTCCTCCCTTATATAGTACGCAGGCCACCCATCCTTTAGTGGGTGTAATGCTCACTCCATCTGCCTGCCCTCCTCTTGTACATGATGAGGAGGTTTACAAAGTGACAACCCTAATTCCCTCCTAAGTCACTTAGTTAGACTTCTAAACTTCTCAAGCTGACATAGTAAACAACATCCTAGAGCAGGGATGGGCGTGTTCTTTGTACCCTAGGATGTAGTTAAGCTTCTAGACTTCTTCACGTGACACAGTGAACCATAAGAGATGTTGAGAATGATGATAGGGTCCATGCACTAAGAAGATGTGATGGATTTGTGACTTCCTTAATTCAGGTCTCAGTGAAGAGCAGGTTGAGCCTCGCACGCAGGTTCAGAATGCTCAAAGGAGCAAGGGAAGGAGCCCTTCCCAGGGTTGCACACTGCCTGGAGGGTGAGGCTTTCCACACAGGGCCAGGCCTCCCTCCTTGGGTGTGACCAGCTACCTGGGTGTGGTGACACCTGTAATCCCCGCACCCTAGGGGTCTGAAGGCAGAAGGATCTTAAATTCCAGCAAAAGCAGGGCAGTTCAGCAATTTAACAGCGACTCTCTCTAAATAAAAAAATAAAAAGACGAGGCTGTAGCTCAGTGTGAAGGCCCTGGGTTCAGTCGCCAGTTATAAAAGAAAGAAAAAAAGGGGAGGGAGGAGGAGGATGGATCTTCCGTACTTGCCCAGGTGTGAGACCTGGAGGGGTGAGGGTGAGAAGCAGGGTGGAGAAACTGGCAGTAGTCAGACCTCACACAGCAAGCGCTGTGGCTGTGAGGGAGGTGACCCTTAGCATCAGCGCTACCCAGCACCAGTCCCGTGCTTGCCCAGTGCCAGGCACTGTATTGTGTAGGTGTTTGATTGGCAGTTTTTAAATTGAGATAATATTCATAGAACATAAAAGTCATTATTTTAAAGTGTACCATCCAGTGGCTTTTCGAATATTTAGTGTCGCACAGCCACCACCACTACTTTAGTTCCAGAGCACTCCCATTGCTCCCCGAGTAAATCCAGGACCTCCATTAAGGTCTGAATGCCCCCAGCAAAGTCATGTTGAATGTTATCCCTGTGGGGAGCTTGTGAGAGTGGGACCAGGTCCCTCAAAGGGCGGTCAGGTGGTGTGAGGGCTCCGCCCTTGAGAATGGGTTCATCCAATCGTGGATTCACAGTCAGTGGGCTGGTGGCTCTCTGTTGACCAAGGGGGGGGGGTGGCCTTGTGTGTTCCTCTCGCTCAGGCACAGGATGTGGGTCACCCAGGATGTGGCCTTGATATGCATGGACCTGCTCCATCCCTGTGGTAACTGTGGGGATTGCTGTCCCTAGGGAAGCCTGTCAGAGACTCAGGGTCCCACCTGGTTATGGGGCCTGGTCCTGCGGCCACCTCTGCCTAATGTATAGCTAAACCCCAGGTCCCAGGAGGACAGCAGGTGTCCGCGTGGATCCAGCGAGTGCCTTGCATCATGAGGAGATGTAGGGGACCTGTCCCATTCCTCAGCCTTGGAAGGATGACAGTCTGGGGCCTGCAGTGTTAACCCTTTCTTGCCCCGGCTGGATGGCTGCAAAGGAAGAGGAAGGAGAAAAGAACCTCTTTAAAAATATGAAGGAGCAGGTTCTGCATCCCAAGAATGTGCCTGCCTGTGGGGCCAGGGAACCGGAACCACTTTTCACTGCTAGGAAGTGCATGGACCTGGACCGTGACCGTGATTGTGACCGTGAGCCTCTCAGGTTATGACTGTGCTCACTTGTTTCTGTTCCTCTATAGCCGAATCCGCCTCTGTCCTCCCCTGCGAGTCAAGGTCTCAGAAGTACCGGTTCTCCCTCAAACTGGTGAGTAACCCCTGAGCAGGGGACCTGGGGCTTTGCAAATGCACTGTGGATCTCTGAGCCCTTCTGTGAGCTGGGAGAGTTCAAGATGCCCCTGGTTGCGGGGTGCAGTGGGACCCTGGAAGGTTCCTGCTCACGTGGGGCTGCAGGAAATCTGTGGCCAGATGCACCCCTGCCCCGGCTCTAGTATATCCCAGCCATGTGACCCAAGCAGGGGTGTGCCCCCACACCCAGCTCCTGAGTGTCCTCACCAATGGAGAGTTCGTGACATGTGCCTCTCGTGACCTTCTACCACTGCTGTCTGCCACAGTATAGCTTGTATCTGTTGAGCACCTACTCTGCTGGGTCTTGGGTCCAGCAGAGAGGACATCAGATGAGTCCCCAGTTTTGATGAAACCACCTCCAGCAGGTGTTTAGCCCAGAGGCTCCGCAGACAGGCTCTGCGTGCACTCAGGAGCGGTGAAGGGGGAAGCGAGCGAGCTTTGTGCACGACAGGAGTGCTTCAGAAGAAAGGCCATCAAAGTGCCCTAGGCCACAGCCTCATTATCAGCCTGAGCGCTGGCATTTTGGGTAACTTTTTCTTTTTTGAGACAGTCTTTATGTAGTTCAGGAGCACTTGCAGTCCTCCTGCCTCAGTCTCCCAAGAGCTGGGATTATAGGCATGTGCCACCATGCCCAGCTTGGGTGACTTTTGTTTTCTTCTTTACACTAATTTGGACTGACCCCAGAAAACCAAGGACAGCCTGGTTGGGTGACCTCCCCCATCCCTAAATGGAAGCTGTGGGGTTATCATCAGGTCCCCTGTTTAACTCTTTTCTGCAAAATTCAGATGACATCAGGGACACAGTAAGTGCTTTGGCCATTCATGTTCTTCCTGCCATTGCCATTGCCTGGAAGAGGCAGAAACAACCTCTCTCTGGGACTATCTAGTCAGCATTCCTCAGACCTGTAAGGAAATGGTGTTGAGCTATGAGTTTGGCACTGGGGCAGGAGAAAGAGAACAGGAAAGGGAAAGCCTGTCCTCATCTGTTAAGAGTGGAACATAGAAGTTGCCCACTTGGTCATGTGATCTGACCTCACTGGAAAGGAGGCTGGGAAATGTAGTTTTTATATGAAGGCTACCTGCCTAGGGAAAACTTGTGAATCCTATCCTAGAAATGCAGAGGAACTAGGAGATAGCTCACACTGCCAGATATTTGCTCCTTGCAACACCCTGAGAAATTTGGTCCTAATGCAAGGATTTTAAAAACCCTAGGAGTAACATAGATACTGGGCTCTTGTGTTAGGGACCCTAGTGTGACAGCCTCTGCTCTCTTGTCCCCTTCAGGATGCCAAAGATGGGCGACTGTTCAATGAGCAGAACTTTTTCCAGCGGGCCGCCAAGCCTCTGCAAGGTATTCTGCAGGAAAGCGGGTGGAGGAGAGAATTGGGGTACCAGTTTGCATACAGCGACTTCCTTCTCCCTGCTGACATGGGCAAGGTGGGGACTCAGGCCCAGGTGTGACTCCCAGCTGTGCCCGCAGCTGTCCTTTGTCACTTGGGGCCTCAGGAAAGGATGGAGCTGACTCAGACCAGCTCTTCTGAGCCAAGTAATACTTGTGCAGGAGTGCTTCATGCTGGTGGTTATATGCAGCCAAGGTATTACAAGTTAAATCATGTAACTTAGCTATACTCAGCACAAAGACAATAAACACTCAGAAACCATCCTTGCCTATTCCTCTTCTGTACGTGCCATCACCTGTAACTCTTGTGGGTATCTGCTCTCTCAAAGCCCACTCCAGTCACATGTTGGTGGCTGTGCCAGGAAGTACTTACACCACAGAAGCTGGCAGAAATGCCAGTCCAGACCAGCTGTCCCTGGGCAGCCAGCTGCTATCTGCATCAGCCCGCGGGGACCCTGGCAGACACAGCGGGGCAGTTTCCGCTCGCGCTGAGCTCACTGGCTGCACATGCACACGCAGAGCTGCCTCTGCTGTTCTCCTCCCTTCTGTTCACTCCAGAGTGTGTGTTTCTCAGAAGTCACCCATATTCACCTCTGTTACCTTCAGGAATGGATACAGACACCTGTGGGTCATCCACACCCAGCCTGTCCCCACCCTCTCTCACTTTCACCGCCCCCCCAAAGATGTCATCTCCAATAAAGACGCAGGGTCGGCCCCGGGCTTTCAACTGGCCACTGCCACGTGGCCTGGTGCCTGGTGGGCTCTAAGGGAGCCCCTGTCTCCGCAGTGAACAAGTGGAAGAAGCTGTACTCCACCCCGCTGCTGGCCATCCCCACCTGTATCGGGTTCGGTGTTCACCAGGACAAGTACAGGTGAGCCGCTTCACTTGTCACCCGCTCCTGCGCCCTTCTCTCCCTATCCTATGCCTAGGTGCAGCTGTGGCCCTGGAGCCCCTGGCCAGTCAGCTGTCGCCTGTCTTCCCCTTGTTTTGAGCCAGCCTGTGACTGGTTAAGTGGAGCCTTTTTTGTCCCCTGGTGCTGGGACCTCGGGGTTCCTCACCACAGGCCTCCCTCAGTGCTACATTCCTCCCGCCCTTCATGTTTGTACCTCCTGGGATGCCCGTGTCTTCCAGGTTCTTGGTGTTCCCCAGGCTGGGGAGGAGCCTGCAGTCGGCCCTGGATAAGAGCCCGAAGTGTGTGATTTCGGAGAAGTGTGTATTCCAGGTGGCCTGCCGGCTGGTATGTGCCCCAAGCTGCTCGGCACTGTGGGGCTGCCACTGGGAGTCCGTCCGGCCTCTACTTGAAGAGTGCAGAGAGCTTCCTGGGAGAGGTGGTTTCCAACCCAGGACTCAGGCTGAGTGGGAAATGGCAAGGTGCTGGGGTGACTAGCAGTGGGGGTGTGTGAGAACATTCTGTGCCCAGGGTACAGTTTGGGCAAGGCTTGTCTGTTGGCACACAAGGCATTTGTTCGATCATTCTTTCCTTCCTCCTTATTGGAGGAACATGCTAGGTGCTGGGCTCCATGCCAGGGTCTGTGGAGAGAGGAAGGAACACCACTGACACAAGCTTCATGGTTTATTTTGGGGAGTGGGGGTTGAAACAGGGTCTCACCAGGTAGCCCAGGCCTGAAATTTTCATTGATCCTCCTGCCTCAGCTTCCAGAGTCTGGAGATACAGGCATGCGCCACCATGCCCAGCTAAGGCCTCGTTTGCTGTAGCTCACAGTTGGGTGGGAGAGGATCTTACTACATAGCCAGATGGCTGGGCGTGGTGCACGCACCTCTAGTCCCAGCACTTCCTTCAGGAGGCCAGGGCAGGAGGATGACAAGCTCAAACCCAGCCTGGGCAACTTGGTGACTTCATGATAGCCTGTCTTAAAATTAAAAAATAAAAAATTAAAAAGGACTGAGACTCGCTCAGTGTAAATGCTCTGGATTCAATTTCCAGTACTAGAAAACAAAACCAAAGGAAAAAACAAAACAGTAGTGCAAATGGTGACAAGTGCTTGGCGTAGAAGTGTCCCCTGCACTAGCAAAGAACCAGAGCAGCGAGGTCAGATAACCAGAAACAGAAGCAGCAAGGGCCTGACGCAGCTATGAGCCTGAGGTCTTTACATTCAGTATCAGTGCGGGACGAGCTGGGCTGGAGCTGAGGGTGCGGGGCAGCCAGGGAGGTGGGAAGGGAGGCAGGGGCAGCTGTGGGTGCAGAGGGGCAGGTGAGGCTGGTTGGGGTTCACATGGGAGCAGAAGGAGAGGGACAGTTAGGCCTTGAAGTCAGGGAGGAGCTTTGGGACATAGTGAAAGCCAGGCTCCGTGTCAGAGCCTGGAGCTGGGTGGAGAAGCTGGAAAGAAACTGCAGGTGGCTTAACTAAGTTGTTCTCTCTGGGAGGAGTGAAGAGAGATCGAGCTCTGGTGTATGTGTGTTCTGGGTTATTTAGGCTCAGGGCTTTAGGCAGCCCCTCATCTTCCTGAATTGAGAAGAAAGAGGAGTTATATGGAAAGCCAAATATTACTCAGTGAGTTAAAAACAAAAAAGAAAAATGAACATTTAATTTTTGCAAAAGCAACCGTAGAAGACACCTCAAGACACCCCCATCTACTGCATTGTTCTTGCCACTTCCTACAGCCACTCTGGAAGTCTTCATTCACCAGTGTCTCTCAGTGCACCACCCTGGCTGCCCTGTGTCCTGAATCCAACGAAAACATTTACCTTTCATGGTCATTTGACTTTGTGAGAGGATTCATTCATTCAGAGCCAGAAGTTTTGTGGTGCTAGGTCCGGTGGAACAAATGGCGATGCTTTTGTTTGACAGAAAATGCCGCTCAGAGATGCTTGCTTGTTTCTTTTCCCAGCTGGATGCCCTGGAGTTCCTCCATGAAAATGAGTATGTTCATGGAAATCTGACGGCAGAGAATGTCTTTGTGGACCCAGAGAATCTGAGCCAAGTAAGAGCCTGGTCCTCCACTCACTCTGGAAGGTCTTTGAGGGTTGCCAGCTGCCCCGAATCTCCATTCATTTTACAGTGCTCACACCTAACAAAAGGTTGCTGTCCACCATATGTAAAGAGCCCTCTAATAAATACTAAGGGATAAATTACTAGAAACATGGGCAAAGGTTAGGAAAAACAATTCATAGAAAAGAAACTCAGGTTAATTATATGACTGAACACTCAATCTCTAGAAATACAAACAAAACAAGGTAGGATTTTGCACCTGTTGGACAGATGGAGTTAGGAGTAGTAATATATCATGCTGGGAAGGATGGAAGGAAATAGGAATTCTTCACACACTGCTGGAGATGTGAATCAGGCAATCTTTTTGGACATTCATTTAGAGAGCTCAGTCACAACTGTATCCACATCTGTTGTTTGATCCATTAGTTCCTTTTAGAGGAGTGATTCCATATAAATCCTCCATATATCCACAGATCTGAGAGCAGTGGCACATGCCTGTAATCCCAGCACTTGGAAAGCTGAGGCAGGAGGATCTCTTGTGAGTTCAAGGCTGACCTAGGCTACATAGTGGGTTCAAGGCCAGCCTGAACTATATAGTGAGACCTTGACAGTGTTGGTTGTTGGTTATCATAATAAAGGGGAAATACCTTGATATCTGCATATATGGTCCAGGTAGAATGCTAATTAAATTGTGTTTTAAAGTAAACTCTGTTTACTTTCTCAGTTTTAAATGATAAAACAACATACTTAAGCAAAAATAATAGTAATGGGACTCTGTGTGCAATTTATTGGTGCATGGAATGGAAAAACTGAGACCAGGTCTCTAGACGGGGCTGGATCTGGAGAGCCCCTTGCTGGGAAACTAGCTCTTCCGGCTCTGGGATCTGCTTGCTTTTGTGTCGCTCACTGTCAGGCACTTTGCAAATGGAGAAATGAAAGCACAGAGCAATTTCAGAGCTGACCCAAGGCTGCACCAAAGGGCTGAGGCAGCATTTGAACCCAGGCCATCCAGCTCCACAGTCAGTGTCCTGAGCCACTGCCGAGGTGCAGAAAGCTGGGAGCCCAGCAGAAGGCCAGGTGATGCCTCTGTGGAAACAGAGGCCCCTGGAGGCTACCTGGTTATTTGAAGGAAATCATTCAGAGCACTGCCTGAGAATTTTGGGGCTGGGAAGAACGTGAGTGTCGGGTTGGCCTCTTCTCACTTTAGATCATCCTGTAGTATTTGGCATTTTTACTATAAGCACTGCTCTAGTATAGAAATTAAAATACCTATCGTGCATCTGTTGTTTCATATTTGCCCACTATTGGAGTCTCTGACACCAGGGTCTGTGCTCCTAACCGTCAGTCTGTGTGGCTTGTCTCCCTGTCCACAGGTGACCTTGGTAGGCTACGGCTTCTCCTTCCGCTACTGCCCAGGTGGCAGACACGTGGCCTACATGGAAGGCAGCAGGAGCCCACATGAGGGGGACCTTGAGCTCATTAGCCTGGACCTGCACAGAGGATGTGGTGAGGAGACAGAGGAGTGGCTTGGTCTCTTTGAGACTGCCGCCTTCAGGGGCAGCTCTGGGAACACAGGCAGCAGAGGGGCACGCACAGGAGAGGCTCAAAGGATTCACATTCACAACTGTGGCGAGCACCCTGGTTATGTAAGGGAAATACGGAGATCTGAGGATGCAGTCCAGCATTTACATCGTAGTGCCGCACAAGAACACAGGGACACTGAAATAGTGGCTGGTGGAGGGTGTGGGGTTCAGACCAAGTACAGCAGCTGGCTGGCTGAGGTGGGGGGATCCCCACCTTCCAGAGGTTGGGATTCAGGATGGTGGGGACCTTGCAGATGAGAATTGCCTTAGCGTCACCAGTTGAGTCAGTTGTTTATCCACGTGTGGAGCAGGGAGTGGTGTCTGGATAGCAGTTACGGCCTGAATCTCAGGAGAGGATGCTGGGGATGAGTGGGCTGGAGAGCTCAAAGTAAATTCCATGGCCCCCTTGTCCTCAGATCCCTTAAAATCATGACAGCCCACAAAGCCATCCTTATCCTCCTACCAGACTGAGCTCCCCTTGGGGCGGGGTGGCACCTGTGCCTCCAACATCAGATGGCAGGAGGTTGGCACAGTCAGCACTCAGCGGGTTTGTTTGTTTGTTTGTTTTGTCTTGTTTTTGGTAGCGGGGATTGAACTTATGACCTTGTGCTTCCCAGGTGGGCACTTACTCTGCTGAGATAAATCCCTGGTCCCCTCAGCATTTGTTGGCTGCTTCTGCAGAGCTGTCTAAGTTATGTGCTTTGGGAGGCAGAAGAATGGATCCTCAATTCTTGTCTTCCATCCCAGGCTGGATTCAGTGCCTGTCTGCTTGGGCTCCTTTGTATTTGTTCTGTTCCCTTTATGGCTCGATAGCTCTGCACTGTTATTGGCTCTTACTAAACTGTTCAAGGCTAAGACCCAACCCAACCCACTTCCTGTGTGGGTTTCAGTGCGGTGCTGAGGCCTCACTGAATGCATGAATGAAAGTTGGATAGATGGGGATGGGGCCAATGAGAGAGAGGGTAAAGGTGGGTCAGTGAATAAGTCATGGGGAGGGGGAGAGGGAGACAGAGACTGAAGAGTACATGGATAAATGAATGAGATAGCCCTCATGGCTGGAAAGTAAATGCTGGGGGAGGGAGAGGGGGAGAAAGAGAGACAGAGGGAGGGAGGGAGGGAGGGAGGGGGAGGGAGGGAGGGAGAGCGAGAAACAGACAGAGAGAGAGAGACAGAGAGAAGGGATAGGCATGGACACGTCAGGGTGGAGTGCCCAGGCTGAGCTGCCATCTCTTCCTCCCCCTCTCCAGGGCCCTCCCGCCGCAGTGACCTCCAGTCCCTTGGCTACTGTATGCTGAAGTGGCTTTTTGGGTCCCTGCCATGGACAAAGTGCCTTCCCAACACCGAGGAGATCATGAAGCAGAAGCAGAAGTGAGTCTGGGGGTCAGCAGAACCCAGCACTGCACAGCGTCTCTGCAGGTGGGGGAGAAACTCAGAGTCTAACAATAAGCGGGAAGGGCGAGAACTCGAATTTCCCAGAGCCAGGGTTCTCTGCCACCTCAGGCATGTGCCCTTCCTTCTGCTCTAGCCAGCGAGGGGCATGGGTGCTGGAGCTGTGCCACCTGGGGCTGGGCTCTCACCCCACAAGTGTGGGCTGTTGGGTGCTCAGCTTGACTTCTGTGACACTCAGCATCCTTCCTGTGTGACTCTTGTCCAATTAGCACCCTCCTGACAAAGCTGTGGGAGGATCGAAGGAGTTAGACAGCTCTTAGCACAGGGGTTATGTGCATCTTATGCAGGGCACCATGATTCACTGATTCATGGCCTGCAGGCAACCTAAACAGGGTAGGCCCAGACCTTGCCTAAGCATCCAGCATTACCAGCCACCGCGTGGCTGAGCCATAGTATCTGTGCCTTTGATCTGCTTTGTGAAGCCTCTTGGTCTCACCAGTTGTGGGTCCAGTGTGCAGCACCACGGACAGCGCAGAGCTCTGGCTTCAGCACTGTGGACAGCATCTGGCCCCTTTCAGGAGCTGCGTTGTTCGGTGCTCAGAGCACAGAGGCTTGGGGTACTGGGTTGCGGTTCAGCACCAAGGACAGCACTGGGCCCTCCGTGGCAGTGCTATACTGAGATGTTGGTCCAGTAACAAGGACAGGGTCATTCGTCCAGGGAAACCCTGAGGGTGCCCAGTGGTTAGTCAGCATCCAGGACAGACTAAGGGATGATGTTGCCCCAGCGTCATCTAGGCAGGGTTTCTGAGGAGGTGATTGGCTGTCAGCATCTCAGGGAGTGAGGTCAGCAGCTCCCAGCTGGAGCCCCGAGTAGGTGTGCACAGAGGAAGTGGGTGAATTCTCCAGTGAGGGCATTGAGGCTGCCGCCCCTCCCAGGCCGAAGCGTGCTGTGTCCCTTGCTCCTGGTGAACCTGTCACTTTGGTTCTCTCTCCTCTACATCCCTCGGTTCCTTTCTGTTAACCACGGAAGGTCTCTCAAACACACTTAGTATATACATTCTACCACTCCGCCTGTTTGGATGTCTCTGTACCCTTCAGACCGCGTGTGGCCCTGCTGTGTGTCTTCTGCATAAACAGTGCTGCACTGTGAATCTGTCTCTGACTCTTTTCATTCGCTGCTATGTTTCTCAACTTCAGCCGCACCCTTGTACATCTCTGAATTCACTGTTTCCGACTCCTGTGTAAATCAGTGCTGTGTGAACCTGGCTGTGTCCTTGAGTAGCACACGATGGTCCTGTGTGTATCTAACTTGCACTAATGATAATGCAGTAGCCCCAGCCACATCCAGGCGGGTGCCTGAAATGATGGATGGGATCAAACCCTGTGCTTTGTGTTTGTTCCTGTACATGGATGGCTACCGATGAAGTACTTTGTGAATGAGATACAGAATGAGATCAACATAATGTGTAATAAAACAGAACGCAGTTAACAATATACTGCAATAAAACATGAGAAAGGTCTTCCTCCCTCTGCCTCCCTCTCTCTGTCTGTTCTCACCCTTTTCTTACTGACCACATAAGCAAAGCTGTGGATGAGGGGAAACTGCTGTGTGCTCTGAATTCACTCCGTTCCCCAATGTCTCTTACTCAGTGTTGTGTTTTTAAATGTCAGTTGCATTGCTGATTTACTACTTCCAAATTCTTTCCCAGACTTCCTGTGTGGCTGTGTCTGTCCATGTGCCGTTGCTGGACCTCTGCTTAATTGGCATAAAAAGTGCCATCCCCAAGTTCACCCTCCCCAGCGAGCCATTCCCCACCCACGCTGGACTGTCTATGCCCACAGGAAAGGCGAGTCCTGTCCTGATGGCCGGCCCGTGGCTGTGACCTGCTCAGGGCCACTGTCAGTCACGCACTTGTCTGTGCCCAGCACGGCCTCCAGCGCTTCCCTGTGCCTTCCTCAGAGCCACACGGAGGCAAGCGCTCTCTTCCTCAGAGCATAGAGCCACGGTGGGTTGTCCAGGCCACACAGCTGCGAGGAGAAGCACTTAGACTTGAATCAGCCCCTTGGCTTCACAGACAGCCCCTTTCGCCTCGGTGCCAACCTGAGTGGACAGGTTCACTCAACAAACACTGAGCACTTTCCTGGGCCAGGCCCTGTTGTAATCTCTGGGGACCCAGGACTAAAGAACAAAAGTTCACACCCTCAGGACTAGTGGGAGACGGGCAGTGTGACTGTTGTCATGTGGTCACATCTAGGATGGATCTAACAGCAGTAGTGGTGGGAATGAGCTCTTTAAGGGCAGCATCAAGGCTTTACATGGTGACGGGGGTCATCCCAGTTCAGCCCTGAGATGCTGCAGAAAGGGGGGACAGGCGGGGAGGGGCCTTCAGCACCCAGTTACACAGGTGGCCTTGATCAGAAGCCAGTCTCACAGCCAGCTAGCATATGGGGCCATTGCTCTGAGTTATTGGAACTTACTTTTACAGTTAGTTTCTAGTTTCTGCTCACAGCAGTGAGACAGAGGCCCTTTTGCCCTGAAGCCAGGTGGAAACCATGCGTCCCAGAGTTAGCCCAACTGCCTCTCTCTTGAGGGGCAGGGTGGACCTCTTTCAACATGTGTGCATCCTTTTTGGGGTCCAAGCTGCACTGCCACTGTGTCCCACGCATGTGGTGCTTTGTGGACACAGGTGAGACAGCTCTGGTGGCCACAACTCGGGGTTCTTAGGCTGGGAGGAGACAGTGGGGCAGTAGGAGCTGAGGGAGCCGCAGGCCCTGCCACAGTGCCGGGCAGTGCTGCCTCCTGTGTGTGTGCCCGTTTCCATCAGACTGAGCAGCTGTGGACGCATCTTCCTGGCTGCTAGAAGGTGCCACCAGGGGGCGCCTGGTCCCTCTGTGCAGAGCAGCAGGGCCTTCCAGGTGGGCAGGAAGCATCTGAACCGCATCCGTTCATTCATTCATTCGTCCAGTTGATGCAGTAACCGAAAGGACCACGAGGGGGCCGTGTTGCAACATGCACATTTTCTGGCCCCTGAAGTTTGCTCCTGCAGCATACGTGACTGGTGTGTAGGATTTGGCCACGGGCTCTGCTGATCCTTGTGTGGTCCTTAGACATGATGGGATGAACAAGGGAATAAACATGAGACAGAGTTCAGTTCCCACAGGCGATCTGCTACGTGTGCCTCTTGTGAGGTGCGGATAGGTGTCAGTGAATCATTTATTAAGTAAGGTGTCTCCAACAGAAACTCACAGAAAGCAAGGTACTGGGGTTGGGGGTGCAGCTCAGCGATAGAGCACAGGCCCTGGTTTGACCCCCAGCACCATAAGAAAGAACGAGGTTATGTACCAATCGGTGGATGATCATATTGTGGCCAAAGCCTGGCAGGAACCCTTGTGATCAGCAGTTCCAGAGGGGCCGATTCAGCAGTCACAGCAGATCTTTTTCTTTCCATTGGTTGACTGACTGATTGATTGTGCTGGGAATCAAACCTACCACGGCCTCGCACATGGTGGGTAAGTTCTTGGCCACCAAGCTACATCCTTAGCATTCACAACAAACCTGTAGAACAGAACTGGCCATAAGTAGGGAGAACTGAGTGTGTATCTTCGGCACTCTGAGAGACTGAGCAAGAGGACCACGAGTTTTGAGGACTTAGCAATATAGCAAGCACTTATTTCAAAAGAAAAAACATAAAGGACTGGGCATGTAGCTCAGTGCAAGGGCCTTGGGTTCATACTTCATACCCCAACTCCTCAGTACCCCCCAAAAGAAAACAAAACACACACCACTCTCCTTCCCCGCATGATGTGCTTCTGTCCCTCCAGGTATCTCGACAGCCCAGAGCTGTTCATGGGACTGTACGGTCACTGCAGCCGGCCCTCAGGTAGGTCTTGAAGGGGAAGGGGACGGGGCGCCCTGGAAGGGTCCTGGCAGATCACACGTGTGATGTGTGCCAGCGTGAGAGGAAGTTCTTCAGAAAATTTCATAAACCTCTGAACAGTAGCAGAGTATGAACAGCACACTGGAGTCAGGTGCACACATACCAGTCTGCAGTTTGCTCCTGTGTCCCCACCCTCCCTGCCTTCCTTTGAGACAGTGTCTTTCTGAGTTGCTCAGTCTGGCCTCCTCAAACTCGAAACCCTCCAGTCTCAGCCCCACAGGTAGCTGGGGCTACAGGAATGATGTAACAGGCCAACTCCTTTCCATTTCTGTTTTTATATCTGAGAACAGTATCATGGAGCTGGCCTATGTTGGTATGAGCTGAATTTTGTCAGTAATTTAAAAAAATCATATGGGGCTGGGGGTTTAAAGCTCAGCGGCATAAGCACCTGCCTTGCAAGCAGGCGGTCGTGAGTTCAGTCCCCGGTACTGATAAAAAAATAAATAAAAATAAAAATCATAGTAAAATACACAAAATGTCAGTCTTTGTATTGTTTTTGGTGTTGGGGATTGAATCCAGGGTCTTGCACGTGCTAAGCACACACACTACCTCTGAGCTACACCCCCAGCTCCGTATTTTAAACACTGTGATGGTGGCTTATTAGTCATTCACAAAGTTAATTTTGTGAGTCAAGAACAGCATTTAAAAGAATTAATGCTGGGCATGGGGTGCACACCTGCAAACCCAGCATGTGGGAGGCTGAGGCAAGAGGATCACTGTGAGTTGGAAGCCAGCCTGGGTTACATAGTTCAGAGCCATCCTGGACTATATAACAAGACCTGTCTCAAAAAACAAATAAAAACCCCCCAAACATTGAAAAGAATAGACAAAAATATGAGTACCTTAAAGGAGTTAAGGAACTAAGGAAACTGGGAGAAGGTTCATTTTGTATTCTATGTTCCTGTTGGTCCGCTTTAAAACATGTTAAAGTCCTGTCTGTGTGCGAACCGCAGTCCACAGTGAGGTGCCAGCTCCCCACCGAGAAGGAGCTGGTATTCCTCCTTTGAGCATCATAAACTCTGCTCCTTCATACTTTTTTTTTTATTACATTAGGGTTTGAACATCATGGCATCATCTGCTTATAAAATCATTTAAATGCCACTGAAATGTGTAACCTGAAGAGTGAAGCCCTGCCTCCTCCCAGCACTCCTGGGAGGCAGGCTTTGTTGTTCTGTCTCTGCTTCCTAAAGACCAAAACAGAAAAGGGATACTGTGGTCCCTCTGGCTCCCTAGGAGCTCATGCTTGAAGTACAAGCATTTGAAATCAGTTCATATCCTGCCTCAGCTGCTCAAGCCTTGATCCCGGTCCCACTCTGGAAATGCCCACACCCACTGCTGCTCAGCTGAGCTCAGATTTTAAGGTACCAACTGGGAGGTGGCTCAGGGGCCCAGATGGCAGAACTCACACCCTCTTCCGTCAGCCTCCGCTCGATTATTTTGCAAATGTCACATAAAATGTAAGCATCCAGCAGAGCAGCCGCAAGCCAGCAGCACAGCGTGCCTCAAGGTGTCCCCACCCAGCTCCCTTTAGGCACAGCCCCCAAGCCCTGGGTTGGGAGACCTTCTCACCATCCCTCATGGGGGGGGTGTCTTTACCACAGAGACCCTGCAGCAGTACCTGAAGGTGGTGATGGCCCTCAAGTTTGAGGAGAAGCCACCGTACGCCCTGCTGAGGAACCATCTAGAAACCCTGCTGCAGGACCTGCAGGTGTCAGCTTATGACCCCCTCAACCTCCAGATGGTGCCATAGGTGAGGCAGGTTCCCAGTCTTCACACTTGCCCTGAGCCCCTGCTGTACCCCACCCTCACCCCAGGCTGCAGATGCGGCCCCCAGTGCCGGCCAGTGTCCCAAGAACCCGCTGTCTGGGTCAGGCAAGCAGCCTGGGCCCCAGCTGAGCTGCACTGTGTGCAGAGATGGGGGCCCAGGACTTTGTCACAGGGTTCTGAGGAGGAGCTTGAGGCAGGACTGTCCAAGGCCTGGCAAACAGTGTCAGGACATTTGCTTCTCTCTCTGTCCACTTCTGTGCCCTCTGGTGCTCGGCCATTCCTGCCCCTCTGTCCCCGCCTCACATCAACATCTCTGCCTCTGTGCCCTGTATCCCACCGTGCTGTCCCACAGCTCAGCACTGCAGGTCAGGAGAGCGTGCCACTGCTGCTCACCAGGGACGCCTTGCAGCACAGCCCACCCCACCCCGTCACCAACAAAGACCCGGCTGTCCCCAGGCTGCTGCAGAGAATACCTGGTGTGGGGCCTGCCCAGGTGGCTGACTGTCTCCCTCTCTGCATTTCTGTGGCACTGCATGGGTCACGGGTTTCTTCTGTGAGATGACGCAGGTGTGCACAGCTCCTGCACAAAGAGCTGCTCGGAAATGCAGTGCCAGGGCCAAAGCTCTGCACTGACCATGGAGTCCTTCGAGAAGCAGCCTTGGAACCAGGTGTGGTGCACGCCTGCAATTGCAGCTCTCAGGAGGCTGAGGCAGGAGGATCATGCTGAGTTCCAGGCCAGCCTGAATTACATAGTGAGATCCTGTCTGAAAAAAAGTCACGATAGTTTCTGCCCCCGTGTCTGTGGTGTCTTTCTGGCCCAGCTCAAGGCAGAGGCCCCCTAGGTGAGCACCAAGGACGCCACCCACTTGAGGTGGATGCCTCTGGGGAGGTCAGAGGCCTGTGCCTGCTTCTGCCCTGGGGAAGCCTGACCTGGTCAGCGTGGATACCAAGGCCAGGGAAAATGCTAGGAGTTCGTTCACCACAGTAGAGACTTTAAAGCATGAATGATCACTGATAGATAACTGCTGCCACCCAGTAGCCACTCAGTGACAGGGCTGTCCACTGTCCACTGAGAAAGCTGTGATCTTGAATAATGATGGCAGCGCTGTGCTGTGGCCACTCTGCTGACCGTGTCCTCCTCCGTTGGTGGGTACTGACCATCCGTGCCTGCTACCTGCCTTCCCCCCGCTCGTTCTAGACCAGGCCAGGGACCTTGGACCCTGGCTTTCCTGGGTCTGGCACCGTCCCCTTCTCTTCAGCATCCGGAGGCCACAGGGACCATGTCGCCTGCTCCCTGCACACCCCTATTCCCTACCACAGGGGCATGTGTTTGTGTGCAGGGCCTCCACCCCCTCCTGCAGGTGGTCAGCACTCAGGCGCCTGTCCTCTGCTCACAGCAGGGTGCCTGGTACCTGGTGGCAGCTGGCACAAAGGGGTGGGGCAGGTGGGGTGCTCCCAAAATGAGTGACGTCTCTAACAGCCATTCATGGTGTTTTCCAGAAGTTTCAACCTGCAGTTTGAAATAGAAACAAAAAAGAAGCAACGTGAGTCAAGGCCTGCTGTTTAATCACAGATGAGATTCTAGAAAAGTCCCCGGAATGTGCATCCCCGCCCCTTCTACTTCAGGAACCCCCGGATAATGTGAAGCTCCTCTGCCCCTCACCAAGACCCTCCTGGTCCCACTGTGCTTTAGTAATAAATTTTGACCATTCAGTCTTATATTCATTCATTCCAGCTTCTCTGGGCATAGGAGAGCACACTTAATAGTCCAGGCTACTTGGGTGGCTGGGGCAGGACAATCACTTGAACCCAAGAATTTGAAACCAAGCCCCATCTTAACAACAACAGTGTCCAGCTCTGTTCATTGTTTTTTTTTTTCTTCAGGCTGGCCTTGAACCCACTATATAACCGAGGCTGGCCTCGAACTCATGGTGATCCTCCTGCTTCAGCCTCCCAAGTGCTGAGATTACAGGCATGCACCACCATGCCTGGCTCTGTTCACTCATATATTAATGCAGATACTCACGTCCGTTTAGTCTTCTATTTGTCCATTCGTCACCCTCCAGTCCTTTCCTTTTTTTTTTTTTTTCTTATTTAAGGAGAAAAAGGAAAAAAAAAAGGGTACAAGTAATACAAAATTTAAAAAGTAAACAGTAAGAAATCACTACTTAATAGATTACAAATTCTCATCTTAGAAATAGTTGTTCAAGTTACAAAATTGAAGCATAGGGGCCAGGGATTTAGCTCAGTGGCATAAGTGCCTGCATTGTAAGCAGGCAGTCATGAGTTCAATCCCTGGTACCGATAAAAACGAAAAAGACCAAAAAAAAAAAAAAAAAAAAAACCAAAATTGAAGCATATAAAGTGGACCTTCAAACAGTGAGAGGGCAGTTTTGTTCAATGATCCAAAAAACACTCAGTAATATGGTTATCTTATACACTTAAACATATATGCATTTATAACCTTTAGAGCACTTTCTTTTCTTTTCTTTTGTACAATGACAATTACACATTTTGGGTTTTATTACCCCCACAGTTCTTATTACTTTTTTTGAAAAGAGTAAAACCAAATGCGACATATCAGAACAGAGTCAGTCAAATCTAAAGGGTGGACATAATAGATAATGTAAAAACAACATATAAGGTGATCAACAATGGTTACCATACTACCTCTTGCTATCTTAAGAAGAATTGGCAGTTATAATAAAATTGAACTAAACAGTAAAGAATAAAGCCAAAGCACTGGAGACATTACAGGATTTTAAAAGAAAATAATAGTCAAACAGAATGGGCGTCATAATGATTCTTATTGTCATCACAGTTATGCCTATACTTTCGAACTTGGTACTATCAAGCAAAGCAGAATAGAGGGAAATCAGTCAAAACAAGATGGTGAGGGCAATACAGGATTTCAAATCAAGTTAATAGGAAATCATAGTAGGTTACTATAGTGTATCCTGCTATTTTTTATTTATTTTTACCTTAATTAAAAAAATAAAAAAGTAAATAATTTTTAAAAAGGGATTGAGATAAAAGAGGGCATAACAACAGAACAGTGCAGGTCAAATCATAACCATTTGAGCAAAATAGTGTTTCACCACAAGATATCCTGACATAAAAATAGTTACCATAGTGTCGCTTTCCTTGAAATCTTTGAGTATAATTTCGTATACTGTAGCACCAAACATATCAACAGAGTGTAAAATCATTCAAGAGAAAGACATTATTACAGGGTATTTAGAACCAATTAACAGAAAATGAACAATGGTGTTTATATAAACTCCTTGTCTATAAAAGTTTTTGCTTATATTATCATATGTAATAAAACCCAATAAGATACGACCTTTTAAGACCGCTGGAGACAGAAGAATACAAGTTTGATGGGACTTCAAAACAAGATGATACTAAATCAGCACTAGCTATTATGATGTCTTGTTTTCTCTAAAATAGCTGTTTCTACCTTCCGATCTTCTCTGCCTCATTTCTGTTGAACTCTTTTTCTGTCGTTTGTTGTCAGTTTGTCTTCATTTCACTTTCTGCTCCATTCATTGTGGCCTCTCTGCCACTATTTCTGTAATCTTGGTATTTTCCTTTTTTAGACTATCCTGCAGTATTCTCTGTAGAGTTGAATTGATGGTTGCAAATTCCCCTAGTTCCTCTTTATCCTGGAAGCATCTTGTTTTTCCATCAATTTCTAGGGACAGTTGTGCACAACATATCAATCTTGGCTGGAGGTTATTTTTCAAAGCTTGAATTATTTCCCCCCACGCTCTTCGTGATTTGATGGTTTGTGCCAAGAAGTCAGCTGTAATTCTGATGAGTGTTCCCTTGTAAGTGATCTGTTTCTTGTCTCTGATGGCTTTTAATATTCTGTTCTTATATTGGATTTCTGGAATTTTGATTATTATATGCTTGGGTGTAGCTCTGTTTGGGTTGTAGGTGGCTGGAGTAGGCCTGTATGCCTCATATATCCGAGTATCTTTACCATTTGCTAAATTAGGGAAATTCTCTTGGATTATTTCTGTGAATAGCTTTTGTAGTCCATTTGTTTGTGTCCCCACTTCTCTTATGTTCTTAATTCTTAAGTTATAGATCCTCTTATCATCTTCTAGCTTCTGTATTGTTGCTGTTTGGGTTTTTTTTTGTTGTTGTTATTGTTATTTTTAAGAAGTTTTTCATTTCATGTTCCCATATTACAAATCTGCCCTCCAGTTCAGATAATCTATCCTTAGTTTCTTTCAAGCTGTTATGTCAGTTTTTGATAGGGTTTTTAGTTTCCTGGTAATCTCTTTGAACCTGCTATGCTTTCTCTGTTTTCTCCATCAAACAATTCTCCCCTTTTTTTCTGTTCTTCCATTCCACTATCTGTTTTTTCTTGGGCAGTGCTTAGCATTTCTCTAACTATTCTGCTTATGTCTTGCTTCGGGTCATTAATAACTTCATTCCTGAACTCATCTATGAGGATCTGGAGAGCACTTTATGTCTATTGGTGCCGTGTCTGCTATTGCATGTTTCTCAGGATTGGGGGCCGAGGACCCTTTCTTGTTGCTCCCTCTTCCCATATTCTTTGTTCCGTATATATAAGCGTGTAAAGGAGGCCCAGCTTCCTTCCCTGTTGGCCACAGTCTGTTTGAATTGCCCTGGCTAGGTGTTCCCGCCCACTGCAGCACACCAGGGAGACACAGACCTCGGCAGTCTACAACGGGCCTGCCCCTCCAGGTCAACCTACTGAAGGCTTCACCGCTAGGGTGCACCTCCAGACGCTAGGACCTGTGTTGGGCTTGCCTATTGGGTCTCAGCCAGTGGCGTCATGCAGGCCAGGCACTCCCCACCAATCCCACTTGAGAAGGGGATATGTGACTGAAGTCACTACAGCATCTCATTCGGGAAGTCTGCCTGGTCCGAGTATGTCCTCCACTGAAGCCTCCTTCTCTATGGAAGTGTCCCCGATCTGCTCACTCACTACAGGTCAATGCAGGGCACCTGGCCAGCCCCGCTCCTAACTCCATTCAATGCTTCCCACTCTCTGAGCTTTCGCGCCTCTCTCCCCGCCGTGCTGACCAGGATGCAACAGCAGCTGCAGGAAATTCAGATTGCAGTTTCCATTGGCTCGGGGTCTGGCGTCCGTGCTGAGACCTTATCTGTTCCTGCTGTATCACCAGGATTGCGTTTCCAGTTGGTTTCTCTTAATTTAGTTTGTTCCTGGGTCAGCAAAGAATATCCTCCCTTGCCTAGGACTTCCTGCCTGGCACAATTCCTGGATTTCAAGTGCGGTTTCTCAGAGAGCCTCCGAGGCTGCTGCTATCTATCTGCCATGTTCTTCCAGACTCCTCCAGTCCTTTTCATCTGTGCATCCATCCATCCCTCTAATCTCTTCCGTCCTCCCTTTCATTCATCTATGCAGTCTCCTATGTATACACCCAGTCTGCCAATCTTCTACTTAGCCATCTGTCCATCTCCCTCCCATGTACCTTTTTTATCCCTCCACCCCCTTATTCTTCTGCTCCCTTACCCTTTCTTTCATACTTTCATCCTTCCTTTTATTCAGAAAACACTCATCAGATATTTTGTATTGGTGAGTTTTCCATTACTGTAGTGCATTGCCCGAGGTAGACAATGAGAGAAGATGTTCACAGGTGTGAACAGCACCACCAGCATCAGCTCTCCCCTGGTGAGGACCGTCTTGCAGGGGGCATCACAGTGTGGTGGTCACGATGGGGTAGAATCACATCCTGAAACGGGGCGGGGGCAGAGAGGCAATTGAGGAGTATTTCATAGCAACTTGGGTTCCTGAGAACGCCCTCCAGCCCGTCCCATGTCACACCTGCAGTGACCTAAGTACTCTCCCTTAGGCCCACCTCTTGACATTGGCACACTGAGCACAAGGTCCCGGAACACACACCACAGTGCTCTGCAAATGACAGGCACCAGGCAGAAGATGCTGAGTGAGCAAGACTGTGGGGTCCCAGAGCCAACGGCAAATGGAGACCATAAAGAGGCCCAGGGATGAGGCACCATCTCATGTGAGCTGTGGGCTGGGCCAGGGGCACAGAGGACAGGAAGGGAGCGCCTTCAGGTTTCAGGGGAGGCCGCCAAGCAGCAGGTGGTGGGTGATTAGGTTGGGGAAAGGGAGGAGGTAACCACACCTTGGGGGATTTTGTACTCTGGAGTATGGACACTCAGCTTTGCTGCTCAGTGGGCATAGAACCCAATGATCTGGCACCAGTGTTGCAAAAAGAAAAGAAAAAACATTGAAAAAACATTGAAAACCAAGCATCAGATTTTTTGAAAAGTGCGAATATCTCTCTAATCAGCAAGGTGTCAGAGGGGTTATGGGAAAGGGGAGAGGAGACGATCATTGGTGGCTGGCTGGGAGAAGTGGTCTCCTGAGTCCTTGTGCAGGCGCAGAGGGTCACTGCACACCTGCATGGGTGGCCTGGTATAATTTCCCTGCCTGGAGATTTGAGCTGGTGATGTCAAAAGGTCACTGACCAAGCAAGTTGGTGCTTCAGTTCGTGTCCATGTTTGGAAAGTCAGTTTCCTCCAGTCCTTGATGGAATCCGGGGGCATTTCCTTAAAAAACAAAAAACAACAACAACAACAACAAAAAAACAGTGATTTTCTGCATAAGAGTTTATGTCCTGGAGCATCTGATTTGGTTTTGTGTGAGCCTGTCTTCTTCACTGGTCTGCGTGTGCAGCACATGAGCTCACTCCCTAGAGGGCTCGGTGTGTGTACACAACGAGTTCCTTCACGGTTCCTTCACAGCCCCTTGTTACCCCCCCCCCGCGCTCACTCCCTAGAGGGCTCGGTGTGTGTACACAACGAGTTCCTTCACGGTTCCTTCACAGCCCCTTGTTACCCCCCCCCCCCCCGCGCACCATCTCCTGGTCCCTGCTCTTTTGCAAAAGATCTACCTCTCATCTTCCCATTATCTGACTTCTTAAATTTATATTTTGGTTTTCTCATCTAAGAGAAAACCAAGTGTATTTAAGCTTGTGCGTCTGATTTATTTCACTAACATTATGGTGGCAAGGGGCATCCATTTTGCTACCAATGACTCATTTGCCTTTCTTTATGGCATCTCCTTTTTTCTTGTAATTGCTCCAGAAAGGTTTGATGGAAAATAGAGCCCTGTTAGTGCTGAGGCTGTTCCTCCTGTTGGACTGTTACAGTTTTTTTGTTTTTTTGGTACTGGGGATCGAACTCACAACCTTGCACTTGCCAGGTAGGCGCTTATGCCACTGAGCTAAATCCCCAGGCCTTGTTTTGCATCTTGCTATGCAATGCAGGATGGCCTTGGGCTCACTTTGCAGCCCAGGCTGGTCTTGAACTTGCACTGATCCTCCTGCCTCAGCCTCCCGAGTGCTGGGATTACAGGCGTGCACCAGCACACCCGGCTGAAGACACCATTTAGAAGAAGGCAATAAATCCCCAATTTCTTCATGTGCATAGTCACTGCAGAATCAGCTATGGCTATCTTTTGGCAAAAATTTTATCCCTCTAAGAAAGTGACACTTTTGACTTCCGGGAAAACATGGCGGACAGATAACAGCAACTACCGGAGGCTCTCTGAAAGACTCGGCTCAGAAGCCAGGAATGGTGCGGACTAAGGAGACATAAGCAGGTGGAGATATGCTCCACTGACTCAGGAACGAACTGGGCTGAGAGAAACCAACTTGGAATGCATTCCTGGTGCTAAAACAGGAACAGAAAAGCCTCGGTGTGGAGGCTGGACCCCGCGCCATTGTAAGCCGCGATTTGGGTTTCCCGCCGCACGGCGGCTGGCTGCCTCTACAGTGGCTCGGCAAGGAGAGAGACGCGCAGAAGCTCTGAGAACAGAAATCTGCGAACGGCAGGGAGGCGTGCACTGACTTGTGGTGAGGTGAGTGAGAGAAGCTGACACTCTACCACAGTTTGACTCCAGCGGAGGACTTTCTGGGTCCGAGCAGTCCTGCGGGAGCGGGGCGCGGTGGCGACTCCAGCCACACATCCCCCTCTCGGGCGGGATTGGTGAAAAGTGCCTGGCCTGCGTGATGCTGCCGGCGGACCTGGTAGACTGTCCCAACCCAGATCCCAGAGCCTGACGGTGGCCCAGAGGGGCGACTCCCGCGTAGGCTGCCTGGTCCGTAACTCCCTGGTGCGCAGCGGTGAGCGGGAACACCTAACTGGCGCAATTCGATCAGGCTGTGGCTGACTGGGAGAGAAGCTGGGCCTCTTATATAAGCTTGCATATATAAGGAACAGAGAAGAAGAGGCAGCATGGGAAGAGGCAGCAACAAGAAAGGCTCCTCGGCCCCCAATTCTGAGAAACAGGCAATAGCAGACACCGCACCAATATACATAAGGCACCATATAGAGAGCCTCATAGACCAATTCAGGAATGAAGTTATCAACGACCTGAAGCTAGAAGTATGCAGAATAGTTAGAGAAATGCTAAGTACCACCCAAGAAAAAACAGGCGGTGGAATGGAAGAACAGAAAAAAAGGGGAGAATTGTTTGATGGAGAAAACAGAGAAAGCATAGAATACGTGAAACAGGTTCAAAGGGACTACCAAGATACTAAGAAGTCTATAGAAGACTGGCATAACAGCTTGAAAGAAACTAAGGACAGACTATCTGAACTGGAGGGCAGACTTGTAATATGGGAGAATGAAATGAAAAACTTCTTAAAAATAACGAAGAAACAAACAGCAATAATACAAAGACAAGAAGATGATAAGAGGATCCATAACTTAAGGATTAAGAACATAAAAGAAGAAGTAGGGACACAAACGAGTGAACTACAAAAGCTACTCACAGAAATAATCCAGGAGAATTTTCCTAATTTAGCAAAAGGTAAAGATACTCAGATGTATGAGGCATACAGGACCCCAGCTACCTACAACCCAAACAGAGCAACACCCAGGCATATAATAATAAAAATTCCAGAAATTCAATACAAGAACAGAATATTAAAAGCTGTAAGAGACAAGAAACAGACCACTTACAAGGGAACACCCATCAGAATTACAGCAGATTTCTCGGCACAAACCATCAAATCACGAAGAGCGTGGGGGGAAATAATTCAAGCTTTGAAAGATAATAATCTCCAGCCAAGATTGAGATATCCTGCACAACTGTCCCTGGAAATTGATGGAAAAACAAGGTGCTTCCAGGATAAAGAGGAACTGGGGGAATTTGCAACCACCAATTCAACTCTACAGAGAGTATTGCAGGATATTCTAAAAAAAGAAAAATACAAAGAATCCAGAAATAATGGCAGAGAGGCCACAACGAATGGAGCAGAGAACAAAATGAAGAAGATAAACTGACAGCTACCGACAGAAAAAGAGCTCAACAGAAATGAGGCAGAGAAGATTGGATGATAGGAACAGCTATTTTGGAGAAAATGACATCTTAATAGGTAATACTGATTTAGTATCATCTTGTTTTGAAGTCTCATCTAGCTTTTGTCCTTCTGTCTCTAATGGTCTAAATAGGTGGTATCTTACTGGATTTTATTATGTACGATAGTATAAGCAAAAACCTTGTAAAGACAAGGAGATTATACAGAAACCATTATTCATTTTCTGTTAGTCGATTCTAAATACTCTGTAATGCTGTCATTCTCTTGAATGGTTTTACATTGTTTTGATATACTTAATGCTACAGTATATGAAGTTGTACTCAAGGATTTCAAAGAAAGAGACAATATGGTAACTACTTTTAGGTTAGGATTATCTGATGGTGAAACACTTCTGCTTAAATGGTTATGTTTTGATCTGCACTGTTTCGTTGTTATGCCCTCTTTTATCTCAATCTCCACTCCATTATTTACTTTTTTATCTTTATCCTTTTAATTAAAGGAAAAAAATAGCAGGATATATTATAGTAACCCACTTTGACTTTTCATTACCTTGATTTAAAGCCCTGTATTACTCTCACCATCTGGTTTTTAACTGATGTTCCCCTATTCTGTTTTGCTGGATAGTATCAGGTTCGAAAGTTTAGGCATCAGCTGTGAAGATAATGAGATTCATTATGACGCCCATTCTTGTTGACTTTTATCTACTTTTGAAGACCTACAATGTCTCCAATGTTTTGGTTTTGTCGGTTTTATTCTTTACTGTTTTGTTCAATTGTATTATAACTAACGATATAGGCAATTCTATTAGAGATAGCGGGAGGCATTATAGTAACCATTGTTGATCACCTTGTATTATGTTTTTACATTATCTATTATGTCCACCCTTTTGACTTGACCAATTCTGTTCTGTTATGTCACATTTGGTTTTACTCTCTTCCAAAAAAGTAATAAGAACAGTGGGAGCAATGAAACCCAAAATGTGTAATAGTCATGGTACAAAAGAGAGGAAAAGAAAGTGCTCCAAACTATATAACTGCATGTATATTTAAGTGTATAAGATAGAAAATGATATCACAGAGTTTTATTGGATCAATGAACAGAACTGTTTGCAGTATCATTGATGGAATGTCCACTTTACAAGCTTTAATTTTGTGACTTGAACAATTATTTCTAAGATGACAATATGTAATCCATTAACTAGTGATTTCCTACTGTTCATTTTTTTTTCTGTAAATCTGTATAACTTGTACCCTTTCCCTGCTTTTTTTTTTCTTTTCTCCTTAAATAAAATTTAAAAAAAAAAAAAAAAAAAAAAAAAGAAAGTGACACTTTTATGTGGATGCTCGGATTACTCCAGGATAGGCACACATGGAGTCTCTGAGTGTGAAAAAGGGAATAAAACTTGACAATGTCGTTCATTTTTGGTCAGGAGGCACCGTTTTGGAGTCATTCATGGGGAGATACATTGCACCCTAAGGAATGAGAAAATGGGGTTCTCACCCCTCGCAGGGCAGGTCCAGGAGCAGGGCTTGGCACGGCTGTCTTTCTGTGGGCACATGGGGAACTCACTGGCTTTTGGAGCTGATGTCCACTGTCTGTCCTCACAAAGGAATGCTCAGCACAAAGCTGGGCGTGCCCCCACTTCCCAGGCCCCACACTCACCTGGAGAAGATGAGGAAGACGCAGACAGAGAGCAGCAGAGCCATGCCCGCTCCCACAGAGATGCCCACCGGGAATCCTGCCCAGTGCTCTGGCTCCTCGGCAGACCGCAGGGTGAGGACAAATCCCCTCCAGTCCCCACAGCCTTTGCCGCTCCCTTCCACACCCCCACCAGCTCTCCCATTTCTTCATCCTCCAAACAGCAAAGAATCGGGACCAGACCACCCTGCCTGTCCTGCCCAGCCCTGCTCTGGCTGGGGAGCTGATCAGGCCCCTAATACCTGTGGAGGGAATGGCAGGGACTAAAGCAAAACAAAAGATAATATTCAAGATGCCAGGGGAACCAGAAAAGTTTGCCTCTAGTGGCCTGGCTCTATGAACCCATATGTGTTACACTTGCAGCACAACAGGGAGCATAGGGTGTTGCTTCGCACCCCCCCCCCCCGCCAACAGTGACAGCAGTAAGCATGGATAATAAAATGGGGATTAAACTGAGCATTTTATTCATTTATTTATTTAGGCCTTTTTCTTTAAGACAGGGTTTTACTATATGATTCAGGCTGGCCTTGAACTCATTTTGTTGCCCAGGCTGGCCTGGAATTCACAGCAATCCTCCTGCCTCAGCCTGCAAAGTGCTGGGATTATGGGTAAGTTTAGTATTTTAAGCTGAGGTCCCATTCTATACCTGGAGGCCTGCATTCTGTACACTGTCTTTAGCAGATATTTCCTGACCTCCAGTATCTGTGAACATGAGCTTGCCCATCACAGCCAGAGAGCACGAAGCTATTTGGAAACTTTCCAGTCCCTGGGGCAACGCACACTGCCCTCAGACCCCAGGACTTCAGTCATGGTCCCTCCCAAAGTAAAATATTAGTTCACTACCTTTGGTTCCCAAAACACCGGCCCCTGGACTTCATCCTTCCTCAAATCCAACTCCCCCTAAGCCCCCACCGCTCCCAAACTCCTGGGCCCTCACCTGGCAGCAGCAGGACAGTGGCACTCTGGACCCCGTGCACATTCTGTGCCTTGCAGCTGAGCTGAGGCCAGAGCTGAGCCTGCCATGGACACTAACAGAGCTGTTGGCCCAGGGCCCAGCAGAGCTGGTGGAGATCATGAAGGAGGCGTTGCTGCTGTTCCCCTCCAGCCACCAGCCCAGGGACGGTGCAGGCTGGGCACGGGAGGAGCACTGGTAGCCCAGACCCTCAGCCTCCCGAGAGCACCAGGGTCCCAGCAGCTGGGGGGCGTCTGTGGGAGGGAGGAGGAGGGTCACAGGTGTCCCCTTTCCCAGGCCCTAGGGCTCCCCTCCCTACTCACAGTGCACAGAGAGGCTCAGAGAGACACTGTGGATGCCCAGTGGGTTTCTGCATGGCAGGTGACGTTCCCTTCATGCTCTGTCTGTACCCAGGACAGCTCCACAACGCCAAAGGCCAAAGGCCTTGAGGAATTCAGGGTCTGTGTCCCCCAGGCCCAGCTCAGCCTGACTGGGGGGTTGCTGTGAGCGACACACACCAGGCGCAGGCTCTGGCCCTCCAGGACGGGCACAGATGTGCCATTCTCGAGCATTTCCAGGACTGAGAAGTGAGAGAATCATGTGCGTTCCACTGCCTAGATTAGAGCTACATTTTGTCCTGATCCCTCTGTCCCTCTCCTACCTGTGCTGTTTTCTTGGAACACTGTGACTCTCAGGTCCTCAGGAGGATCAGCAATGCAGACAGGGAAGTGCCTCTGAAGGGGCTGGGGCTCCCTCTGGGCAGAGGATCCATCCAGGAGATGGAGGAGGAGAGAAGGACAGTTACCCACTGGGTCCCCAATACAAACTGCCCATCCATACAGGCAGATGAGAGCCAGGTCCTGCAGGTCTGGGGTTCCAGCCCTCTCAGAGCTCTGCCCCTGTCCCCACTCTGTCCCTCCCAGAACAGGAGGCTCTGGTCACTCACACTGCACTGAGAGGTCCAGGGTGTGGTGGTGGAAGCCCAGCTCATTCTCTGCTTGGCAGGTGTAGCTCCCCGCATCCCCAGACTTTACCCCAGGCAGCTCCAGCCTTAAGGGTCTGGGTCCTGAGGGAGGGGACTGAGAGAGGACTCTGCCCCCCAGGTCCCAGGTCAGCGCGGCAGGGGGCTGGCTGTCAGCAGCACAGAGGAGCCTCAGGACCTGGCCTTTCTGGACTTCCAGGTAGGAGCCATTTCTCTGAGTGTCTAGGGCTGGACAGAGAGAGGCAGGCACAGGTGGAGGAAGCTGGCCCGCGACACAGCGAGGAGAGACAGAGCTGAGCCCGGCCTAGGGCTCTGAGGCCCAGCTCATCCTCTGCCTTTCTATTTAATAGCGCTAGAGATCCCCTCTCCCCAGGTGTGTTCACAGCAGCTTTTTCCAGGCACAACTCACACACATACACCCCATGTACACACAGCTGAAAGTATGCAATTCAGCAGCCTTGTGCAGTCACGGAGCTGCGAATCAGCCATCACTGCCTTGGAACAGGTCACTCCTGAGCTGCCCCCACCCCTCATCCTCTCCCCAGTCCTGCATCTCCAACCTGAAGTGACTACAATGGCTCTGGCTCCTCCTCCACACTTCCTTCCTCCAGAACTGCTCACCGAGACCCATGTCCACCTTCGCTCAACTGCCCACAGTCCAGTTATCATGTCTCCCAAGCTCTTTGGGACCTGACCCCGCCTCCTCCTGTGCCCCGATTTCCCAGTTTCCTGGCAGGAGCAGGCTGTGTTTAGCCCAGCCAGGACACGGGCTGAGCTGCCAGAGCTCAGGTCCCCCAGGTTCCTGCTCAGGCCATGCCTGCTCTGGTCACAGGTGACAAGGAATGATAGTCCCTCCCTCCAGAGCTCTCCCGAGTGACTCTGTCACATCATGGTCTAGTGGTTTGGAGGGTTCATCCGCACAGAGCCCCACATTTTCAGTCTGCTGTAGAGCACAGACTCCCTGTACCCAGCATTGGGTGACTGCAGTGTGGAAATCCTGCCGGTGCCAGTCCCTGGGTGAGACTGGAAATGGGGACTCGGGGCTCCTGAGTCAGAATCTGTGGTGCCCAGGAGCCCTGGGAATGGTGCTAACAGTGTTTGGGAAGCAGCACCCCAGAATGTGGGGGTGCAGGTTCACTGGGGGGTTCTCACAGGGGCAGAACAGCCACCACACGGGCCCCAAGATGAAACAGCGACTCAGCTCTGCCACTTTCACGCGGCAGAGGGGCCACAGAGAAGGACTCGCAGGATGACCACCCGGGCAGCACGGGGGGCATCTGGGACCTGACGCAGGGCACGTTCACAGGGTCGCTTCCCATAACTTCCCGCACTTCTGGCCTCAGCTGAGACTCCAGGGACAGAAGCAGCCACCTTCCCAGGGGCAGCAGGCAGAGGACCAGAGTCCAGGCCACAGGGATGGAGGCCCGGAGCACAGAGCTATGGGGGTGGCAGTGGCACCACACTGTGAGGACACAGAGGGCAGCTGACACCTTCACTGTGAGAGGTCGATCCTGACCTGAGCTCTCCCCTCGCTGCCTGAGGACCTGGGTTCCATCCCCAGCACAGGCAAAACTGAACTGGGTTTTTCTGTGTTTCCTGAGTGTCCTGAGTGTTCCTGAGTGTCCTGTGTTTCCTGTGTTTCCTGAGTGTCACCTCACCTCAATGACTATGTGATGTGTCAGACCCTAACGTGAGTCTCCACTGCTTACATAAAGCTGGGCAGGGGAACAGGGGAGAGTGGGCCTCACAGCAAACGCGGGCATGTTTGGCAGAAGCCTAAGGAGGTGAAGGAAGGAGATGTGATTATCAGGGTCCTGGTGCTGTCCAGGGGAGGGGGTGAGTGGAGCAGCTGCCAGGGCCAGGTGGTGTCACCCTTGTCCCCCTCCCTGGCGATGCAGTGAGGCGATGCCGCTACCCGCATGTGTGCATGGAGCAGCCCTGTCTCCCGGAGCAGGGGAGAGAGGCTCCCCACGGCTGCCATGGGCTCCTGGGCTCCTCGACCACATCACTGTGCTCCTAGCCTCAGAGCGCTGCTCTGGTCCCGCCTACAGAGGGTCGTGCCACCCACCTGTGCCATGGGCGCTGGTGATGTTGACTGTCAGGCCCTGAGGAGGATCTGGAAGGAGAGGCGCAGTGAGGGCTGGGTGTGCAGCTGGCCTGTCCTCCTTGCCACCACCACCTCGGGCGCCCAGAAACACAAGGGGAAGTGGCACAGTGTGGGCTAGCGTCCCCATGGCTCTGCTCTGCAACCTGGGACCAAAGCCCAGCTGCTCTCCGCAGCCCCCTGCTGCTCCGACAGAGCCCACGGGCTGGTGGCTGATCAGTGACAGGAACTGATCTCTGCAGTTGAGAAGGCCGCCAGTCCAAGGTACAGGCACAGGCAGATGCAGTGACAGGAGAGACCCGTGTCCCGCCTCATCCATGGTGCCTTCTCTCTGTGCCCTCATGCGGTGGGAGGGACAGGGTCTCTCTGGGCCCTGGTGCACTCGTCCTGTGTGGGAGGCTGATAAGCTGTCCTCACCCCGCCTCCCAGGCCTCAGTCACCCTCACCTGGGGCTCAGGATTCAACCTTTGAGTTTGGGAGACATAGACACTCTGACCATTGTACCCTCATGTCTTCTGCCCCCCAGTTCTTCCAGCATCTTAGCCCCGCACTCACAGGACACGCTGAGTTCAATAGTCCTCTCTTTGGTCACTCCAGTCTCAAGTAAGGTCACCCGACAGCTGAGGTGGGTGCCATGGTCCTGAGGGCGGGGAATGAGCTGGATCTCTGAGGTGGTGTGGGACCCCAATCCTGACCCTGCTGGCGTCAGTGAAGTCCCAGTCCAGGAGAATCTGGGGGCCTTGGCTCCACTGCAGATCCCAGGTATGGAGCACACCAGATGACCGAGGTGGCCAGAGACCAGTTGCTCTGGGATGTGTATGTCCGGGGTTTGTGTCAGCTCTGGGCAGGAGACAAAGATAAGTCAGGCCCAAAGAGGGTGCTGCATGTCATGGAAACAGACTCCTCAACCCTAGAACCCCACATTCCAGGACCCTTCCAACCTCTGTGACTCTGAGTTTTCCCAAGCAGGGACGCCCCTTCCAGGCTGCTTGCCTGTGACAGTCACGGTGAGCCTCCGACTCAAGTAACTGTATTTTGTTTTCCCTCGCTCTACTCGAAAATAGTAAATTCCACTGTCCCCCTTCTGGACACCCGTGATCCTCAGGGAGCAGCTGTTTGCCTTGGGGTCCCCCAGGAGCTGGAAATGCGGCTTGGTTCTCGCTGCAGATTTCTTGCCTGGTCGTTTGTGGCCACAAGCTCATCTGTTGCGTGATTAGCTTTGGAAGTGTCCCTCTGCCGGTACCAGTAGCCAGAAACAGGGTAGAGCGGTTCCAGCCGTGCTGGGGGTAGGAAAAGGAGCAGGACACCAGGACACACAGGTTCTCCTGCACCGTCACTGACTCCTGCATCTGCAGCTTGTAGTGCATTTCCTGCTGCAGGGACCCTGAGGAAACACAGAGATACAGAGGCTCAGCTGCAGCCCCGGCCCCCACCTGGGGGACACTCACCTACCCACAGCAGGGGCAGCTGCAGGGCCGGCAGCAGCATGCTGGCTGGGAGGGGCGGCCAGGTCTGGACACTCTGGCCTTGGTTCTGCCCGCCCGCCAAGGACACCAGCACAGGAGGCCTGGGGGTGGAGTGGTGACAGCCACAGGGAGGAACCTCAGGAAAAGCCCTGCGGCACTTATCAAAGGTCCTTTTCTGATTTCTTTCCAGGTGGTGCAGGTAGAGCCCAGGCCCCATGAGGGACTTGGCCCACCAGAAGGAGCCATCTTGGCTCAGCCTCAGGTTCAGGTGTCCTGGGGAGAGGGGCTGCCTGGGGAGCAGCGAGCAGAAGTGGGAGGTGTGGGGTACAGTATCCACTCAGTCACCCCTCGCCACCCATTCGTTCATCATGGCCCAGGCAAAGATGCCCTCCATGTGGGGACTGGAGCGCAGGATCCCAAACCACAGACAGCTACCTCACAGTGGATGTTCTCTGTGACTCTGGACCCCGGGCTGTCCCCCATCAGACTCCCCAGGGGTGCTGTTTCTCCTGTCTCTTTGGAGGTCTCGGTTTCCTAACCAAGCTCCCAGCTCCGCAGCAAGCACAGGGCGGCTGCACAGGATCAGGTCAGCGCCTCACACGGGTGACTTCATTTCCCAACGTTTCCATGCTGCCGCCTTCAAAGCCTTAGCAGTTTTCCCTCAGAGTTTCTTTGGTGGAAATAAAATGTGACGAGAAAACTGCACCTGTGTGGGGGTGGCCTGCAGCTTGGATCACCTGGGTGATATCACCTTCTCCACCTTCTCGTTTCTGCACCCCAGACAGCTTCTGGGTCCGACCCCACCCCCATCAGAAGCTGCCCTGGCACCTTTGTGGATGTGCATGCCCCCCACCAGGTCCCTCAAGGCTGAGGACTGAGCCGTGAGCAGGCAAATAAGAAACGGGGGCGGGGGAGGTGGACATGAGCAGAATATGTCACATGCATGAAACCCACAGCTGTGAGATCTAAAATGTCCCCAAAAGCTTCACGTGCCCAGAGTTGGGGCTTAGATCATGGGGCCTCAGCGCTCAGGGTTGGATTAGTCCAGAGAAGGGGCATAGCAGACGGGCTGCCAGGAGGTGGCACCTGATGGGAAGCAGCAGGTCCCTGGGCGACCTGGAAAGCTGCCTTTCTCTCTCCACTCTTCCCTTTCCTCTCTGCTTCCTGCCTCCAGGGCCTGAGCTGCGTTCCTCTGCCAGGCCTGTCCCCCTCTGCCCTTGGTTTCTGCATTTGAGCTGGTGGAGCATGGACTGAAATTTCTGACACTCCCCAGCACCAACAAACACACATGTGCGTGCACACACACACAGAGATAATTCTCAAAACAGGACGCTGCAAGTCTGAGGTGAAGGCACAGGCAGATGTGGTAACAGGTGAAGGTCGTGTTCTGCCTCGTCATTGACATTTTTGCACTGTGTCCTCATGTGGCGGAAGATGCAGGGTCTCTCTGGGGCCCCTGGTACAGGTGCAGTGATTCTGTTCATGAGAGTGCAGACCTGTGACCCAACCACCTCCCAGTGCCCATCTCCAACACCATCACATTGGGCTCAGGACCCAACCTATGAATTTGGGGGACAGAGACTCTGACCATAGCACTCCCATCTCGCCTGCCCCTGAGAAGACCCAGTCTCTTGGCCCAGCACTCACAGGACACACTGGGGCTGGAAGTCCTCTCCTTGGTCACTCAGCCTCAGCAAAAGTCACCTGACAGGTGAGGTGGGTCCGTGGTCCTGAGGCAGGATGTGAGTGACATCTCTGACATGTGGATCTCCAAGCCACACACTGAGGTATCGAAGCAGTGTCATTTCAAGAGATGGTGATGACTATGTCCCAGCCGCAGGCGCCAGGCTTTGGAGCACATCAGGTGGCCGAGGTGACCAGATACCAGTGGCTCTGGGATGGATGCCTGGGGTTTGTGTCAGCTCTGGGGAGGAGAGGACAGGCCAGAAGAGAGGACCCTGTATTTCTGAGACAGACCTCACTATTCCGGGTGTTGTGCATCCTACTGAGCATTCCCCTGCAGGACAGCGGTCCCTCCTTGTCCCTGAGGACTCCCAGTCCCATGATGCTTGTCTCAGAGGACCGTTTCCTACCTGTGATAACCCCATTTTTGTAACTATTCCTCACACATCCTGAAAATCCTTTCCACCTGAAAATCATAGCCCCCGCTGTTCCCTTTCCTGTTTCTGAGATGTGAAATGAGCCGTCCTTTGCACCAGGGCCCTGTGGAGCTGGAAACAAGTTCGGTCCTCATTGCAGCCTTCCTGTGTGGGTCTCTTTTTGATTAGGTTTGGAATTCTCCTTATCCAGTACTGCAGCCATAGCATGGGTAGAACACTTCCAGTCTTTCTGAGCATACTAGACAGAGCAGCACACACAGGTCCTTCTGCACTGTCATCAACTCTGCACCTGAAGCAAGTATCTTGGGTTCTCCTGCAGGGACCCTGGGGTCACACAGAGCCTCAGCCATGCCATGAGTCTGTTGGGACCTCCAGTGCTCCCTCACTCATCCACCCACAGCAAGGGCAGCAGCAGGGCTAGCTGTGGCATCTCGGCTCTGAAGGGCAGATAGAGGGCCCTCTCATCTTGGGTCTCCCTGCCTTCAAGTGTGAACTGACAGGGCCTGGGGATTTAGCTCAGCGGCATAAGCGCCTGCCTTGCAAGTGTGTGGTCGTGAGTTCAATCCCTGGTACCGATAAAAAAGAAAAAGACAAAAAAACAAAAACAAAACCAAGTGTGAACTGACAGTGTGAGGGCATTCATAACCCCTACTATCTGCTTTCTTTTCTTTCTTTGAAACGCTCTGTATCTTGAAAACTTCACTTATTTTACGGCTTGTAGATTATAGTTCAGATGCTTAGCTAGCAGTTAGACTTTGAACAGTGAGTGAACTTTGACCAAATCCCCAAAAGGCCTCCTCTTCTCCCTTTATTGACCATCAAAATCTATGAAAAGAGTAACAAAAAGTTTTATCTCAAGGTGACCAGATGGTGCCTGGTGCCCACCCGCTCTGTGTCAGGTAACCAGATGTATAAGAAGGTCCTGTGACCTTCCAAAGCAATGATAGCATTGCAAAAAGTGGTATCCATGGTAACCCCAGGCCTTGTGAACTCCTACATGGGTATAAAAAGAAACAGAACAAAGGAATCGAGGTCAACAGTTTCAACCACCTGAATTAGCTGTTGCTGACTGGTGCAGCTCCAATTAAAGTTTCTTTTTTTTTCTATCTTTCTTTCTTTCTTTTTCTGTCTTTTCAAGACAAAGTCTCACTGTAGTTTCAGGCTGGTCTTGAATTCACTTTGTAGCCCAGGCTGGCCTCGAACTCACAACCCTCTTCTTGCCCCAGCCTTCTGCATGCTGGGATTACAGGAATGCACCACCATTTCTGGCGTTCACTTGTTTCTTTTCTCTCAGTTTCCCGTGGGTAGTTTTCTTGAGTATGCCATTACATTTGAAGGCCCTAGTGAGATTTACCCACAAGGAGGTCCTCTTTTGAGGGGGACCCTAGTGCCTCCTTGTCCCCCAGCTGAACTTGGGAGGCAGGGTGCTCCATTGATTTTAGCCAGCCTCCCCGGAGCAGCTGAGGGACCAGATACCTATAGCCATAAGACTAAAACAATCGAGTCCCTGCACCTGACCAAGGTGAGCGCTTGTAATCTGACTCTGGTTTCTTTGTTTGGCAGTTACTATCTGGCTCACTCAGGGATTTGTTTTGTGCTAATGTTTGGTTGTTTGTGGAGCCTGAGACTTGCTTTGTCAAGTCTATCAGGGAGGTTCCTCTCTGAGTTTGTTCCAAACTTGAGGTGAGGGGCAATGCATTTCTCCCTGGAATTGCTGTGGTTTTTTTTTCATGTATATTTATTTCTGTGTTGGGCAAATGTGTTTGCAGCCCACCACCAGCAAAGGTCACCATCACCACCTTCTCAAGTTTTACTAGCCTTGGATTTTTGCTTTTGTTTCTTTCTGATCAGTCTGGCTAAGTAAGAAAAGAAAAAAAATTTCCAGGGAAATCATCAAGATAGACTATGGGGTTTGCAGGTTTGTGGAACTGTGGTCTTCATGGGGTCGACGGGCAGCATGCCAACTGTACTGGAATGCTTAGCAATTTTGAGAAGTACTGGGTTAAAATAAAAAAAAGAAAAAGGAAAAAGCTCCAGACATTTTGTGAATTGAAATGGCCCGCCCTTATGATTGGGTGGCCAGTAGAGGGAACACTCAGCCTTCAGATAGCCAACGGGGTGTAGAATGTAGTTACCAGAAACCCAGGACATCCAGATCAGCTTCCATATTTGATTGGTCTCTGGATAGGAGCGGTTTGAGTGTCTCATCCCTGGCTTAAATTATGTGTTTGGAATTTTCCAAGCAGGCACTAGTAATTCAAAAGAAGCCATCTAATGTGAAGCCACCTGTAGTGCCCTTATTCTCAGGAGAGGTAATCTTGGCTTCTTCTGAACTTCTGCCTTATCAGGAACCCCACCCTCTAATCGACCTTGGAAACCCACCCCGGAACAGGAAGATCTGAATTCCCGGGAAGCTGAGCCTCACCTGGTGGGTCCAGCTCATTCCACACAGCAGCACAGGAGAGAGCCCCACCAGCTGTGGAAGGAGTGTTGTCCTCCTTCCCTGTTCCTGTTTTGCCTTTCCAGGGAACAGTGGTGCCGGGACCTGAAGGGTAATTCAGACCATTTTCATATAAACTCTGTTTCGGTTCAGTGGCCTGTGTAACTGGAAAACTCAGAATCCCCCATTCTCTGAGCAGCCGCACACTCTGATTAATTTGGTTGCATCTCTGTTTTTAAGACTCACCACACCAACCGTCGGCAACTGCCCTTACTCTGTTTACCCAGAGGAGAGAGAGAAAATCCGAAAGGAGGCAGAAAGTTGTGTCAAAGCAGAAGGGCCAGAACACCACAGGAAGTCACAGATAGGCTGACATGTGTGTGGCCCAAGAAGCCCAAAATTAGAATCCCAACACACACACTCACCCACAAATTAGCAAAGGGTAGCAGAAGTGGCCAGTGACCAACAAGAACCCTCCGCTTTCCTCAAGCACCTTCGGGAAGCTTATCCCACATTCGCCCCATGGGGCTCCCTACAGGCTGGGAATGCTCACATGGTAAACATGTCCTTGTGACGCAATCAGTGACAGACATTCGCCATAAACTGCAGAGGTTGGACGGATTAGCTGAAATGACTATAGTCCAGTGAGGTACAGGTGGCTCTGAAGGGTTATAATAGTAGAGAGGACAGAAAATAGAAAGCAAAGCCCAGGAGGAACAGTTGGGGGTGATGTTAGCATAAGGTGGAGGAACAGGCAGGGAAGGAATTAAGAAATGGGATGAAAAGCGGCCCCAAAGGAGGCCCCACTGAGCCCATCCCAGTAAGGAGATGGGACACTTAAGCAGGAGAGTCCGAACCTGCCAAGGAAGGAGAAAAAGTGCTTATGGTGGATGCAGGGGAGGTTTCAGACTGATGGGGTCATGGGTCGAAATTTTCTCTTGGCCCAGGGAACAGATTTTAACCATGACTGCTGCGGGGAAAGCCTATTAATTCCTGCTGGATGTGGGAGCTGACATTTACATAGTCCCTCAGCCAGTGGCCCCACTTCTAACCAGCAAAATAAACCTACAGGGGGCAGCTGACCAACCCTCTTATTCTTTACGTGAGCCTTGGCAAGTCCAGCTCAAACAACAAATGGTCAGACCACTTTTGTCTTATGTCTGATTGCTCTTTCCTCCTTCTGGGCTGAGACCTATTTTGCAAGCTGTGAGCTCAGGTTTCTTTCCTTCCCTCAGAAACCATCCTGACTACCAAAAGAGAGCTCCCCTCTGCCGAAGAAGCTCAGGTTTCTAACATTTCCCTTACAGGAGGGAAACTGCCTCATGGAGCTAGACAAAAAGGGACCCTGGACTCGACCTTTGGACTGAGCAATTGCCTTTGGTTTGGGCAAAAGACAGCCCACTGGATTTGGCAGCCAGTTACCTCCTAGTGGTAGAATTGGTGAGGCGGGCAAAACCAGTGCATTTAAGATGATATCTTTTAACGGTGGAGTCACAGAGAGGAATTAAGCCTATGTACTGAGATTACTTGAGGCAAAACGTCAGTTCCCCTGGAATATGTCTTTCCTGCCAATCAAAAACTCTGGAACCAGTGAATACAGGCCAGTCCAGCATCTTAGCGCTGTGAATAATGCAGTTGCCGCTTTGCACCCAGTGGTCCAAACTCCCACACTCCGCTTAGTCTGCTCCCATCCAGTTGAACTTGGAATACTGTATTAGATTTGAAAGATGACTCCTTTGGTACCCTTTTTCAGCAGGTCCCCAAGAAGTAGTTTTTGAGTATGAAGAACCTGAGGCGGGATGAAAATATCAGTTAAACTGGACAAGGCTCTCCCAAACATTACTGAGCAAAGATTCCTGAACTCCTTTGATAATAACAATCAAGTACATGCCAGGAAGCCTGCACGACAAGCTTCTCCTGGAGGCTAAACAGCACACATCTTCCCCTCTGGAGCCAGGAAGTGACGCTCAATGTAAGGTCCAAAGTTTCCCCAGAGTCAGCCACAGCTACTCTCAGTGACAAGGTCCTGAGCTCTTCCAATGATAATGGCCTACTTCATGTCAGGGGAACTCCTACAAGGAAACCAACAGCTCGAAACAGCAACACTTAGAACGCATAATGCCCTACTTTTCTCCAAGTCTCTATTTATTTATTTATTTATTTATTTTTTAGTGTCAAGGTTCGAACTCATGACCTCACACTTGCCAGGCAGGCACTTATGCCACTGAGCTAAACTCCCAGCTCATGTCTCTATTTATACTGGCAACTGTCCTCAGGTGGGCCATTTACACTCAGCACCATACTGATTTAATTTAGCTGGTGTTAAGTTGATCACCGGTTTCTAATCCATAACAGATATTAATAATCTAGTTTGGGCAATCAGGCTCCTTTGGGGCATTCATATGCACATACAAAGAATGGGGGGGACAGACCCAGGAATCCTCATTCACATATCAAGAATGGTAGTGCCACCCCCCAAAGCCTGCTACCCCTTCTCCTGCACTCTCCCAAAAGTTGCATGGCCCCAAAGAACCAAGACCAAAGGTTTTCCTTAAGCACCTCCAAAGAGTAATGTCTCATCTCTGCTAGACATTCAGGTCGGCATAGACCAGGTGAGCACAAAATCCAGAATTCACCAGATGCTTAATGACACTGACCAACTTCTAAATGTGTCAGACCCCCACCATGGCTGAGAGCTATTGGATGTGTCTAAGGCTGAGTCCACCCTTTCATGATGCCATAGCTTCCTCACCCATAGTTGTATCCAGTAAAATAATCTGCTCCCCAGAAGAAGAAGAAGAAAAAGAAGAAGAAGAAGAAAGGAGGAGAAGGAGAAGGAGGAGAAGAAGAAGAAGAACCCATACCTTTACTCATGACACTTTACTATTTTTGGACAGGAGTTTTGTGTGGGACAGAATAATAACCAGGTTGCATGCAACCAGACCAGGTCACCAACCAGAGTCCACCTCCTGGGCGCCTCAGGGTTTCTGGTTTTTCTGCACTTATGCATTGTTCAAATGCCTAAGCCATAGACAAAAAGTCACTCGATGGACCATTGCCTCCTGACGATGCTCATCCCCTGAGTGATGATGCTCATCCCCAGAGAGAACCAGAGGCCCAAAGCCTGCTTGTCAACCACCAGACATGACATAGGAGAGCTGCTATTTTGCCAATACTGGCTGGGACAAGCATAGCCGGGGGGCTCGGAATGAGCACAGGAGCAGTAGTCCACTCTGAAACAGGTCCCCAAAAGCTCTGGTGAGTAACACATGGCATAGAACAGAGTGTGACAGGGGTGCAGCAAGCAGCTGAACAGCTTCACAACCAGGTGGACTCCCTGGCAGAAGTCCAGCAGAACAGAAGAGGACTTAACCTACTCCTCATGGAACAGGGAGGACTTTGGGCTGCAGTTTAAGAGTGCTGTTTCTGTGGAAATAACTCATAGATAATCATAAAAAAACTCGAGACAAATTAGGACAAGAAGCAAAGGAATGGGAAAAATCGTATTATGAGACTCAAAGGTGGGATGGTAAATTGCTCAGTGGGAACCTCCACCCTTGCAAGAGTCACAGGGTCAATAATCATCATAATATTGGGGACAATGTCCCTCAGTTTGGGGACATTTCTGATTAGTCGGAGAAGAGATAGGATTCAAATCAGGGTAGAACAGGTATGCACGATGGAATTGGCTGCCCCTGTTACCAGTCAACCCAACTGCAAACCACTGCCTTATGAAGGAATGTATACCCTGTAGGGAGGAAAAACATGTCCTTGAGGAGGGAATATGAGAGCACTTGTAATTCCCACTACTTGCTTTCTTTCCTTGCCTTTTTCCCTTTGAGACCCCACCCTAACCCTGAAAACTTTGCTTATTTCAGGTGTTCTCTGGGCTGAAGCAGCTTCTGCAAGTGTCTTGCCCCAGGTGATCTTTATTCTCAGGATGGCCATGCCTCAGCACTGCACACATGGTCTATTTCCAGCTTCAGTGGCTCCACACACAAAGCAATGATGGTATGAAATGGTATCCATGGCAACCTTCTACCTTATGAGCCTGCAGATGGGTATAAAAAGACAGGAGAACAAAGGGTCAAAGTCAGCTTCAACTGCCCAAATTAGCTACTGCTGACTGCTACAGCCCCTAACAACCCAACAAATCTCACTTATTTCTCTAATCTCAGTTTCCCATGGGTAACTTTCTTGAGTGCACTCTTACAATGGGAATGTACTTCATGGCAGTGGAAAAGATGCTTTAAAATGGTCAAAATGACAAATATTACATTATGTTTGTTTTACCATAATTTAGCCCTTTGTTTGCTTTTGTTTTGTTTGTGGTGGGATCAAAGTCAGGGGTGTTCTCTCTGTGGTATATCCCCACCCCTTTTATTGTCATAGGGCTCTCACTAAATTGCTCAGGTTGACCTCAAACTTGCAATCCTCCTGCCTCAGTCTCCCTGAATGCTGGATTACAAGTGTGGGCCACAGTGCCCAGTTCCCTATCTACGAATTGTTTAATGTTAAAACATAAAAATCAACACCAAGACAGGAGAAGAGAGTCCATGACAACAAAGGAGAGATTCTCCCATGTTATAGACATCTAGGTTAGGTAGAAATATGATAGGTGGTCAGACCTATAATACTGAGGGACTGGGTCCTCAAAGGAGCCAGTATGGAAGACAGGATACATTGCAACTGTGGAGGAGAAAGACACCTCCACTGAGAGCCAGACCACAAAACAAAAGATGAAAGGAATATGCCCACATACATAACCTAGGAATGAACAGCAGTGATCTAAATTCTGCATACACATCCATCACCCTGGGGTGGAGACCCAACCTCCATACCCCATCTCTTCAGGAATCTCCTTATCTATTTCATGTGTACTTGCTATGGGGATCCCAATTTGATCCCCACTTAATCAGTATTACCCAAGCAGACTGTACTTTTGTAACCTTATTGGTGCACCATAGTCTTGGCCCACCTCATACCCACCTTGTGATTTCCCACTGAATCAATGTTACCTAAGCAATTATACTTGTAAGCTGATTGGTTGAACATAGTTTTGTCCCACCTCACATCCATCCTATGATTTCCATTGGATTAGTATTACCCAAGTGACTCTATTTGTAATCTTATTGGTTGATTATAGTTCTGTACCACCTTAAACCCACCTTGCCTCGTGGCTTTTGTCAACAAACATGCTTAAGAAACAGGGTTGCTAGGCAACCCTCTTTGTGGGTGCATTCCTGTAGAAGTTTTCTTTTTCTCAATAAATTCTTCCTATTCTTAACCTCTGTTGTTCCTAGAATCCATTCCTCACTGTTAGAGAACAGGAACTAGGCATTTTAAACTGCTAGCAAGTTGGTAGTTTCTGTTCCCTACATCACCCACATGCTGTAAAAGGGATCCCAAGTCTCATCTTTGTCCTGGGCCCAGCTGATTGCAGAGCTGGCAGTGGGAGAGGTTCCTAGAAGGTAAGACCCACACTGGTGGCAGTCAGGTCCCTGCCTAAGGGTTGCAGGCTGAACAAGGGGGCTATGCCTGAGAGTCAGCGGGGAAGTGGGGTGCATGGGTCTCCTTGCAGGGACTGAGCCCACAAATGCTGGGGTAAGTTGAGAGAGAGACAGAGACAGAGACAGGGCAGGGGCAGAGACAGAGACAGAGAGAGATAAGCACAGGAGGAGGCAGCGTACATGCCCAGACAGGACAGAGAGGGTCATAGACACAGCCAGACAGATGACAGACAGACAGACTTGCAGCGAGGGCAGCCCAGTTGCAGATCTGCACTGCCCTCCCACAAGCACACTCTCCTCAGGAGATCCCACCGCTTCCTCGGGTCGCCCGAGCCGCAGCCATCGCATCCCACCTGTATAGCAACCTCTGCTTCCAGCAGAGCCACAGCCCAACCTGGGCTGACAGCTCAGGGCTGAGCATTTGCCTGCACCCGCAAGGCCCTGGGCTCAAACTTGACCACACGAGAAAGAACATACAGCCACCCTGCTGGAGTGGCTTCCTGCAGACATCTGAGTAGGTAGGGGAGCTGAGTGCCTTTGGGGAGGCAGGCTGGGGAACCCCAGGGTTTGGAGTCACAGCCAGGCGAGGGCCCTGGACAGGGGTGTGGCCCATGCTCCAGGTTCCTGGAGACCTTGAAGCATAGGATGACTGCTGGGACCACGAGGGAAAGGACTTCCCTGCCTGCACCTGGCCACTGCTCTCCTGTACCCCTGGGAGCCTCTGCCCAGCACAGCCTGCCCGAGGCTGAGCCCTGCGGACCCCTCTGCGTGGGGCAAGTCCCGCATGGGGCCCAGCCCTGCCTCCCCCAGTGTGAAAGAAGAAGTCAGGCAGCTCGGAGGACACATGTGTTTCCTGAGCTTTCTCCCCTGTGGCTGTCACTAGCCTGGCCCCAGGTGTCCTCCCTGGCATCCATCACAGGCGGGTAGACCCAAGGCCAAAGGCTCCCAGGAGTACATGACCCTTTGGAGCAGAGATGCTGCTGCTGGCCCTGCTGCTGCCCCTGCTGTGGGCAGGTGAGTCTGGGGAGCACTGGGGCTCCCCTCTGGGGGCTGGGATGGAGCTGAGCCTCTGTGTCCCCTCAGGGTCCTTGCAGGAGGAATCAAGCTACTGGCTGCTGGTGCAGGAGTCGGTGAAGGTGCCGGAGACCCTGTGTGTCCTGGTGCCCTGCTTCTTCTCCTACCCCCAGGATGGCTGGAACCCCTCTACCCCGCCTTATGGCTACTGGTACCGGCAGAGGAACACTCACAGAGTCGACCACAAAACCGATGAACTTGTGGCCACGAATGACCCCAGCAAGAAAGGTGCAGTGACAAAGAAACATCATTTCCAGCTCCTCGGGGATCCTGGGGATCACAACTGCTCCCTGAGGATCGAAGGTGCCCAGAGGGGGCTCAGTGGGCCTTACTATTTTCGAGTAGAGCGAGGAACAATGCAGTACAATTATGTGACTCGGATGCTCACCGTGACTGTCACAGGTAAGCAGCCTGGAAGGGGTGTCAGTGCTCAGGAGAAACCCAGAGACATGGAGGTTGGAGGGTCCTGGAGTGTGGGACGCCAGGACTGAGGGGTCTGTCACTGAGATCTGTCCTGTCCTTGTCTCCTGCCCAGAGCTGACACAGACCCCAGACATCCACATCCCAGAGCCCCTGGTGTCTGGTCAAATTGGCCACCTGGTGTGCTCCATGCCTGAGACCTGCAGTGGGACCATGAGGCCCAGGTTCTCCTGGACTGGGGCTGCCCTGACATCACTGGGATGGAGATTTAGCTGGCAAACTACCCCAGAGATCCAGCTCAGGCCCCGCCCTCAGGACCATGGCACCACTCTCACCTGTCAGGTGACATTTCCCACAATTCATGTGACCAAGGAGAGGACCGTCAAGCTCAGCGTGTCCTGTGAGTGCTGGGCTAAGATTCTGGGGGTTTGGGGGAGCAAAAGAGAGGAGGGTACAGTGTCAGAGAGTCTGTGTCCCCCAGATTCATAGACTGAATCCTGAACCCCAGGTGAGGGTGACTGAGGCCTGGGCCCCAGAGAGACCCTGTCCCTCCCACTGCATGAGGGCACAGAGAGAAGGTGCCATGGAAGAGGCGGGACACAGGTCTCTCCTGTCACTGCATCTGCCTGTGCCTGCACCTCGGACTGGCAGCCTCCTCAACTGCGGAGATCAGTTCCTGTCACTGATCAGCCGCCAGCCCGTGGGCTCTGTTGGAGCAGTAGGGGGACTGCGGAGAGCAGCTGGGCTTTGGTCCCAGGTTGCAGAGCAGAGCCATGGGGACGCTAGCCCACGCTGTGCCACTTCCCATTTTGTTTCTGGTGGTTCCCAGGGTGGTGGTGAGGAGGACGGGCCAGCTGCGTACCCAGCCCTCACTGTGCCTCTCCTTCCAGATCCTCCTCAGGGCCCGACCCTACGCCTTTCTGGAGCAGGTGGCACAGGTAGGCGGCAGTCCCTGCCCAGGCTGCATGGGAGCGGGTCTCTGTCCATGGGAACCGAGGCACCGAGGTGGGAAGTGTGGAAGGGGCCCATGCGGAAAGCTGCATCAGGAACCACTGCCCTGGCACAATCCCAACCTGGCCTTATCTGGGAGCTGTAGTGGCCCCTGGGTGACGTCTACAGCCAATGCCACTGTGAAGATCCCCCTGCAGCCGCCTTTCCAGGAAGCTGCTTCTCCACCTAAAGCACCACTTCTGGGGGCTCCAGACTCTGCCAGTGCTGACTCAGGCGCCCTGGGAAGGGGCTGAGACTGTGCGTTTCTAATCAGGTCCCGGGATGTGAGTGCCGGAGAGACCCATGGTGGGTAATGAGGCTCGATGCTGTCCAAAGCAAAACTGGGGTCCTAGGCTGGTGTCCATCCCACAGCACTAGTAAAACACCAGGAGTGAATCCTGGCAGCCCTGGACAGAATGGCATTCAGTGTGGGGAAATATCCTAAATCAAGGTGTCCATCCCTTCCCGGGATAGAAGTGACCAGAAGAGGCACTGGTCCAGGCTCAGCTCTGTCTGTGCCTCTGTCTCTCTCCATTCCTCTCCCCCACCACAGCCCACTGTTTAGAGTCTGTCTCAGCCTCTGCTTCTCTCTCCAGGCCTGGACTACAAGGGAAATAGATCCTATCTGCAAGTCCGGAAAGACCAGTTTCTGCGGCTCCTCTGTGCTGCTGACAGCCAGCCCCCTGCCACTCTGACTTGGGAATTGGGGAGCAGAGTGCTCTCTTGGTCCCCTCCCTCAGAATCCAGACCCCTAAAGTTGGAGATGCCCAGGGTGAAGCCTGGGGACGCGGGGCGCTACACCTGCCGAGCACAGAATGAGCTGGGCTCCCAGCGTGGCACCCTGCATCTCTCAGTGCAGTGTGAGTGACCAGAGCCACCTGTTCTGAGAAGGACAGAGAGGGGGTAGGGGCAGAGCTCTGAGGGGGCTGGGACCCCAGGCCTTCAGGATCTGGCTTCTCATCTGCATGCATGGATGGGCAGTTTGTGTTGGGGACCCAGTGGATGACGGTTCCTCCCTCCTCCTTCTCCTGGATGGACCCTCTGCCCAGAGGGAGCCCTAACCCTTCCAAAGCCGATTCCCTGTCTGCATTGCAGATCCTCCTGAAGACCTGAGAGTGACAGTGTCCCAAGCAGACAGCACAGGTAGGAGAGGGACACACAAGAACTAGGGCCTTGTGCTGCTGGTAGAACCTGACACGGATTCTGCCTCTTCCCTCCCAGTCCTGGAAATCCTCAAGAACGGCACATCCCTGCCTGTCCTGGAGGGCCAGAGCCTGCGCCTGGTGTGTGTTGCCCACAGCAACCCCCCAGCCAGGCTGAGCTGGGCCTGGGGGACACAGACCCTGAATTCTTCAAGGCTCTCAGCCTCTGGGGTCCTGGAGCTTCCCCAGGTACAGATGAAGCATGAAGGAGATGTCACCTGCCACACAGAGAACCCACTGGGCACCCGCAGTGTCTCTCTGAGCCTCTCTGTGCGCTATGAGTAGGGAGGGGACCCATGGGACCTGGGAAATGGAACACTTGTGACCCTTCTCCTCCCTCCCACAGACGCCCCCCAGCTGCTGGGGCCCTGGTGCTCCCAGGAGGCTGAGGGTCTGGGCTGCCAGTGCTCCTCCCGTGCCCGGCCTGCTCCTTCCCTGAGCTGGCGGCTCGGGGAGATGCTGCTGGAGGGGAACAGCAGCAACGCCTCCCTCACGGTCTCCACCATCTCTGCCGGGCCCTGGGCCAACAGCTCCCTGAGCCTCCACGGCGGGCTGAGCCCTGGCCTCAGGCTCAGCTGCGAGGCACAGAATGTGCACAGGGTCCAGAGCGCCACTGTCCTGCTGCTCCCAGGTGAGGGGCCAAGAGATCCAATCTTCAGGAGGAAGGAGGTGACTCTGAGACTGATGGGACACAGGGAGCTGGGGGAGACCCAAGGAAACCGGACATGCAGAACACAGGGCTCTGTCCTAGGCTGGCTCTCGGTGAAGAAGGTGTAAGCAAAGGCTGTGGAGGGTAGCAGGGACCAGGCCCTCACCCTGAACCCTGCTGTCCACAGGACACCCAGGACGTGGGGCAGGATTCCCACAGGGGACCATGCTAGGAGCTGGCATCACTGCCGGGCTCTCTCTCTGTGCCTGCTTCATCTTTTCCAGGTGAGAGGGGTGCAGGAGGGTCGGCAGGTGTGGAGGCCCGGCCTGGTCTCCACCCCACGAAGGCTGTGTGCAGGGTCTGGCCGGGCTGTGGTGGCGGGAATCGGCCTAGCGTCTGTGCCAGCCCCTGACCCCAGCCCCTGTAAGGTGTCTGCTCCGCTCTCCGGGAGCCTCCCATTGGATGGGTCCCCGCCTGCCAGACCTCATTCGGCCCACTAGCATCTTTCAGCCAGGGACAGCAGTTCCACTGCCACTCTGAGTAGCAGAGTCTGCTGCCTCCCGCCCTCCTCACTCAGGATGAAGACTCGCAGGCAGCAAGACAGCAGGATGGCCGCTGCGAGGAAGGGCGCACCGCCTGGCCCTGCTTCTGTCTCCAAGGTGAGTGAGGAGCGTCTGTGCACCTGAACCCCAATGGTCACTTCCCTAAGATGACTGTGACCATATCCTCCACGATGAAGCAGAGACACCTGATGCCCAAATGGGCTTTGATTTCGGGGTCCCGTGGCGCAGTCCCACAGCAGCAGCCAGAGCCTCCCAGGGGCTGAGCTCCCTCTGGTCCCTCTCAGCCCAGGCTGCCCAGGCCTCACCCACTGCTGGGCTCACATCCTATTGGGCCCTTTTCACTCGTGTCCCCTCATTTCCCTCTGGACCCCGAGCCCCTCTTTTCCTTCCTATGTCTCCCCTGCAACAGAGAAGCCAGGGATCCCACAAAACACTCCTGTCTGCTGCAGACCTTAGGGGCTCTTGTACCCCTCCATCTGAAATCACCTGCACAGAGGGCTCCCTGAGCCACACTCAGGTCTGGGGACTCCCCGAGCTCCTGGGGCTGTGGCTGTCACTGTGAGATCAGATGAGAGTTGGCTAAGGGAAGAGGTGCAGGGCCAGGGTGTGCAGGGAGCAGGGCTGAGCTCAGGGTGTCCTCTCCTGCAGAGGGACACAGAGAGTGCTCAGCCCTCTCAGCAGCAGTGTGACAGCTGCAGACAGACATGCCCACAGGGAAGCCACCCGAGCCTGCTGTCCAGGGTCTCTTGGTAGCCCGTCACACTGACAGTGTGCACACACGTGGTTGACCTCAGTCCCTTCACATCCAGATCCTCCAGAGTTCAAACCAATGCCACAAATGCCACTGGCCTGCAGGGCCCTAGCAGACAGAGGTGCTCCTGCTCAGCAGGACTCAGTCAGGGCTGCCCTCAGCTGTCCCTTCCTCTGTGTCCCGGGCTCACAGCACAGCTCCCCACTGTGTGTGCCTGAGCCCTGCATCCAGAGCCGCCCCAGGGCTGTGAGGCTGAGCCAGTGCCTGATCGTGTGCCCCGCCCACTCCTGTGCAGCCTGTCCCAGCTGCTGGGAGACAGGGGCTCATCTGAAGGCCAGTTACTTCCTGTGTCCCTGCACGCTGCTGGCTGGGTGAGGGGCCGCGTGGGTCTGCTCCGCTTTCCCGATGATGTGCAGGGCCAGGATAGGGCAGCTGTGCCCCTGGGCAGCAGGGTTCTGGCTGGAGGCTAGGCCTGACTGCTAGTTACAGGTGTGGTGTGGGAATCTGTGCTTAGCCTAGGTTTATCCACCTGGGAGATGCTATAGCAGTGACCTACAGGGACTTCTTAGATTTTGTGAAGTGGGCAGTCAGTTACTAAGAGGAATTTATCGTTACTAACAAGCATTTACATAATGGATGTGAATGAACCAATGATGCGTGGATGGATGAGTGAACCGTGGGGGCCCATGGTTATGAAGTGAGCAGAGGAAGAGGACGGGCTCACTTTCCTGGTTGGCCTCTGTTTCCTTCTTTTTCTCATCATCCCACTCCATGCCCTTCCCCTTCCCATCAGGGTCACAGCCAGGACAAGTGTCCAGGCAACTTGGACAGCCCAGCCCCTTCTGCAGGTGTGAGCATCCCCGGCAAGGAGCAGGAGCCTCACTACAGCACCCTCAGCTTCCAGGAGGACCCCAGCACCTCGGAGTACTCAGAGCTCAGGCTCTGATGTGCAGGCCAGCAGCTGAGCCTGGGCTTCTCTGGAAGGTGACATACGGTACATTGCTTGAATCAGCCGATCTCCATGTCACCAGGGTCCTGACCAGCAGAGGGGACTCTCTCCGTAACAGCAGAACTCACCTCCCACTTCAGCCCAGACTTTGTGCAGGTTGCTTTACTCTGGGGTCTCCTCCTCTGTTAAATGCACATGATCACTGACTCGCAGGGCATTGTGGGTAGAGGGAAGGGATTCCCTACAGCACCCTGTGCGGGGCCTGTAGAAGGCATCTCACCTGGGGCTGCCTCCCATGGCCTCCACCAGGTGTGAGCCCACCTGGCCAGTGGGGCTCTGCAGGGCAGCTCTCACTGCTCTGCTCTGCAGGCCCTGCCCTCTGGGGTTCAAGCCCTGCTGTGCCTCCTCCCTTTCAGTGTGGCTGGGACTTGAGATTTGGTTTTAACTCAGGAATGCAGCAATGCGGAAGGGAAGCGAGCCCTGTGATTAAATTGTATAAGAGCCTCGCTTCTGTCTTGCTGTCTTTGCTTAAGCAAATTGGCATGATGTCAGTGCCCACAGGGAGAGGACCAGGGCCCAGGCCTGAGGGTGGCCTCAGCCAAGACCTTCAGTCCTGTGACCCACAGCAAATGAACCCTGCCCACAACCATGAGAGGTGGGAAGCACATGCCTGCCCATTCAGTTTCCTCAGGGGAAACTGTAGCCCTGGCCTGTACCTTCAGCATGGGTTTCCTTTCCTGAAACCCTGACCTGATAGGCAGGGCCTGATTCCTCCCTGCAGAAGTGGTGGGCTGATAAACACGTGTGGTCTTAGGTTCCCGAGTTCTTATTATTTCTTATGCAGATATGGTAACCAGCACTGATATCTTTGCTTGTTTGTAGACTCTGGCAGGTACCACCTCACTGGAAAGGTAAGAATAGAGCAGGATCCTGCAGGAAGAGAGGAGGGGAGGAAGCCATGCAGCTCTAGCTGAGGCCTGGGAGAGGAGGTGAGAGAGGAGGCTGTGTGAGGACGTGGGGCTTTAGCACGCTAGCTTGGCTGAAATGGAGGTGACAGGAAAGAGCGGTGGTTGAGTTCCTCTTGTTTCTTCTCCTCTTCAAGGCAAATTAGGATCAAGTCAGGGGTCAGTGGGAGAGTGTGTGCCTGCATAGGCTCTGGAATCCACGCCAGTGTCACACAGACACACAGTTACCTCACAGCCCCCTCGGGTCACTGTTCCCATCCTGTATGTTGCTGTCCTGGGCGGTGGAGGAAAGTGCGATTGCTGCTCTGGAGACCTTGCCTGCAGGTCCACTGGGGTGGAAGGCAGCACAACCATAGCACCTGCGACAGCCACCAGAACAAGCACAGCAACAATCCAGAGAGTAACAGCGTAATCAAAGGGGAGGAGGACGCTAGCAGTTCCTGTGGGAACTGAAAATGGCACAGCTTCGGTGGCAGCAGGTTAGTGGGTCTGCAGAACCCACAGGGCATTGCGTGTGACTCAGCAACCCCAGTGGTCTTAAATTGAAGCAGGAGTTTGTTCCTTTTTACTTTTATGTTTTCAATTTCATTGAAAGAGAACAAAACAAAATAACAGAATAAAGCCAGTCAAAACAAAACAGTGAAAGTTATATAGGATTTCAAAACAGGACAATAGCAAATCAGCAATGGCTGCCAATAATGCCTCTTGTTATCTTCAAAATTGCTGCCCACATGTTCAGACACAATAAAATCAAGCAAATTAGAACAGAATAAAACCAATGAAAACAGAACTTTGAAGAAAACAAAACTATAATGAAAGAAAATAAAACAGCGCGAAAAACATCGGATTTCAAAAACAAGACAATCAAAGAGCACAAGAATTCAGTTGCCTTTGTACCTCTGTTGCTATCAACTCGGCCTCTGATCCTGAGTCAGCAGGCTGCTGATGTGGGGGTGGGGAGCAGGCCTAGGTGGGTGTTCTGTTTGTCTCCCAGCCTGTGCAACAGCTCCCTAAGCCTCCACGGCGGGCTGAGCCCGGCCTCAGGCTCAGTTTCGAGGCACAGAATGTGTACAGGGTCCAGAGTACCACTGTCCTGCTGCTGCCAGGTGAAGGGCTAAGGGCTGTGGTCTTAGGGAGGAGCGGGTGGATCTGAGGAAGCAAAGGCACAGGGCTTCCTGAGACAGTTTGGGTCTGGAAATGGGGGGTGCATCAGGGTCCCTGTCCTTTTGCTCTTCGGATGCTGGAGAACATCACAGTGGGGGCTGTGTAGGAGGAGTCTGAGAGTTGAGGACTTGGGCAGGGTCAGGGTCTCAGTTTTGGTCATATGCAGGGAAGAAGAGAGTTGGGGTGTATGTGTGCATGCAGCTTTCAGGGGGGCTGCTGTCACTGCTCTGCTCTCTCTCTGTGTCTGTGTCGTCTTCTCCAGGTGGTCTGGGATGGAAGGCTGCGTGTGTGTGTGTGTGTGTGTGTGTGTGTGTCTGTGTGTGTGTGTGTGTGTCTGTGTGTGGTGTCAGGACAGGATTGTGACTGGGAGAACTGCAGCTTGGTGGGACGACCAAAGCAGAATTCTGTGCCACCCCGCCCCGCATCCCGACCACCCTGAGTGTCCTCAGATCTCACTGTGGAGGTGAGCTGGTGCCCTTCACTCCGTACCCTCAGCTGGCTGCCCAGCATCATTCCAGCAGGGACTGCATCCTGCTGCTCATTGTGAGCCAGGGAAGTGAGGTCCTGCCTCTTCCCTCAGGATGAAGTCCTGCAAGAAGGAGGTGGCAAGGGCGGTGACCACAGAGAAGGATGCCCCCTGTGCCCCGTGTCCTGCCTGTGCGGTGAGGAACCCTTGAATAACCATGACCACCTCTTTTGCTATGACTCAGGAGTTCCTGATGCCTTTACAAGCTTTTGTTCTGGGTCCCCCAGTCTAGAGGCCAAAACCTCCTCTCACTAAGCTCACTCTCCCCTCCTCCAGGACTTATAGACTTGGGGGTCTTCAGGACCACCCTCATTCTACCCCCACCTACAAGATCCAGATTCCTGAGGCCACACTTGGGTTTGGTGACCTGGTGAGGGGGCCCCTGGAGCTCACTGCACTTGTGTCCTTATGGTACCTTGTCTCCTTGTCACCATGCAGGAGACAGCCAGGGGAAGGGGCTCATGGGCAGGTGTGGAGAGAGCAGGCATGAGCTCTGTGTTTTCCTCTCAGGGTGTCCTTGTGAGTGACCCAAGAGTGTGGTAGGGGGTTCCTTCTCTACATTTAAACCACAGGCCATTGGTTTATTTTGAACCTAGTTGATAGCGTCAGTTTTTGCTTTAGCCCACTGATGGGTAAAAGATAAACATCTTAACGTTGATCAGAGCCAAATTCCTAGCAGTGGCTGGGATGAGGGGTTGGGTGCAGGATTCTGCTCTGATCTTGTTCTGAGCTGTAATCACATGCGTGCTTTGGGAATAGTTACTTCCCATTGGGGAAATGGGGATGAAAATGTTTCCCAGTGAAATATTGTGAAGATTTTTATGATGTGGGCAATTATTAAGATTCAGGCATAACTGGTATCAAGCATCTGTTGATCAGATGTGAACAAATGAGTGAATGAAGAAATGAATGAAGCCATAGCCAGAGCTTGTGCAAATAACTACGTGAGGTCTGAGCGCCCTAAGAGGAGACGGGAACCACCCCCCCCCCCGCGCGCCCATCCTGGGCAGGCTGTTGAATTGGATTTAGCCTCAGAAATGCATCATGCGCCACCTCAGTGATGAGCACAGGCAGCATCACCGGCTAAATCCGAAGAATCCACTGGAAGAGAAGGAATTCGGGCACCGGTGGGATGAATCACACTGTGGTCTGGGAATGAGGGTATCTGCATGTTCCTGGGGAGTCCCCAAGATAGATGATACAGAATGTGTATTTTTGGACTTATTTATCTTTTATCTGATGTCTCCCACATTACCCATCAGTGGGCTAAAGCAAAAACTGACTTTATCAACTAGGTTCAAACGAAACCAGTTGTGTGTGATGAAATGTGGAGACAGAGTACTCATGTCATCATGCTGTGCCACTGAGAGCACACGTGTTTGGAAAATGGAGTTACCGAATCAGAAGCAAACACTGGCCCAATTCACAGACTTATAGCATCTTTTTAAAAAAATCATTTTAGGCTGGGCGTGGTGGCTCACACCTGTAATCCCAGCACTTGGGAGGCTGAGGCAGGAGGATCATTTCGAGTTCAAGACCAGCCTGGCCTACAAAGTGAGCTCAAGGCCAGCCTGAACTGCACAGTGAGACCCTGTATCAAAAAGACAAAAAAAAAATTTATTTTAAATAGACTAAAACAAACAAACAAACAAAAAACAATAAAATCAATCTCAACAAAACAGTGAAAGTGCGACAGGACTTCAAAACAAGATAATAAGAAATCAGCAGTGGCTACCATAATGCCTCTTGTTTTCTTCAAAATTGCTGCCCATCAGACATAAGTCAAACAAAACAGAACGGAATAAAACCAATGAAAACAGAACAGTGACTAAAACAAAACAATAAAGTGGGGAAAAAAAACCAAAACAGTGAGAACAACATTGGATTTCAAACACAAGACAGAAAGAAATCCCACATATTTGCTGTATTACATATTGTTCTCTTCTCAATAGATGCTCAGACTACCGGCTCTAGGCCAGCAAAGTTAGTCAAAGAACACAAGCATGAAGTTGTTTCGTACCTCAGTTGGTAACCACTCAGCCTGCATGCATCAGATCAGCTGGATGCTCTTGGGGTTGGGAGCTTCCACAGCTTGACTCATGGAAGGGGTGAACTGGCTTCTTGTTTCTTCTCCCAGGACTTGCACAGCTCCACTTAGAGTATCTTTTAGACCCTAGGGAATCGAGGAGTGAGGAGACCAGAAACATAACAGGCCAGGTGTGAGCAGGCTTTGTAAACTCAGGAAAGCATGAATAAATCTTGAGACCTTGGTTTCCCACAGCTTCCTCTAAATTGCAGTTTCCATGCCTCTTCTCTACCCATCGTTGTGTCTTTTAGCCTCCCAGAGAATGAATAAAATGTTGAATAACTACTCAGTTTCTATGGCAGGTTATAGATCTTCCCTGCTCTCTCCAGACCCCATCATCTCAATTTGGTAGCCTTTCTTCATTCACATTAGGGTCACCTGAGTACATCTGGGTCAGACCACCTGTCACCTGCTAGGTCCACCGTGGAGGAGGAGCAGGAGCTTCACTACGCCTCCATCAGCTTCCTGGAACTGAGGCCTCAGGTGTCTCAGAAACCGAAGGACTCCAGCACCACGGGATACACAGAGAGCAGGATCCGGAAGTGACACACGCCAGGCTCCCAAGACTCCTCAGGAAGGATTCCCAGGCCAGCTGACCTCCATGTGAATAGAACGGGAGTATCCCCCACACCCTGACTGCAGAACTGGGTGCACACTTTGAGCAAGTAACTTTCTACGCTGTCTCCTCTGTCAATGACACAACAGACTGACTCACAGGGCTGTCATGGGCACGAGGGAAGCAATTCCCATGAAACATCCAGAGCTCTGCATGCAGAAAGCTCCTCGCCAGCAGCCTCCTGCCAGGGACACACAGCAGGTGTTGAACTCCCAGACCTGACCACTGTGTCCCAACCGGGGCTCCTTGGGGGCTGCTTCTGCTGCCTAATCCTGCAGACCATCCTGAGGCTGTCATTGGACTGCAAGGTCATTTCTCCCTCTGTCACCCCTCCCTTTCCACCTCCATCCTCAGGTGTGGATCCCTGAGTGCCATCTTGCTCTCTGCTCCACACCCACAGGGGAGTCTCCAACCCAGGGCTGCATCCTGGGTTTGACCTGTGTGTTTCAGTCGTTGTTTGGTTGAAAAGAATACTGTGAAAATTGCAAAAGTCTTTCTTGAATTTTATTTCCCTAATCACAGATTACTGGTGTGCACAACCTCATCTGATTGAATCTATCTATCTATCTATCTATCTATCTATCTATCACCCTGAGGAATGACCCTGGGACTTTAACATGTTCAAACACTCAGTTTGGAGCCCTGGTAAAAGACTAAACCAAACAGAAGAAAAAATAATAGTCTGAAACAACTCATACAATATTACATTCAGACTGAGATAAAGATAAAAAAGGAAAAATTAACAGAATAGGAAATGCCTGGGACAACATTGAAAGCTTAAATATATGTATAATAGAATGGGCAGAGGAGAAGACATACAGACAGGACTCGCAGGAAAACTGTTCAGTGACATAGGAGCAGAATATAGCCCCAGTCTCAGAGAAGACATCTGTATCCATGCATAGGAAGCAATTAGAATTCCAAACAGAAAATTTCTCCACTGTACACTGTAGGTAAATTGCCAAAATGTAGGGCAAAAATGAACTATTAAAATTTATAAGTGAGTAGTACCAAGTGTCATTTAACCTAAACTAGTTTAGACTAGTGTGAAGTTATTTTCCCAGAAGAACTTCTAAAAGGCAAGTGGGCATGGAATACTTTTTTTTCAGATCCTGAGAGGAAATAACCACCAACCAACTTTGCCAAGCACAGAAGCAAAGGAGAAACAAAGACCTTCTGAGATACACATAAAGGAACTTATGACCGCTAAGCCAGCATTATAAAAGATACCTGAGTGAATAATAAAACAGAAATGGAAAAAACTAAATATAATCATAAGACACCATGGAAGAATATATCTCAACAGTAGAGTAGATATACAAATGAGAAATGGGAAAGGATCAGACAATGGAACACAGTAAGCAGTCAAATTTCTAATATGAATAACCAGGAGAAGCTAGTAAAATATTTGATACAAGCACAAGTAAAACAAAAGCGATAGGAACAAGCACAAACTTGTAATAACTCTGACATCAATTTTCTAATGTAAAGAGGCACACTCTGAGTGACTTCAAAGCACAAGACCCACCAAATGCTGCTTACAGGAAACACCTCGCTTCATCACCTTCTATACAAACAATGAAGAAAATAATGGAAAAATGCCATCCCTATCAAATGGAATCAAAATGCAAGTAGCAGTAGGTCTCTTCATGTTCCATAAATAACTTAAAATCATTAGAATACACAAAACACATAACTGTATTTTGATAAAGGGATAGATTATTTAAGAGGTTACAACCATTATGTATATGTGCCAAACATCATAGCACTCTTCTTGTGAAACAAACACTAACAGACATAAAGGAAGAGTTGTAAATGATTTCCATACCCCAATCTTCCCAACAGAAATATCAACCAGATGAAGCAATCAGCAAGGAAATATTAGAATACAATTACACTCTAGATCAAATGGACTACACAGACTACAGAATATTCCATTCAACAGCTGCAGAATGCATATTTTTTTTCATCCATGCATGGAAGGGTTCATTTTGGTCTCCAGCTGCTTGCTTTCTCTCTACTTCCTGGCCTTTGTAATGTGAGCAGCTTCCTCTTCCAGCCTTTCCACCGTGCCATTTGCCTGGGGATAATTCAACCATGGGCTGTGTGGTGGGATTTACTAATGATCAACTTGTAACACTCAGTTGAACTGAATCAGTGTTCTGGGTGTGGAAAGGCCACCTGAAGATTGTTGCTCACAGCACCAAAAAGGAGAAGTGGAGGGGAAGGTGGTGCCACTGTTGACTCTCCTGGAGAAGCTTATCATGCTGGTTTTCCTGATAGAAACTCAGCTGTTCTCATCATCAGAGGAGCGAGGGTCCTGATATCACTGAGGATGGCTATAGTTCTTTTCGGGGGATTCCTGGCTCTTACCATGGGTGATACATCCTTGTTCCAGTACCCATCTCTCAGCCTACTGGCACAGCTCCTTCACCCCTCTAGCACAGAATTTGTAGGTTCCATCACTAATCTTTGGACCTTCCTGGTGCAGATCCTTGATACAGACTTAAGTGAGACATTGTCGTGGGCTCTAGGCTTCAGCCAAACTTGTGCAGGACATTGCCATGAAGTCCAGGCCCTTAGTTTGACTCTTTTGGTCTCTAATGAATTCTTTCTGAATTTGACTTGTTGAGTGAATTTTATATAATAATCCTATAGATTCTGTGTCCTGTATTAAATTTCCTCCCTTTTGAACCCTGATTACAACAGGCTGAACCCAAGGAAATTATGAGCAAAGATAAAACTCTCCTCTTTCAAGTTGCAGGAATTGGGTATTTTGTCTGTCTGAGCATCAAGAGACTAGTAGATTAATTGGGAGCCAGAGTGATGCCATTGGTCGGTCCCTGACCATGTGGTCAAGAGAGAAGCTTTGAAATTGCTTTGCAGGATGAATTGGACAGGGTTTAGAGGTGTAGGCTAGAGAAGCCCTAGAAGGCTGTGAATCGGGCTTGGTGTTTGATATCTGTCAGAGCTCGGGTCCAGAGTGCTGACAGGAATGGAGGTGGTAAAGGCAAGACTGGTGAGATTTCAGCTGATAACAAGAATTCTACTGGTACAGCCTTGTTCTGAGACTTTGTGGGAGTCTGATGATAGGCATGGCAGATTACTTAGTTAATCTGATAGAAGAATTTTCAAGACAGCCCAACATTTGAGTTGTAGAATTGGTACTTCTGGCTGATTTTAACCAGATCTATAGTAAAAATCAAAAACAAAGATAGAGATGAATCATTGCAAAAGTTCGTATTTTCACCAGAAAGGAAGTATCTGAATTGTTAAGACAAAGAAGTGAATGGCTGCTGGAAGGATTGGTATTCAAAAGAAACCAAGGAATTGAAGGTATCTCAATGAGGTCATACTCAAAGATGTAAGTGTAAATTTCATTTGAGGAAATGAATTATCCTGGGTTGTTTGATTTTATTATCTGTGATGGTATGAACAGCTATTTTGAAGAAAACAAGACATTATAATAGCCAGTGCTGATTTAATATCACCTTGTTTTGAAGTCCTACCATGCTTTTGTTCTTCTGTTTCCATTGGTTCTTTCATGTTGTATCTATTGGATTTTATTATGTGTGATAGAATAAGCAAATTTTTATGAACAATGAGATAATATAGTAGCCATCGTTCATTTTCTGTTATTTGGTTCTGAATGCCCTGTAATACTTTCATTCTCTTGAATAGTTTTATACTATTTTGTTATGTTTGATACTATTGTGTATGAAAGTATACTCACTATTTCAAGGAAAGAGACATTATGGTAGCTACTGTTATATTGGGTTGTCTTGTGGTGAAATACTGTGTTGCTCAAATTGTTCTGTTCTGGGCTGGGAATTTAGCTCAGCAGCATAAGTGCCTGCCTGGCAAGTGTGAGGTCGTGAGTTTGATCCCCGGTACCAAATAAAAAAATTTTTTTCTGTTCTGATCTGCTTTGTTATGTCCTCTTTTATCTTAATCTCTTTAAAATAAAAAAATTTTAAATGTAAAGAGTTCATGACATGATGCTATTCAGAGTCACCTATGAAAAAGTACCTCCAAGTTCACCTGTTTAGGCATTCAAAGACCCAATAAAACAATGGTATAATAGAACCCTGTGTCTGTTCAAACTGCTGGGTGACCACAGCATTAGCCAAATGAGGCTGGATTTGCAGACATTCAGAATGCCTGAGTTGATGGAATTCCGGAGACTCCCATACACATCGCAGAAAATGATTTCAAAGTTTGGGCAAAATGTGTGGCAGGGTCTTAGTCTCTCCCGGGAGCCCAGGAGTTGGCACCACATGAAGTTGTGAGTGAATGGAAACTGCCGTAGAGACTGCCAGGAACGGGAAGGTCAGCTGAAAAGAGCCAGCCCGTGAGAGAGACTAAGTGGGCTGCGGCCGGCAAGAGTATTAGGGTGGGGCTGCTCAAGCCCTTTGAGCTGATATGTCACCACAACAAGCCTCAGTTGCTGTGTGTGCAATTGCAGGATGTAATGTTTGTCTTGTTGGGTTTTGTGCTTACCTTAGGGTGGATCCTTTCTTTGTTTGTATAGGTGTCCCCGTGCAAACATGGTAAGAACTTTCCATGACTCTCAGGGGGCTTAGAGTCAGATGTTTCAGCAGGGCTAGGACTGTTAAGATTTCCATGACCGGGGCTGGGGATTTAGCTCAGCGGCTTAAGTGCCTACCTTGCAAGCAGGCAGTTGTGAGTTCGATCCCTGGTACCGATAAAAAACAAAAAACAAAAAACAAACAAACAAAAAAAAAAGATTTACATGACCCTGCAAGACGGATTAAATGCTTCTGAGTCAGAATCTGCGGTGCCCAGGAGTCCTGGGAATGGTGCTAACAGCAGCACCCCGGAACATGCAGGTTCACTGGGGGGTTCATCACAGGGGCAGGGGCAGAAGAACCACTGCACGGGCCACCAAGATGGAACAGGGACTAAACTCGGGCCCTTTCCCGTAGCAGTGTGGCCCAGACAAGGACTGGCAGGATGACCACCCGGGAAGCACGGGGGCGTCTGGGACCTGACTCAGGACAGCATCCACGGGCCCCCTTCACACAAGTCCTCACACTTCTGGCCCGGGCAGAGACCCCAGGGACAGAATCAGCTGCTTTCCAGGCAGCCAAAAGTGGAGTCAGCCAGGTCCCCCGCAGATGCCAGGGCAGCACTGAAGGTCAGTGCAGACAGCGCCACATCGTCCAGCACAAAGGGGAAGTGGCCCTGAGCAAGGCTGCAGCTTGGAGGATCCTGGAGCCCTGACAGTCGCAGGGGGAAGCTGGACACCAGAGGAGGCGTCTGTGTGTCCCCACTTAGGACGATCCCCTGGGAGAAGAGGCAAAGGCGCAGATGCGGGCTGAACCCAGCCTGAGAGATGATGACATTCCCCTCGTGTGCCTAGGCCATGGATCCAGTCCCCTACATGGAATATGGTTCTCTCTTTTTAGAAACACTGTCTTACCATCGATAGTGCCTACTGCTGTTCTAT